AGATCAGATACTCGAGAAGCAGTACTTTTGCTTGTGTTTCTTATTACACTTTTCTTTATTTTTGTAACAGCGACTTTCTTATGTCAATGCCATTGTGGTGGACATTTTTCCCATGTTAATACTATCGTGTAATATATAAATAGTAAAACGAATGAGTTTCACTGGGCAAGAAACTATGAATTAGCTAGTATGTTTCAATTACATTTTTCGATAAAAAGAAAGGATTGTTTTTGTACATTAGAATACTGCAGGACGAGATGGTACAACTTTATGGGCGTCCCGCGAAGCTCTGATAGCTGCTACCCAGTCAGTCAAACATTAAAAAAAAACGCGTAAAAATTTTAACGAAAATAAAACCGTAAAAAGCGCACATTTTTACGATTTTATTTTCGTTAAAATTTTAACGCTTTTTTTTGTCTGAGATACAATCGTAGATATGAATTTCTACCATTAAATTATTTAACTTTTGTTCAGATTTGGTATAACACCTGATTTAATCGTTATGGTACGATTAAATCAAATGTAATAGCAAATCTGTATAAAAATAAAACAGTTTAATGTTAAAATTTCATACTTACTATTGAATCAATTTTTGACTCAACTCTAAATAATAAAAAATAATTGTATTTTATAATTTCATACTTACAATTGAATTAGCTTTTTGTATTAAATCTAAAGAAAAAGTAATTTTAATTTATAAAATCATACTTACGATTGGATTGAATCAATTGTTGAACTTAATCTAAATAAAAATAATTGTGTTTTATAATTTCATACATACAATTGAACTTTAGTTGTTGAACTAGATCGAAATAAAAAGCACTGGTTTTACCTACATTAGAGTCTAGAATCTCAATGGAACGATTAAAAATTAAAAGACTGAGCATTATCAAGTTACTCGTATAAGAGTACCGATCTATCACCGACATGCGCTCTCAACTGACTATACGAAGGGAAGATTCAATAAGTTCTAAACAATTGCTAATATTCTGCATTGAAGGAAAATAAAAAAAGCTACGGGAAAAAAACGGATTGCTGATATGAGAGAATGTTAAAAATGGCATTATTAAGTAGACAATATATGACTGATTGAACGATTTACGGAAACAAAACAAATAGCTACAGAAATAACAAAAATGAAAAAGTAGAGCTGCTATGTTTCATTCGGAATGATAAATGACGAGGAAAAACGCATAAATTCCGAAAAAATTGTACACATTTTAACGGGTTCACCATCGTTAACCCGTTTATACGCACTAAAAAATCGTAAAAATGACGTTTTTACGAATTTCTATCGTAAAAACACCGTGTTTACGAAATTTTAACGCGTATCAACGCGTTTTTTTGAAGGTCATGTCTGCCTGGGTAGTATGTTATGACTAGTTATCAAGACTTATTGATGTAGCAACGCTGTTCACTATATAGTTTATTTAGAAAATTCTTAAGAAGTCATCATATTGATCGATGTCAAAATTACGCCCTTGAAATCCTAAGCACTTGCGCATATTATTACAAGCGAAGCTGTCATTCAGTAATGTGTGATGTGAAACATAGACATCAGTATTATTATCGTGATGATTGTTTTCTACTTGCGTATAAACTAGTTTTCTTAGTGTTTAACGCATATGAAACGCTCTCAATTCATTCTTACTTAATGCATCAAGATTTATTTAACTATTGTTCTATGCGAACAATTGAATGGGTTTAAATTCCATCTGAATGTTAAAAAAGAAAATTTTAATATAGACTAAATAAATCTATCTTTGAACGAAAGATAGAATTTCAAAAAATAAATAGGCATTTATATAATAAAATGACTTTAGACTTTTATTTGTATAACACGAATTTCATATTAATATTATAAAGAGTAGCATGTATTTCTCAAGGACACTAAAAACAAGATACTATACAGTGATGAACTAAAACAATCATTCATACAACCTATATAAATTTTCGCAATGCAATATGCATGTTGGTTTTTTGAGTTTTATTTGAGTCAAGCACTTCACTCATGTTCAAGCTCATGATGCATTATGACATGAACTCAGAGTACTAGTAATTAGTGCGTTTGATCACATCTATCGGGTACTACTATCATCTTAATTCAGATGCTGCATGATTCTTTCGTCAATATTCTATTTTCATAATTTCACATAATTTTATATTGAATTCAAATATAGCTTGCCATTCTGATGCTCGATAGTTTCAATTTTTATTTCAGTCGATTGAATTATTTGTCTTTTTGAAAAAAGGATCATAAGCGATAGATTGACTCTTCATAGTATTTGTTTTGCATTGATGATGTGACATAACATAAACCGACGTATAGTTTAAAAGTTGACCATAGGACATCTTTCATCACTGTCTTGTAAAAATGAATTGTAGAACATAAATTTATATCGTTAAAAAAAAGAAAACTTTAATTGTCTTTTTTTATATTAACACGAGAGTGAAATTCCATAGGAAAAAAATTCTCGAAAATACTCTTATTTCGCGATCTAATAAACAGGCCTTTGATGCTGCTTAGTTATTAATAGTTAGCAATATGGAAAAAAAACAATTTAGTACTAGAAAATCAAAGCATTTCATTCTTTTGAAAAAGGTTTTCTTTACTGGGCAATTTTTCAATGAAATTAAACACTATCCAGTGTATTTGAGACACGACCAAAAAAAAACGAGTCATTTTTACACAAAAAAATATTCTCTTCATTTATTTTCTGGTTTTTCCTTATTTGCTGTAATAGTATATAGTATAAATTCTAAAAGAAAACATTATTTTTTTTCCTTTTTATCAACTTAACATGCATATGAAAGTAGAATAAAATTGCTATGAAGAGAAAAAGGTATTAACAAAAACTTTTTTTTGCTCATTCTTGTTCATTATTTTTTGCTTAACTCGAATAGGGAAATAAAAGAAAACATACAGACAGAATTTGTCTTCTATTTTATTATTTATTTCCACTCGGACTTGAAACGTGAGCACACATAAACGTCATCAACAACAAGTATTCAACACTGACTAACAATAGCATTGATTTAGTATTTTTCATCATTACTTTTTATTTTTCTATTATTTTTATTCTCATTTGGGTTAACTTTCTATCAAGAAATAACACTCCTCAAGGGGAAAAGTCATTAATGGTAAGTTTTATGTTAATATCAATACAATGAAGAGTAGTGTAAATTTTCTGTTTATTTAGTCTATCAAACTAATCGGGTGTTTACTAATAATTTTGATGAATAGTGCAGACACAAACCTATGTCCAAATCAATATAGTGAGATTGCACTAGGCTGTTATAAAATAAATAATGGCACGAATATGACATGGTCCGCTGCTCAACAGAATTGTCTTAACGATGCGTATCAATTGTCACCGAATGTGACTGAACCAAATCCAGTGACTCACCTCATTGCACTTGAACTTGTTACAGAAAAAACAGCACTGTTTTATTGGATGAACGGTACGTAGGCAATTGGCAGTCCGATTATCTCTTTTTCTTATTTAATATACTATGTCCCTTGATATTAGCTTATAGTATTGAAACTGAATTTTGGATTGATGGCATCGTTTCAACGTCATCATGGGATTGGTCAAATCAATCGATAACATGGTATTTTGAGAAATATGAACGAGCAGTTATAGGCAATGGATCCAATTATAAAATTGCCTTTAATTCAGAAGTTGTCTATAATACAACAATTACCAATAATGGAACAACTAGCTATAATTCATATAAAGGATCTTATCAAATAGTTGATGATATTGGTAAAACTCAATTGCATTATATTTGTGAATACCAAAGTTTGTTTCTTTTGTTTTCAATTGAAAATGCATTTTTCCTGTGATTAATAGTACCATGCAACAATACAAATAATACTTGTAAAAATAATGCTACATGTTATTTAAATGTTGGCAGAGAAATTTGTACTTGTGCACCAGGATTTACTGGGCAATATTGCGAAACTGCTATTGATGAATGTTTATCCTCACCGTGTTTGCATGGTGGAGATTGTATGCCTAGTATAGATAGTTATACATGTAATTGTTCAAATATATTTTATACGGGGTCAAACTGTGAAATCTGTATGCATTTAAATATAATTTTTTCAGTGTAGATTTTCACTTGTCTTGATTTTCAGATCGAACTGATCCAACAGAAAATGATCGTGCAGCTGCATTCTGGTCTGTTGTTGGTGTTGTAACTGGATTAGTAGTCATTTTAACATTGTCTGATTTACCATGGGGAGATATTATAACAACTATTGGCTGTTCAGGTTGTCGTTCAAAATCTTGTTGTAAACACTATGATGGTACAAACATGACTGAAAAGGAGCTTCGGTTATCTGATTCACCTGTAAATGATCAAAACAAACGAGTAAAAAATAAGTCAATCTCTGATGGAACAACACCATCAAATGAATTCAATTATCGTGTAATGGACGCAGTGTGGAATCCCGAATATATTCACGATCAAAAATCATCAAATCGTCTATATAATGGACATTTTTCACCTGATCAAAGTAGAACACCTGATAATATACTTATACAGTCATTTGCTGCTGCTACTATGGTTAAACAACAACAAAAAGAATTAGAAGACAAACGAATTTATGCTGTCAATATAAATGACTCTACAAATTCAACATCAAAAACCAAAGATCCTGTTAATACAATGATTAGTTGGACGGAACAATTACAAGAAGAATTACGAAATAAAAAATCTCGTGAGACTAGTGCTAGTTCAACCAAACAATTAATTCCTCCATTAAATACAAGTGACTGTTAAATATACTCTTATTTTGTTCTATTTATTTATTCACTCATGTATATATATATATGTTAGCGTCCAAACTGAGAGTACGTCCAATCTCAGATTGGCCTAGGCGAATCTCGAATCCGAGATTGGACGCGTCCAATGTCGGATTGAGCGGAAATTTAACATTAAAACGTGAATTACTCTGTACATCGGTACAGGACCCGATTTTCTACTTATGGACTTCGATGAAGTNGTCCAATGTCGGATTGAGCGGAAATTTAACATTAATACGTGAATTACTCTGTACATCGGTACAGGACCCGATTTTCTACTTATGGACTTCGATGAAGTATCATTGTATCAGGTAACGTAATCATCAACAAACGAATAAATTAAAGGCTCAAGGAGTTATGGGCACTTTTCAATCTTGAAGGTGAGGGTGTGAGGGTATGGGTTGCCCTGATCATAATTCATCAATAAGAATTTGAATCCTATAGCGATGTACAGAGTAATTCACGTTTTAATGTTAAATTTCCGCTAAATCCGACATTGGACGCGTCCCATCTCGGATTCGAGATTCGTCTAGGCCAATCTGAGATTGGACGTAATCTCAGTTTGGACGCTAACGTATATATATATATATATAGAGAGAGAGAGAGAGAGACGCTACATACAAACATGTGGATCATACTTTTCATTTTTGAACAAAAATATTCATGCTTATACATTCCTTGATTTTACATAAATTTGAAAAATAAAACTAACTTTTAAAGAAAAACAAATATAACAAGGCTATAGTTAATGAAGATGTGTATAAACAATGTGATTGAATATTATTTTTTGAAGAGATTCATATTTCCGGAAGACGATCGACCTTCTTTAAATAGTTTAACTGTCGGTAATGCAATACGTTCAATTTCAGATAAAGCTGTACAATATTTTATTGTATGAGCTGATTTACCAGTAGCACCGCATTTCGGACAAACGTACGCCATTAAAATTGGACTTTCTATTTCATTATCTGTATTGCGTAAAACTGTAAAAGAAAGAATATGTTTCTTCTTTCGCTGTTTTTTTCAAAAAACTTTTCAACTTACCATGCGAAGTATAAACATTAGCTGATTCATCATTAGATTTACAAAAGCTACATATTTGTCGTTTTATTCGATCAGATGTTGAAGAAAATAGATTATCACAACTTTTGTAATGTGACAAATTATGACAATATCGTTGTTTTTTGTTTTTCGAGCAATCACTAAGTTAAAAGAAAAACATTATCGTGTTGTTTTAGCATAAAATATTCAACCATAATATTATACTTTGTTTAATAATGGTATGTTTTTGTGATAATTGTGGATAGCTATCTTGTTTCGGTGGATTATGGTTATCAGTGAAAGGTAATGGTTCAAAATAATTAGTTCTTAATTCTTGTTTTTGCTGCTGTTCATTTAATTGATTATGATCATAATGAAGACTATCCAAGGACCAGACCGATAGTATTGGTGATGTTGTTGCAATCATATTAAATGGATTTGATAAATCAAGATTATTGAATGAACGTATTGGGCAATCGTTACTCATATGTGGCAAATTTATCTGTTGTTCTTGTTGAAAATTTCTATAGTTAAGATCAACATTTCCAGAAAATGAACAAGGCGTTGATATTATCCATGGTGAATCTAATTTACAAAAACATTAATAAAATAATTTAATTAAAAATAAAGTAATGAAAGAAAAATATACTTACACATTTTATATTGAACGAAAGGATTGAAATAAAGTATCAAGCAAGGTAGAAATAGTCAACTTTAAATATGATAAAAATAGGCAAATAACCTAAAATAACTATAATATTGAATCACTTTTTCGATACGCATTGTATAATGCAGTCTGCTCAAGTTAATTGCTTTGTTTACATCGATCTTGTAATGCACGCCTTAGTTTTAGTAACTAGGGATAGTAATAAATAGATCAAATAAAAGACTGTATTGGAAAGAAAGAAAAAAGATGGAGCAAAGAACATATTTGTTTCTTTCTACAGTGAACATTTTATTTATTCTGTTTTTCATACAAAAAGACATGTAACATCTATAGATGACTTTTGTTTTCAATAAAGATTCTATATTTTTCATGTACAAGAAATAATAAGTTATGACCGAATCAGTTTGTTAAGTGACTATTATTGTAAACTAAATATATCAATTGAATTAAGTTGAATCAAAGGAATAGATTCAAAAATTTCAAATTAATAAGATTTCAAATAGGAGACCGAAATTCGCTATTTAATATTTGTCTTGATAATAGAATATAATGAAGTAGTATCATCAACTGATTACTAAGTTCAGATTTCATATACATAGATTGACAATGTTGTAACAAGAACTTTGCTCTAGTTATAAATGAATACAAAATATTTCATATCTTATCTATGTTACAACAATGGCGAACTTATACCGAATTAGAATTGAAAATATGTTCGTCACTCAGAGCATGTGAATAGAAAATCTTTGAAATATAATAAAGAAGTAGCAGCTGTTTTATGATAAGCCAGAAATCATGTAAATTGCTTCACGTCTAGTGACTTTCTGGTTACCCTCTATACCACTAGATTACAGTAGATTTGCAAAGACAGCATTATATGCGTGTTAAACTTGATTTCTAAATTAAAGATTGCGATAGACTCAGTTAACAATAGTTAATAACTAGTTATTTTTACTACTTCAACTATTTATTTCAAAATTTGAATATCCTAACAGTTTGCGAGTTGTTTCGTTTCTATTATACATAGGACTCTTGATAAGAGTTGCATAGTTTTGTCGTTGTTTCTAACATAGTAAATAGAAAATAAAATTAATGGATAACAAATACAGAAAAATAAATAGCAAACCAATAAAGTATATAAAAAAAAGAATATAAAATATAAATAGATATTGGTTATGAATGAATATATTTATTTGATGCCGATCATGAATGAATGCATTTGTCTAATATTGTTTTATGCATATTGATTCACGACCGAGAACATACAAAAGAAATCGATTTTGAATTTCATCCGAAAGAATTCTTTAAATTTTATTATGCAAATAAAAATATATGTTAACTATTTATGGAAAAAAATATCCTATGAGCTTTTGCGCACGTAAGAAACGTGCTACACGTAGTTGAAATCAAAGCATCAATATTGGACTAATTCCTGTTTAAGTTCACATATTATTTTACGTGCTGCTGCATTAAAATGTTTAGGAATTATACCTAATAGGTTCTCTTCGCCACTGAAGAAAAAATGTTTTTTTTATTAATTATTAAAACTAACGTTTCACGAAAAACTCACTATGTTCGTAATGTTGCATAAATTCCACTATCAATATAAAATGTTAAAACACCTGTAGCTCGAAAACCATTTGCCTTGGCAAGAATAGCTTCTTGACTAAGTGTTTCGTGTAAAATTTATAAATAAATATATTAACAAACGTATAGATATTAATGAATCAAGAAAAAGAAACTTTGCTAAAGGAGCACAGTTCTTGAACCCTGATGGCATACATTAGCCGAATGAAAAAACGTTTGGAAAAATTGTTCATATACGATGAACTCTATTAGTATGACGGCTCCTAACAAGCGAAAATTTCTTCTTAAAAATTAAGATTTCTTTTTGGAAGATCAAATAGAAAATGTTATTGAATAAATGACTCGAGATGATAGATGTCAAACAGTCGAGTGATCACTATTCAGTTTTCGAATGAGAATCAATTTGAAAAAAGTAACTCTCGTCTGAGTCATGACTCGGTCTCGTCCAGTCCTAGTTAACCAGTCGTCTGTGTGTTAATTGATTTCATCCGATGATGGAATAAATATCAGAAATTAAAGATAATCCGAAAAAAAGGGAAGTCCTAATCTTCCATTGTATTTGATTGATTATTAAATGTTCATTTTCCTCTACTGTTGTTTATAGCCAACTAAGAGTAGCATCTAATTCGAGTTCGAATATACATGGAGAAAAGAAAAAGTTAAACTAACACTAAATCTATTCCTAGATTTAGTTTAACTATCCGATATATACGACATATGAATACATATATACCCCTTACCCACACCCACATTTGAAACCCTCCGGGTACCACACCCTCCCCGCACCCCTCCTACCCACTCCTCACTTGCACCGCCACCGACAATTACTCCTTACCCCCCATCAACCCGCACCCACTCCATCTTATACAGATCTAAAACTAAGTCTATTTCTATCACTTATTTTCGAATTGATACCATGGAGTTGGGTGTCCATTTATATTCGAATTTAGAACTAGACGTCTCATGGAAAAGCATCATGTTAAAGACTAATCACTTCCATTCATCTCAAATACTGTCCGATTTGAACTGGTGCTAGGTTATGTAATATAGCGTTCTCTATCAAATCAAAATTTTGAATATCCATTTCTGAACTCTTTACGTATTTAAAACTCATATCTAATTGTATTTTATTGATCTTCTACACCCAAGTGAATGAATCCGACAGTGAATCCTATCGAATCTCATGGATCCGACAAAATCCGATAGGATCCCACTATCGAAATCGTTCTCCTGGGTATAGATATTCATATATTGAATATGTATATTTCTTGTTCATTTGTTCAACATTGTATTCTTTTGATTCATCCGATATTTTTTCTTATGTTGTGTCTTTTTGCATTTCATTTATTATATATAAATTAAATTATTTAACAAAATATAATTTTTTCAATCACTTTTCTTTTTCTCTGAGGAATGTCCGAGGACTGGTGATTAGGAATTCCTCCACAGTTCCAACAATGTTAAAACTGAAAATATAGACTATTCATGATACTTTTTACTTTCACACTTGTTTTCGTTAGGGATGTTTTGGATATGGATGTGTGGGCACCGAAACTATTTTCGAAAAAGTGTTATATGGACGTTTACGAATAGGGGAACTATAAGGAAACCCATGGTCAATTCTCATTTCTCAAAAGAACTATATCTTGGCAATGCTGACATTTCTTTCACAAATTAGCAATTCCTATTCTTCAGTTCTTGGACACTACTGAACATGAAAAGATAAAAAAGAAAAAGAAAAAATAATTGACTAAAGAAATTTTCCGTTTTTATTTATTGAAAAATCGACTGACTAAAACAAAAATAGAATATTTTCTAAGTCGAAGATCAAATAAGACTAAACTATTCATTGACTTGAAAAAAAAAGAAAAGAAAAAGAAAAAGAAAAATTATTGTTTCGTAGTAGCTGTTTGATCTAATTTTTTCGCTGCTTTTTCCGTATTTTTACTAGTTGGTTGTTGAAGATCTGGATGCATAGAACCAGTTTCTTGTAATCTAACATGCCATGCTAAAGCTTGTTTAAGATCATGTGGCGTCTGTTGAGCAAATGAAACACGTTGTGAATGTTCAACATAATCTCTTAATAAATCTTTACACATGGGATGAACACATGTATCAATAATTAATTTTGCTCGTTCTCGAGGAGTTTTAGCACCTAAATCAGCTAAACCATGTTCACTAATCATGATTTGAGTTGAACGTTCATGATGATTAACATGGGAGGCCATTGGAACAAGTACAGATATTTTCCCTCCTTTAGCTACTGATGGAGTAATAAAGATTGATATATACTAAAGAAAGTAACAAATTTGTATTTCAGATAAACAAAAGATAATCTTACAGCATTTCGTGTAAAATCTTCACTTCCAGCAATTCCATTCATCATTGATGAACCGAGAACATGTGTTGAATTAACATTTCCATAAATATCAGGTTCTCATGCTGTATTAATTGTAATAAGGCTCATACAACGAATAGCTTCGGGATTATTTGATATTTCCATAGGACGTAAAATAAATTTTAATTTTAAGTCATTTAATTGTTCAAAAAATCTAATTTGTCTTTTTGGAGAAAATGTTAATGCTGCTGTTGATGCAAGACGAAGTTCATTACTATCAGTTAAATCAAATATGGAATCTTAAACCACTTCTGTATACATTTCAATTAATTTAAAACGATTATCTCGAGATTTTAATTTAAAAAAATATATTTTATTATCTTTGAGATGATTATCATCTTCTTCATCTTATCAATACAATATGAAACAGCGTTGGCAGCATTTCCAACAACAGATTGAAACGGAAGTAATTTTTTCGGAATTCCTTTTTTGAAAATTTTTATTTTAAAAAGAAGAAAAGAAAAGAAACTTACTACCATGTTCAACTACATGAAGAATAAAAAAAAATGATTTGCTATTTTAAAAACTTGTTTCAGCAGATTGTTTAAAACCATAAGGCAATGTTGTACGTGGAAATTTTTTAACTGTTAAATACTCAGGATTTTATTACTTTTTCATTGTGATTCGACTGGAATTGAATTTAGCATGATGAGAATGCATTATTTTCTTCGAAATTTTATATTTGAAGAAAAATATAAAAAAATCTGCCTTTTTATTTCTCAATATGCACATCACATAGCGTGGATGCTTGGCAAGGGAGTTAAACTTTGACAAAACACGATAAAAGTCCTCGAACAATATAAGAGAAAAAAAGCTAGATTTGTTGATAGATGTTAAATTATGGCTGAACAGTTGTTCATTCTTCGACTTTCATGGTTTAAAAAACTTAATTTGGGTGCATCGGTGTTTGGTGGATTTTCATCATCTTTGTGTGGAATGTCGGCATGGTGTGGGTGTAGTTGAATGTGGAAACACTTTCCTATGTATTAAAAATCATAATATCTTCTTGATATATATATATATTGTTCTTCCCATTGGTTCAGGACGGTTTTCGGCCGCCTTCGCGTTCTCTTGTTATTTTTAATCGAATTTATAAAAAACAATCTTGAAAATTTAGCTAAAATAAGTTTATTTTTCCTTCAGAAAACCCTAGAATGTTCCTATAAATCCTAGTTTTCCAGTGTGAAGATCCTGTTTTAGGAAGAAATAATTGCTAGATAAAATTTTCTGGCACTTTGGCTAGTCGATAGACACAAGAATAACTTTCATGTTGAGCATGAAAGTTGAGTTCTAATCAATTCAATTTTACCTAGGATTTTACTTGCAAAAAGGGTTATGTCCAAGAAAACTAGGAATTATCCCCATGAAGATAGTATGTAAGAGAAAATTGTTTGCTAGATAAAATGTACCTGAGACATCGACTAGTCGATTGCGATCTTGATGAGTTCGATACGTTGAACGATGTTCGAGCTATTTAAATTCTTCGAACAAAGAACATGGGGAGAGGACAGAATATGTGTTTTCCCTCAGGCAATGTTATACGTGGAAATTTTTTGAAATTTTTTTAACTATTAACAATGCAAAAGAATCTCTACACAAGCACTGTTCATTTAAAACAACCACCGGAATTGAAATGAATTGAACTAAAAAGACTTCAACTGATTAACTATCATTATTTGTTTGTTGTTGTACTATTTCAGGTGCTAATGGTTCTGGTAACTGCTCATTTTCTGATGTTGATTGGTCTAGAATTTCGTTAATATTCTTTTGATGTTTTATTCTTGTCGATAAATCTTCTAGTTGTTCATTATTATCAATGTCAATTAATTGTGGAAGTTTTTCGAAATTTGGAAAACGTGCATATGTACCATTCAATAACTCTTGTACGTCACTCACTGTTTGTGTTAAATGTCTATTGAAATCAAGAAGATTTTCATCAAATTTTTCACAATGGTGATCAAGTTCATGATAAAGAATAAATCTTTTACGTGATTGTTCATTGTTTGATTCATTTGATAATGAAGAATCAAATAATGAAACAAATTTTGATGGTAACACAGGTTCACCACGCATATATAAAGAAAAATCATCGGATGATAAACCAAGATGTTGAGCTTGTAAAAGCTCAATAAAACGAACTGCTGAATCCTAGAAGACAAAAAATTTGTTTCATAAAGGGAAAACAAATATTATTTTTCCAGCTCTAAAACATACAAGATTCGCTAAATAATAAAGTTGTTCTCCACTTGGTTGAGAAAATTGACTTAAAAATTGTATATTTGAATGTAAACGTGGTGGTTTAGCTTTTAATACAATAAAAATAAGTGCTGGAAGAAAACTGTCAGCATTAATTCCACTACTACTACTACTAGCACGTATGGCATCTTCAATATATGTTTTACATTCCATTATTGAATGGATTTTTCCTTGTGGTGTTGTTTTAGAATCAATTTCAATTAAAGCTAATATAGAAAAGAAAAAAACAAAAAGATAATAAAAAGTATTTCGTGCAAAATATTTCATATATACAATTAATAGCTTTATAAATAGCTTCACGAGCAAGAGGTATATTTTCATTAAGTACTGTATCTAGCATATGTGTGGTTATCCAATGAAGTGATGATATTCGATTTTGTATTGATAAATCTTTATCTTCACATAGAATAGCAATCCGATTAAATATGAATGCATAATCACGTGAAAAAACAATTTTTTCAAGATAATCACGAACACGAAGGATCAAATCCTCATTTTCATCTAAATCAATTAAAAAGAAAAAGAATAAATTTTTCACATCGATATAGATATATTAAAAAGATTTGTTTTCTTTTTACCTCGATATATTGGATTGGTTTGTATACGTTTTTTAAATGTATCTTTATATAATGCATACTCTTGAATAAGTGCATCAATGTGAATATTTTTATTCGAACATTTCTTATGAAAACTATTTGCAAATGATTTTACTTGAGACTTAATGTCAAGACGTGCATCATCTGTAGTCATGACATCTAAATGTTTACTTGCAGCTTCATTTTCTAAGGCATTTTCGTCATTGATCAACGATGATAATACTGAATTACTTGTTGCTGTGACAAAAAGAGAAATGATTTTTTAAGATAACAATAATTATTCGTATAGTTACATCGAAGACTGCCAGCTCGATTGACCATTTGACGAATAGGATTACGCATATTCATGTTAGAACGTCGTTTTTCTTGAAAATTAGAAAATGATGGAGAAGATTGGATCGATGCTGTTGGAGAGTCATCTGGTGTTGAACTAATAAAATAATTATTATCAATTAGGTCCTATGACATACTCATATGCTAAGATAGTGAGTCTCCACGGACTATATCAGATGATTTATTGTAATATAAAAAATTGTTAAATTAATACGCGAAACGTAAAAATTTCGAAGTTCAAAAAGAAATATATATAAGATTTCATTTTACATATATACATATTCTTTTAGGCTGTTTTTTATAAGTATAAAACGATGAAACTATCATCGATAGTATAGATTTAAGGATTTTTACCTTAGTTTTCCATCATAAGCTGCTTGAATGTGTCTTGCTTGTTGATAAACTTCACGATAACATTTACTACAAAATCCATCCCATATCTTATTTCCATAAAAGCCACAAGCATTTCGACAAAGTTCACCGTCTGCTTTTGAATTTGTTGATGTCGATTGTGATTTAAGCATGATAGTTTTCCTTCGAAAATCTGTTTTTTTTTGGATTATGTTTTTCAAAGAAAAAAAATTCTATCTTAAAGGAGAATTAAATAAATATTCATTAGCTCAGAAAAAAGTCTTGTCGAATAGAAAAAGAGCAGTAAAATGATCGAAAACAATGCCAACGCTTTTTTATCACTGAATTCCAAAGCATGGGGAAAAAAACGAAGATTTTCAAATATATAATCATAAAAAGATAGTAAATATTAATAATCAGCAAAGTGAAACAAATAATTGAATCTGTTTAGCAGATCAGATTGGAACATTTTCTTTACATTTGTTTACGGATTATTAAAAAATATTGAAAATCAGAATATATATAATGTTCTTTAATAAAAGTTCACCGAAGGACTACCAAAAGTATATATAACTGAATGCTGATATTCAAAAATAATTTACTCTGAAAAAACAAATAAAATGAACATTAAGAAACTACTTAAAGCTATTTATTAAATAAATCATTCAATATTTATCGCTTTATAGTTTTTACTTGAATAATTTTGTTTATTTTCGTTTATTCTATACTCATCATCTTACGTTGAGTATTATTATCGACGAATGAAAAATACGAAATTACAGATGGCGTATGAAAAACCATGCAATTTTGTTTTTATTAATTTGAATCAGAGGCAGCAAACTTTTTTTCATAGTTCTTGATCAAAATAAAAATGAATGATACTTCAAAATATCGAGAGATCTATTTTTCGATTTGATTTTTCCTCAGAAGATGATCTCATACGATAGAAAAGAAACAAAAAACATATCTATCACGTTGCGCAGACCTTCATATGCATTTTTATGAATAACATCAAAAAAAATCTTATCTTTTATCTACATTTTCAAATAATAACGAAAAGCGAAGAAAAAAAGCTGAACATCGGTAGAAATGGAAGAAAGAAAACAAAGATTCAATGATCAATAAATGAAAAGCATCCGAAAAAGAGATCTATGTTTTTCTATCTAATAAACTTTTTATCGCCAACTTGTTTAATATGTCGATCATTAGCTAATGAACATCGACAAAGAGGACAGCAAAGTGAAAATTCGCCATTTGATTCGATCCATTTTTTAAGACAAATCCGATGGTATTGATGTAAACATGTTGTTAAAATTGTTGTTCTTTTATCAAATGATAATCTCTCCAAGCAAATCGAACATTCATCAAAATAATCTGACATTGGTTCATCTTCACTGTTATTTATTATTGCTTGTCGAAGTCGGTCACGAAGTACTTCAGTTTTACCTGCTGCTTTTAAATTTCTAAATTTTAATTCAATTTGTAATTCTCGATAAGTTAATTTATTAATATCACTAATGAGCATTGTTGAAGGCAAAAGCAATTATTGATAAAATCTGAAATAAGAAAAATCGTTGTTGAATGCCTTCAAACTACATACGTATATCTACAGCTTATCATTTGAAGATACGTACCAAATTATCGCATTAACGAGTCTTTGTACAGATACAGTATCTATCCTCTGTCTATTTTGTTCATTCTGCCAATGATGAGTCACAATCACACTCACAATGTTATATCGAACGAACTGAATCTTTCCGATAACCAATGATTCAGAATTTTCTATGGAAACATTATTATATACGTATATGATTATTTATTTATTCTAATAATGTTTTCAAAAAAGAAAAAAGAAAATTGGACAAAGCAATCATCAAAGTAAAACTTGAAAAAAAAGAGACGAGTAATTTTATTAATCATCCGTATCCATAGATTGTCTACTACTAAATTTAAGTAATTTAGCTGTAGTATTCGCTTTCCATTGATTTAAAAGGAATGGCAGTACTGGTGCTGACTGCGGTACGTTCTTTGGTACACATATACTTGGTTGTCTTGCTCCGCATTGATACTCTATCTTCGATAGTTTTTTTTTAAACTGTCGTATTGACTCAACATATGCATCGAAAAATATTGTTTGACGATTGTTCAGTGTATTTTCTGTATCAACTAATTTTTTAATACGATTTTGTATACTTAACAATTGTTCTTGTTCAACGTATCGTTTTGAATCGGTTAGCGTTTCATCAAGAAGATTATCTTTACGTAATATTGATTTACCTTTTTCAATTAATTTTGATAAGGATTCAGGATAATTATCAAGTACAAGCCATAAATCTTCTTTTGTTAGCGTATATAAATCTGAATAACCTAAAGACTTAACGTTCGCTGTACGACGATTTCCGTTTTTTGAACCTAAAAATTTCCATTTTAGTGACTATTTTAAAAAGAAAATCATAACCGAATACCAGGTATATTTAAAATCGATATTTCACCAAATACAGAACCTTCTTTTAATACAACAAATGTTATTTTTCCATCGTCACTTACGACAGCTAATTGACCACGTTTAATAATATACATTTCTTTACCGATATCACCTTTTCGACAAACATAATCACCTGGACCAAAAAATATTGGTTTCAATTTTGTGACCTTTAAAAACAAAACAAAAACGATAAAAAAAAATCCTATTACAATAGTTTAAATTCACAAGCTCAATAAGTAAATTTGGTTCACAATCATGAAATAATGTAACTTGTTTTAATGATTCTAAATGTACTTTAATAGCAAGATCTTTACGTAATTCAACACTTAAATCAGAATTTAAAACCATTTCTTCATTTAATACTTGTCGATTTGTATACAGATAATCAAGCCATTTTATAACTTTTTGTTCAAGTTTTCGATTAACTGAACGAAATTTCATATAGCGTTTGATTTCGTCCATTTTTTCACAGACTTGTTGTCCTAAGAAGAAAAAATGAAAACGAACTCTTTTCCTTTTTAAATATATATTTTTTTTATCGTACTTGATTGATTTTGTGATGATATCATTGTACCAAGACTTCCAATAATAGTAGCAAATATTAGAATACCTATTCAAAAAGATTGAAAGGATTTCATTGAATTTTCTATATTAACCAAACTATTGTCAGATGATAGTTTTCTAGGAAATTTTTGTATTCTTAAACATAATTGATACCAGTATGAATGTACGAAGTGAAATTTCAACAGAATGAAACACTAAAAATGAGATAGCTAATATTGCACAGCGTCGTCTAGAATCATTCGAAATCTCGTAATCATACAAATTAGAAAACAACTACAACCCAAGATACTCAAAATATTGACTATTTCAATTAATGACGTAATAAAAATTTTAAATAATTTTTAACATTTTCAATAGATATCTAAGAAAAGTTTCTAAATTCCTATCACTATTCGTTTTTTCAAACAAAAAGTCGCTGACTTTTAAATATATTCAATATTCTGTTGATAACATACCAATCATAAAATCAAGCAAAACAAATATATATTCAATTCTTTTTACAGGCAATGGAACATCACCGATAGTACTTAATAAAAGTGTTGACCAATAAAAACAATATGTATAAAGCATTGCAACTGTTTCATTTTTTGCTGCTGCAGGTAATACCCATCGATCAGTACCAAAACCCAAATATTGACAAATAAGAAGATAAGCGCAACTATTCCTAAACGAAAATTTAACTATTTTTGTACTTTACTTAGAACAAAAATCCCTTAGGGTGCCATTTTTTTACCAATGAATTAGTGTAAGAGTTAAACATATAAGACACAAAATTCGAAATGCATTGGGAAATCTTGTACGCGATTCCGTTAAATCTTGAAATTCAAAGAGACGATTAATACGTAAAAATCGATTGCAACGTATTATAGAAATAAAACGAAAATATGGTATTAAATATAAAAAGTCAGTTGGAATAATTGACAAAAGATCGCGTGAGTAAAATTGCCGCGATGTAAAATAATTACGTGACAAAACATAATGATTACGAACAAATAAACCATGACTAAAATAGCCTAAAAAAAAGAGGAAATATTCTCATTTCTCTTTAAAACTGGTTGCTTTTATTCACCTGTTCTCGACTGCATAAAAATATCAATCAAATAGATTATGTCAAAACTGTAATCTAATGATATCCAAACAATTCTTAAGTTTTTATCTAATTGTTTAAATGAGTATCGAGCTGGTATCAACAAAATATTATAGGCAACAGCAAGTGAAATAATTGCTAGCCAATAATGATATAAATAGTTTTGTGAATCAATTACAAAACCAGTACTACAAAAAGATACGCACACACACATATGTTTTTATTTATTAATCAACTTTCATCTGTAGTCAAGCTTTGACTTACACTTGGAAATCTTCATTTCGAACAGGCGTTTCTGTTTTTTTATTCTGTTCGTGCAAAAGACTAGTTTGTTGTTCATCTTTCTTATTAGCTACACAACGACTAATAAGCGGATGAAAAACACGTTTTCGAAAGTTCTGTAAGAGTAAATACACTAAATTAACGAAATATGACAAATAAAATAAAATAAGAACCTTCAGTTTTCCATTTGATGACGGTTTTTTTTGCTCTTCGCCGTTCATCATTATCACTTGAGTGCTTCTTCTCACTTGAATTAAATGTCAGTAAAAATGAAAAATAACGAAGACGACGATGACGTTTCTATAGAGTTATTTCTTTCTGTCTTTTCTCTCTACATCCCTACTGCCAGTGAATGAGTGACGTTTAAACTCATCCTTCTTACATCAAGACAACGCTGTGCACCGTAGATAAAATTAAACACGAGCGTTAACATTTTACAATCAGGTTATTTTTTTTTATTTAAAAAAAAAGATTAAAAAGAAGAAAAGAAAATTTAAGTCTCATCAAATCCAATCGGTTTCACATCTTTGAACGAGTAAGCCAACCATGTTCCTATAATGAAATATGTAGATAATAATTTCTATATAGAAAAAAAGAATATTAATCATACTTGTTGAACACGACCCGATGATGGGTCAATTATAACATTGATAATTGATGGGCGGGTTTTTTCAGCTAATGCTGATTGCACACTTTTTTTTACTTCTTCTATTGAACATGCCAAATAACCTTGGCAACCAAAAGCTCCAGCTATCCGTTCGTAATTTGCTTGCGTTAATGATGTTGGTGGTAAACTATGCGTTTTAAATTAGAAATATTTAAAAAAAACAAAGGTTTTCATATTAAATAAAATTCTGTGCAACATTTCTGATTAACTTTTATTCACGTAAAAGCCACTGGTAGGGGTGTAACAGTTCTCAGATCTAAGTCCCTAGTCGCTGGGAACATTCATAATTAATCAACTAGAATTTGAAATTCCTACTCTTTCTTACTTTCTATTCAGAATTCATTCGTTAGTCTAAAGTGGTTTCATTTGTTAGAACTTTTCGATAGTAACTAAAAACATTGTTTTGACAGATTTGTTTTTGATGTATGTCAGTTCCAAAAATTGTAATTAAGACTGCTCTAATGAAAGCAATTATAAAAAAATCTTTTTATATACTGATTTCAAGAGAAAAACTTATTCCACAAAGTATGTCATTTGCTTCTCTTTGCAGAAAACAATGAAAACAATCTTCATATATTGTATTCTATATACTAAAACTTGAAAGAGTGACTAATCACAATATTCCTTTAGTCACAAAACTTATGCAACTCTAGCTTACTGAAAAACTGGAATCTAGTGCGTAATGAAATTTTTAAATAGACAACAAAGTTAAAACTATTTTCAAGTCTGATTTAAAGAAGTAATGACCAACAAAAAGAAATTTTTTTAACAAATTTGGTTTATCTCAATAAATACATACAGTTTAACCAAGAGTAAGTAAAAATAAACTCTGAACAAACGTTTTTTTTTATCAGTATTGAGACTTGATTCTAACTGACTGCTTTTAATTCTATCTAGATGTTCCAAAAATGGACACACCTATTTACCAACAGCATTTGTTTTTCGCTGTATAAAAGTTTTACTTTAAACTATCGTCACAGATTTTTTCTCGATCAATTGACTTCACGTTAACAAAACGAAGTCTGATGTTTTTATGAGATAAAAGAAGATGCTATCCTAGTTCAAGTTGATTACTTTGGAGCTTTTCTAGTGACTTTTAAGTGAAAAACAAACTAGCCAAACATGCTACACAAAATATCGTGACACATCAGTTGCTTATCAATCTTATAATCAAGTAATACTTTAAAGTAGAATCTTTTTTAGCCATCTCTTGAAATGAATCTGAATCGACACCAGTATAAATACCACCATTATTGATTATGATAAATACGATTGGAAGACTATAACTACAATGAAAATATGAACGATTAATTTGTATGTTTCAAAGGTGAAGTATCGTACCGAGCCGCTGTTTCAAATTCAAGACCACTAAAACCAAAAGCACTATCACCTTCAACACATATCACACGTTTTTCAGGTTCATGATCTTGACAATAGATAGCTGCTGCTACGGCGAAACCTGGACCAACACCCATTGTACCTAAATAGTTATTTCTTATATGTAAAACTTTTCAAATGTTTGGTTTTCTTTTTCTTGAAAATAAAATAGAACATAATTCGTACCAAATGTTCCAGCATCTAGTCGATGGCGAGCTTTTGAATTCAATAACATCGTTCTTCCAATATCCATGGTATTAGCACCTTCGCTTACTATGATTGCATCCTTTGGAATAATTGATTGAATCTAGATTTGATAATGTCATGGAATAAAAATTAATAATTTAATTAAAACATACTGCATCAAATGCTGCATAATAATTAAGCATCGAGCTTTCTTTCGAATGGATAAGAGCCTAAATAGACGAATAAATCAAATACAACACATATTCGATTCATACATATGCATAGAAACAATGAATAGTCAATAATGTGTAAAATATCGTATTGACGAAACTATACCGGGTATGACAAAAGTTTTGCAACTTTCTTTATTTTGCATGCATCTGTTTTTAGGAGCATAACAAAACATTGGTCTTTCTCTCAAAAGATGCGCTAATGAATTCTCTACAAACCTCTATTTGTCTTAGTTTAAAACAATAGAATTGAACTCTTTTATAGATTACATAGTACGATTATGTGAAACGATCGTTTGTCACGCACATTTTACTTTTGTTTATCCAAACGTTTTTCCACATTAAAAATGGACATCTAGGAAACTCTCTCATTGTAATTGGAGTACATGTGGAATGTTGTTTCAGAATTATTTGCGAGTGTTTGATTGTATCTATATTCAGAACCATATATGACCTATGTGAGATGCTACACGAAAACGACCTTCTTGACACTATTTAAACTATTCTTCGAGTGAAATTGTTTTTCACGCGTCATTTGGACTGCGTATAATTAGAAAGAAAAACTAATTACCTAAAAAATACTGCAAAAATGAAAACGATTTGATGCTAAGTGATATCTCTAGAATGATTACTTTGAAACAGAGAAATCCGATATGAAAACCCCGCTATTTTCAAAATATGACCATACGTCAAACCGAAGAAAAACCATAAAAACCTGCCTGCATGAAAGCAAGCGACTGAGAATTCCAAGAGCTGTCTAGCAGTATATAATGTTTTAAAAGTTGAATATTTACTTCCGCGAAAAGAATAAATTACTAAAAACTGTGCGGGACAAACGATCGTTTCACATAATCGTACAATGTAATCTATAAAAGAGTTCAATTCTATTGTTCTAAACTAAGACAAATAGAAGTTTGTAGAGAATTCGGTAGCGCATCTTTTGAGAGAAAGACCAATGTTTTGTTAATCTTCTAAAAACAGATGCGTGCAAAATAAAGAATGTTGCAAAAACTTTTGTCACACTCGGTATTCAAGTTCAGAAATAATTGCTTATCTGTTTTCTTCTTGAAAAAATTAACAATTCATTGCCTTCTGTTTAGTCATCTTACATCACTACGTTGTTTATTTGAAATTAATTTTTTTCTAAGTAAACTCCACCATTGTGTTGCTGCATCATATTTCCATTTTGTTTCATTTTCATTCAACTGTAAATATAGAAAATCAATGTTTTTATTCTCATAGACAATTAACCAACAACCATTCAATTACTTGTTTTAATACTGTTTTAAGATCAGCTTGAATCGCCAATTCACTTTGAACATTATTGTGTAATTCATTTGTATCATTTTCAATCTAAGTATTTTGAAAGAAATTGATGTTTTTTTTCATGACAAAATAATAAAATAATTCAAGTTTACTTGAATTATTTTAACATTGGGATTAAAACGAGGTTGTTTTCCAAAATGCAGCATCCAGTTAAGACGTGCGCCAAGTAAAATAATGCAATCGGCCTCTTGCAATGCAGTTGAACGTGCGGCACCGACCGACAATGGATGACGATCATCTAATGTTCCTTTACCCATAGGTGTTGCAAGAAAAGGCAAATTAAATTGTTCAATAAATTGCTTGGCTTGTTCTTCAGCAAATCCATATGAACAACCTGATGATAACAATATTGTGTGTGAAATATATATATATATATATATAGGTGCAAATATTTACCTTTTCCAACTATTACAAGTGGTTTTTGACTTTGCTTAAGTAAATTGAAAAATTCACCAAGTGATTCAACACTAGCTGCAGGTTTTGGAGGTTTTTTCAATGTTTTGACTTGCCTTCGAAAGAGAATATTCATCGTATAGTTATACTTACAATCGAATCTATCTTACTCCACTTGATTGGTATTTATCGATGAAGTAACAATGTCACCGGGAATATCAAGATAACTTACACCTGATGGTGAATAAATCGAAGAACGAATAGCCTATAAAATAGATATTTCTATTTCAATTATATTTTTAACATAAATATAAATTTTACCTTTTCGACAAAGAATGGGACTCGTTCAAGTGATGAAATACGAGCAGCATATTTTGAATAGAGTCGTGCTGCTTCAACCTAAAAAAGAATAGATAACTTCTAAATACTATCAATCACATGCATATGACTATATACTTGTGGAAATTCTTGAAATGCACCCATCGATTCTAGTGGCTGATCCGAGGAACCAGCTAAAACTATCATTGGCCTAAATTAACACGTTTGTTTAATCTATGAACAACATTGTGTTTACCATTTATTTACTTGAGCATTTGCCATACCACCAAGCGCATGAACAAGACCAGGCCCTGATACTGTTAAACATACTGCTGGTCTATTAAATCATTTAATGATACTTTCTCAAATTCATATGAATCATAGAATGTCATACTTTCCCGTCAAATAACCAATAGCTGATGCGGCGTACGATGCCTATAATAGAATATATAGTAAACAAGAATCTTCACTTCTATTTAACTAAATACAGCTTGTTCATTACGCATTCCAATATATTTTATTTGAGATTGTTGAGCAGCAAACGCCACTTCGATTATTGGAATACCAACCACGCCAAACATGTATTCAACGCCCTAAAAATATTCGAATATCCGCATGTTGTACTTGCGGCTAAAAAAAAGAGGAGCTTTCTCTTAATGTTCTAAGAAAAAAACAAAACTTTATATTTGAAAAATAGATCTATCAACTTTTAGTAGACTTCTACGCTTGATAATTGGTAAGTAGACTTGTAGCAATGTTACAATTTTTGAAAGAAGAGCGGAATTCATGTACCTACAGGCTTTATTATCTCTTACAATTTCAAGATTAATTGAATCTTACCTGTTTCTTCAATGCTTCCGCAATGACTTGGGCACCCATGACTTCATTGCCTTCCGGTGCTTTCTCTGAAGCACTACCAGCAGAACTCTTCGAGGAAGATGCCATTTTCTACTTGTATGAAAAGAAAATTCTTCTATTATTGTAAAAAAATAAATCTTCTATACAGATGTAAGACAAGTACGAAAGCTATTCGAGAGTAATAACTTGTGTCTGACTTGACGAATAATAGATGAATACATTTATCTAAAAAAAAAGAAAAGAAAAGGAAAGGACAAAAACGTGCATTCTTTCTTTAGCCAACAAAAGAAAATGGTGTAACAGTAAGAATAAAATAAATCTTGGCTAGTTGAAATGATGATTCGTCTGAGAAGAATCAACTCGGAAAGCACAATTCTGATGAGCTATGTTTAAAAGCTCGATCACAATATTGTCGAACTCTTTCAAGCGTTTGAAAAAAACGAAACAAAATACAACAACAAAAAAAAGATTCGATTGAATATAACTCTATCTATCACCATTACTTCGCTTTAATATAACCTCGAGATTATATTTGTAGAAGAAATAAAAAAAATGAAACCAAAGAGTCAAGTGTAGATACGAAGAAGATATAAATATCTCATTGAAAGAATCAGATATAACAGAATGTTAACGATATTTTCCTCTTTGTTTGGTATCTTCATTTAGCAATATAACAGAAATACTAATATTTTTTACCCGAAAGACACATCGTTTGATACTATATCAGAATTATATCTTTATAGTCTTACAATTTTTATAGTTCATCTAATATTTGATTCAACATCCGATATAAAACGGAAATAAATTAACTTTTCTAACACTCGAGGGTTATTTCATAGCGTGAATTGAATTCTAAAATGCTGTGTCTTATTTATCACGACTCACTATCTTAATAGACTTTTTCTAGCAATAATATTCGACAACATGGTTAAAAAGACATGAACTTTCTCGTATCGATACGCAGATCATCGACTTCTTAGAATATACTTAGACAAATATTGAAAACATACAATTACAACACAGCCATGATCTAAATACTTTGTTGAACAAAGTACTGTTCCTTGATACTACTACGTATGGTACATGAAATATGAGAAGGTATCTAATACAAAAATGATTTGATCTATAAGGTCAACGAATTCATGAAATGCTTTTGCTTTGTTTCATTATACACGGATTACTTCTTGACTCTAATCGAGTGAATTATCACGAAGACAACAAACTCAATTATTAAGAGTTTCCATTCATAAGTTTTGAATAATTGCTATTTCTTATAAGGGGAATAGTAGCATGATAAAAATACGTATTATTAAATTTTAGTGATACATTGAAATTTCGAAAATAAATGCAAAAAATAAAGTTTTTAATTCTGATTGAATATTAACTGGTGTATCCTTGAAAGAAAAACAAATCAGCTCTCTTTTATATTCCTAAACTGAAATCTATGCAAAAAGAGATAACCATGTCGTTAAATTCGTTATATGAGATAGAAATGTCAATATTACCAAGGAGATACACGTGTAATATGAATAAACAAGAATTTTAAAGATTTTTCGGTATTGTATAAATAGTTTTTGTTATAGTCACCGGTGCTGTTACATTATTATCATTATGGACTGTTTGTTGATTATGTATTAGACTTAAAGTCATTCGTTTAGTGAATGTTTGCAAACGTGTATAATCACGTGTAATAGCCATCGAAGCATATTCAAGTTCAATATTATTTGATAGATCTAATATACTCAAAACTTTTTCAATTGGAAATTGTAATGGTAAATATTCTGATAATTGTGCGATCTTTTATATTTAAAAGACAAATTATTATTTTGTGAAAAAAAATGTAACAGTTACTTACTAGCTTTGGCTTAATAAATTGTTTCAGTGACTTATTTTTTCGACTAAACATCCAAAGAATAGTTTGTAACCATCCAAGAAAATAATTAACTGGTCGAACACTATCACCTGAAAAAAGTTCTTTTGATGAAGAATCTAAAAATTCATGGAAAGCATCTAAAACACTTGTTTCTTCATATTTTGGCATAAGATCATTGTAATTATCTTCAATTGTATCAAATGACATTGAATCTATAGTTTGATACATTTTTTTCCATGATTTAACACGAAATAAATCGCCTAATTCATCATTGTTTGTATTTAGCTCAAGTACCAATAATATATTTAGTAATACACACATACTATAGACATTTGGTTCAAGCATAAATTCATTAGATTTTATATTTATTAAATAGGGTAAAACATATTGTAGAAGACATCGTGTTGATGAACGCCGTCGAAATAATGTAAAACCAAATATAAAATAGAGCGCACGACGTGTTTCATATATACCATTAGATGTATTTATATTTGTTAATAAACGTGTTAGCATCAAGTGAATCGGAACATGTTTTGAACAAATATATAAACCACGTGCTTGTTCACAATCAAGAAACTCATTTGTTAGATATGCATCAAATAAAGTTAGAATTATTGCTGTTGCTGTTCCTGTTTGAGGAGATGATGGCGTATAATAGTTAACTATTGATGATGAGGATATTGGAGGAAGAAGCGTATGATATGGTAGTATTGGATTATCAATAAAATCTGACCATAATTGGCGTTTTATCGCATCAAACAATGAATGAATGGTTGATGTTGAATCAGCAGATGTACCTATTGAATATATTATTATTAAATTACAAAAAAATGTTAAGAAAAAAAAAGAATCGTAGCTATGAACAAATCTATTTGATAAGAAAAGCCTTATTACATTCTCATACTTTTACTTTATTGATATTGATATTAAAACGATACAGCTAAGTCTTATCCAAGTATTCATTCTAGTGAAATATATTAAGATGCATTATACAATAACATTATATTCTATGTGAAAAGAAGCTCTAGTGAATTCAGTAGACTGAAAAAGATGTAACATCAATGAAGATTGGTTATATTCGTAGAAATCATGTGTCTAATTCTTATAGAACTACTGTATAATTCTTTTCTAAGTACATACGAATTAGTCAACTGAAAGTAGTTAACAAGTTTTTGTGATAGAAAAAAATATCGAAAAGAAGAGAGCTGACATACGCGTCTGATATATGAAGTATTCATTGTTTTGACATCGTCAGAATATACTAAACCAAACATTTTTATAATATCTATAATTATATTTCTTCTTAAACTACTGAAAATTTTCAAAACATATTGAAAACTAAGATCCAATAACGATATGGTAATATGATTATAGATGAAATTTAACTATTGATCATAAGAATGAACTAAAATAATCTCAACGTGCCATGATAGAAAGCAGAAATGTCGAATATGTCTATAATTTAGTCGAATGGCATCATTCTGAAACAATTGTTATGAGCTCAATTTAATATGATTACTAGAATATAAATTATTGGTCAAGTATTTTTTACTCCATACATTTTTTCTTTACAATTTGATAACATTACAATAGTAATAAAAATGATATGAAAATATTTTTTAAAGTACTAGTTTTTAAATTGTTTACTTTAGATGCTCATCTAAACATTTTCAAGATGATAATCATTACCGGCATGTAAATTGAGATCTGTGTAAATATTTTTTTTTGTTTTGATTATTCTAGGAAAACTTCAATAGATATAATTATGAATGGATGTTTTCTTATTTACTTTACTGTTCTGATACATATAGATCAAGTATATGAGAGTATAACTGTGAATCTTATATTTTCTAGTACGCATTTTCTAATGCATAAGAACGGATACACAACATAAACTCTAAAATTCCTGTTATACTCAAATTTGGTTTTAGACTCTACTAAGTCAGATATGACACTATCCTTTCAAGTTCAAGAAACAGTTCTGTTTATGTACCCATAGTATGTATCATTTTTTGAATCCAAATTCTCTCATCATCATTGGAAATTTGATAATTAGCAATAAGCCATAGAAGGACATGTACTAATGTACCATATGAAACTTGTGTTAAATGTATAATTAATGCTGAGATACTTTGTTTTGTTTCATCTAATGATAATGATGGGAGTTCTCCAAGTGAATAAATTGTTTTAAATAAATATTCAGTATCCGTATATTTTCTTTGGATATTTCGATTATTTGATGTTCTAATTTCATTTAAAAATTCTCCTTTTTCCTTTGATGACATATCACCCAATAGATTAGTTATTGGTGACATTAATTCAATAGAATCGAGTGACGATGAAAATAATGCATGACCAATATGACGTGATAACCAATATTTTTTTAACCAAATATAAATAATGTACGATATTGATGATTTTTCATACTTAAGATCTAAATGACCAAAATCTTCAGATATATCGTCAGTTATAGATGTTAAATAACAAAGTATTAATAATGCAAGATCAAATTGTGTTTCTGTATACGATAGAAGCAAACGAACAAATGAATAATATTGATCGAGTGCACATATTAATGGGATATAGTCAGTTAAATTATTAATTAATAATTGTAAATTGTCTTCATTATTTGATGATGAATCTACTAAAAATATTTTATATAATGACTGTTCGAGAGAACGTTGTAACTGAAGGATTTGAAATGAATATGAATCTAAAAATAAAATGAGCTAAATAAATTGATTGAAATTAAAAATATTTTCAAACTTACGTGTTTGTTGATTACGATAATATTCTTGAATTCGTTTAACATATGGTTCACGAATATTCTGTATAGAGGAAATTAACTCATTTATTTTGCTTTCATACTTTTCTCGTACATCATTTTTAGTATAATTTAATGTAGTATGTAAAATTTGTTCTAGAACATTTTCTTCGCACAATTCATCAATTCGATTAAGTAAATATTCATTATGTAATAAAAAGTTTTCTATAGCTTGTTTAACATTGTCTACTTGGGTTTCAATACTTGATGCTAATAAACGTGGTAATTGAAAAAATATATACGCTGACCAACGTTGTTGGTATTCACTATTATTTGTTGATATTGATGAAACATAACCACCAAATGATGCCTGTAGAAGGTGTAGATAAAGCAATGAAGGATTTGACATTGTTGAAACGCACTCATAAAATCGAAGAACTATGAGAAGAATTGAAGATGATTTATGAAGTTGATTTACTACAAGCATTGAAATAATGGAATTGAATATACATGGATTAAATTCAATTTCTTCTTGATGAAAATCTTCGGATAGATGAAGACGAGTTATTCTAAAAGGAAATTTAATCATTTCAATCTTCAGTTAAAAAACAAACTTCATAGTTGTTGATTCATTTTTTATGATAGAAATTGAGAGTTTTCTGAATTGAGATTAGAGAAACTCTAATTCTAACCAGTATATTTTCTCTTATAGTATTCGAACAAATAAGTACATCAATTTATATACATATAGGGCGACAATTATGTTAACCCACATAGATTTTTATGAACTTATCTATAACCTATTTGAAATCAGTTTCTTTTTCATATGATTGATAACACGATGAAGCTTTCGTTGAACAGAATAATAATCATGATTGGCTGCTACTCTTAGAAATCCTCTTATTAGACTATACTATGAATTACTTCTTTTCTTTTCTTGAATTTCTGAAAATAATGATAAAATCTTTTCTTGTTTTTACCGATTCAAAATGTGTCGTCCTTTTAGATCTGTAATTTATGTAGAATGCTTCAAAACACTTAAAAAAACGAATTTTTGTAACTTGTCATCGATAAATTTAGTCTACAGTATACAGTAGCATCTATTCATCAAGATATTTCGAATAATAATTGGCAATGAGCTGTTTTTGGATAGTAACATGACACAAAAATATGGTATTAATAAACGCAGATCATAACATATACAGAACAAAAACAATTTTTTTGAAGTTATTGAGAAAGGCATATTAAAAAATATTTTTTAGGGTTAACTAAAACAACACAATGACATTTCTGTATTTACAATTAGAGAGTAATTTTCAATCTCATTAGAGAGAATTATGATATCAATCATTTGAAAATAGATTTCTCTTCGATGTACTCATCAAAAATTGAGTTTTGTCATTAGTTTTTGCAAAAATCTGTTTTGTTAATGATTCAATACACACTTACTTGAAAAGGATTTCCTCATAAACATATGGTCTCGTCGAATCTTCTATTATTGGTTTTTGTGCAACTTGATTTAATTCTTCTTGTAATTGTCTCCATTCTGTTTGTTCTTTTTGTGCTTTTATTGTCATTAGCCAAAGACAATAATAAGATGTGTTTGTAAAAAATTGAAGAAATAATTTTGAAACTACCGTCAGCATTTCTTTTCTAGATAGTGTCATTTCTTCATTTGAATAAATCAATAATGCTGAACAAAGCCATTTTGCAAGTAAATTGATTTGTTTACCAAGATGAGATGCTTGTTCAGCAGTGATATGCTTTGTTTTAAATATATCTGATAATAATTCGAGTAAAAATTTTATCTGAATATCATCTACTATCGACGATGATGATGGTTTTAGTGTAAGAAGACGTTCTATCACTAATGATTCATTAACATAGCCAGCTCTTGTATGAAATTTAAAATACGATTGAATAAGATTCGATGAAATTGCTGAATCAATATGTTCAAGAATTTGTTCTAAACATAAAAATATTAATACGAAAATAAAAACCAGAAAAAATAGATAGATTATTTTATTTTACTTGTAAATAATGTTCGGAATTCTTCCTCTGATCGACATTCAGCAACTAATGGTGAAAGAGATGCCGAAAAACTTGTTTCGTCTGAACGTAGTTTCCATGCTTCGATTAATTTTTCTTGTACAAAATTTTCATCTGGTCCCATTCTATACAAATTAATTAATGAACGAATCCACCAATAATAGATACGAATTATTATAAAAATCTTTCTGTCATCGAGCATTCAAATTATATTAATTTTAAAAACAAATTCAAAGAAAAATGACAAGAAGAGGCATTAAATTTATCTCAGCATAGGTTCGCCATTTGCAATATTTTGTTGTTTATGCATATTTATTTTGATTTTTCTTCGATAGAATAGCATAGAATCAAGATTAGTACGAAGCAAAATATTTTAAAATATAAGAAAATGTAACTTATTTAAAATAAAAGTAAAAATTGTATGAGATAATCGAGAATCAATAGATACTCAAGTTTTGCTAAACTCAGAGATTGTATGAATTATTATTACTTTATAAGTTTTTTTGGTGAAGATTTGATTTCAAAAAGAATAATATGATAGAAAAATTCGAATAAAATTGTACGAAATAAATCAATTGATGCAACTCTTTCCTATTCAAATTTGTATTTGAAGATAAATTTTGCTTTCATCCATCGAGCAGTGGATGAATCATCATTTGTAACATCCGTACCGTGTTTTTACATTTCTCCAATCAGTCAGTATTTTATGAAAACAATAGATGGAGTTAAGTGTCCTGACTTTTTTCTCTGCATATACCTATTTTCTTGTGCGTAACGAAGCCCAACATTCAAAGATAAGGCCGAGTAGCAAGAGAAGCGAGCATTAACCCCTTTTCTTTTCTTTTCATATCATTCTATTCTTTTTTGTCTTTTCGCTTCGTGGTGTATAAATATGTCTTCAGCTCCTGAGCAATCATGTAAACCAAGTGGTGACTGGTCTCAGTTATTATTGAATAAAGTTGTTATTGTTACTGGTGCTGGTGGAGCTATTGGAGCTGCAATTTCACATTGCTGTGTATTGCACGGTGCACGTGTTGCTATAGCCGATATCAATAAAAACGCAGCTGATGCAGTAGTAACAAAAATTATCACGGATGATCAAACACAAAAAGACAATGTGATGGGAATTGAACTTGATGTAACTGATGAGCAAGCAATACAAAAAGCAGTAAAATCCGTTGTAGATAAATGGAATAGAGTCGATGTACTTGTCAATAAGTATGTTGACTCTTCTATAGAATGAAGAGATATTAATTTCATTTATTTGTTTAATATTAGCGCTGCTATTTTTACTTTGTGCTCAATTGAAGATGCATCAGCAGAAGCATGGTCAGAAATATTCAACGTCAACGTACGTGGTTATGCCCTCATGGCTAAAGCTGTTGTTCCTTTAATGAAAAAGCAACGATCTGGATCAATTATTCAAATGGCTAGTATCAGCAGTTGGGTTGCTCAACCAAACTTTGTACCTTATAGTACAACAAAAGGAGCTGTTCTACAAATGACACGTAATTTAGCACTTGACTTGGGCTCATTCAATATAAGATGTAACTCTATTTGTCCTGGTACTATACTTACACAAGCTACAACTACTCATGCGGCTAATTTACAGCTAACAATGGATGAATTCACTGCAGCAGAAGTAAAAAAACAATGTTTAAAACGATTGGGCTCACCTGAAGAGATAGCTAACCTAACAGTATTTCTTGCTTCAGATCTATGCCATTTCGCAACAGGTGCTAGCTTTTTAGCCGATGGAGGTTATACAACTATTTAGAAAGATTTAATGATTTTTAATCTACTTCAAACCATATGTAATTGATCATTAACTGCAGACTTTATCAAGTTTCAATTAAATTATTAACACTATAGAGTAATAAATGTGAACAGAAGTACAATATTTCTCTTTTTTTCTTTTCATGTTTCTATCTTTTTTCCAAACCACAGTATTTTAGCTATATTTGAACACTTAAATAAAAAGACACGAACAAATTTTCTTATTTTCATTTTCAATTTTTTCAATTTTATTGATATTATTTGTTGCGATTATTCGTTGATTGGGTTGAATTAACGTACCATAGTTTAGGCCAGGCTTTGAATATTTTCACGTACGACTTATCTATGTGTCTGTTCCGGTGATTCCAACGATGATTTCAAATAGATCTCAATGAGTTCTATCTGATGTACAATTTTTTTTTATCTCAAAACATGTACTTTAATTCCTTGAAGAAAACCGGATTTAGTACAAAAAAAACAATTGTTTAAGTTTGTAACAAATTTCTGTAAAAATAAAAACTTTTTTCCGAGTTTTTGCTAGGTAAAAGGTAGCACTTATTTTATTTCACAAGATACTACTATAAACATTCTGTACATTAGCAATAATGAAAACTTTCGAAATTCTGCTAAATCCGTTTTTTTATCGAAAAGTATCTCTATTAGTTTAAGATAAGAAGTCCGCCAATCTAAGGATGCAAAATTGTCAGTCAGAATTTTAAGAAACTAGAACAAGGCGAAACAAATATTTTACCTTATCATTTTTCTCAGTTCTATTCCTTTGACTTACAAAAGTTTCTCACAGTAAACGGCTCTTGTAGTTGTTTCAAGAATCCCTACAATGATGTTAAAATTTAGAATCTTCAGAAAAGTAGCTACATTTTTTCATTATGAATTTCCAAGATATTTCTTGAAGCGGAAAAATTTATTCTAAAAAGCTTTACTTCTATCTGAATCATGAAGAAAAGAGATCGACCTGTAGATTTTTATTCATACTAAAATATTAAATACTCTCTTCTCATGATAGAAAATATTTTTAGTTATTATTCATCTCAAATTACTTAATTTATCATTTCAGCAGGTTCGGTGTGTGCCACATTCTAATGCCACAGTAGTTTTGGATTATAAGATCATGTTTATTATTATCGTAGGCCCTCGAGGAAGAAAAATTAGGCCAAAATTTCTATTAAGATACGTCGCTATTATTCTTTTCTATTTTGTAAAACATGATCATAAAGGAGTGTTGAATTAGAGAGGTCAAAATGTTGATCTACATTCCACATCCCACAGATTCCGAAAAAAAAGGTTCTCTATATGATGGCACCTATCCAGTTCTAGATTATGCTAAATATTGATATACGATTATATATGGTGTATGAATTATGTTCACATTATCATGCATGACCTAATTCTTATTTGCATTTGTAAAGGATCAAGTCAAGTGAACGAATGGAGAAGAAGTATCTCCTAAAATGGGTAGAATAAATCAATCTATGTACCATGAGTAAGATGAACTACGTACATCGTGTGTCATATTTTAAATCGCCCATAGGTATTGTACTAAGAGCCACAGTTGTCATCGTATTCGTGCTTCTGTCTATTATATTACTTTTATTTTACTGTTTGTTGTAGTATTAACTTATTAAAATTAGGTTAAAAACTTTGTGAATTATGTAAGACAAATATTTCATTAATAATTTTTATAATATTATTGTTTAATTATTCATGTTGCATCTTATAGAATAGTATGTGTCAGTTTATGAAAAATATTATTTTCCAAATAAAAACGTATTCTCATTACTTTTGCATTTCAATATCTGGATTATTTTGAGCACTTTTGTTGTTGCTGAAGCAAAACGTCTAATCGCGAATTATAAATAACGAAGAGTAAATAAAAACAGAACAAAAATTATTTTCAATTTATGAATCAAGAAAAGAATCAAACAAAAATGAACTTTACTGTTAAAAATAACGCAAAAGAAACATAGAACAGAGTAGAAATCTTGTCTGCAATTCATAAGATATGCATAATAAAAAACAAGGTCTTAAAAACAACACCAGAATTATCTATTTAAACATCAACAGAATATGTACGCAATCTAGGAAATATCTCTGAAATAAAGACTTATCTCACAACATTACTTCAACAAACAACGATACGAGCCAGAATGCACACTCGTAAAATAACTGAAGAAAACTTATTAAAAATCCAATTACACATTGAAATGAAGTGATGTGCAAATCTAGCTTTTTCCTCTTACGGCATAAGACTGATCTCAAGAGTTCTAAACATCTTTATAGCGTAAGCATCATGTTCCGTTTCTTTTGTATCTTTCTCCTTCTTTTTGCTGTTGCTGCTTTCTTTTTTATTTCTTATGAATATTTATTAATTTATAGTGAATAAATCGTAAAAAACTCAGCCGAACTATTGTACATTGATTTCGATAACAACAGTTAGCAACAAAACATTTTAAAATAATAACTCGAAGAAAAATTAAACTTCTTGATTTTATAAGAACAACCAAAAGTAATCTTGATAAAACATTTATCGTGCATTCAAATAAATATGGAAAAAATCTATCATTATTATCTCAGTTACCGCTATTACGATGGTTATGCTTAATAAAATCAATCATAACAATATATAATTTAATTCTGTGCTTTTCTGCGGCGAAGCTAAGTGAGATAAAAGAATTGATGCATTTAGACAATCGTTTTATATCAATTTGTTCTTTTTTCCTGCTATTAATACAAAAAACAAGGATCGAAGAATTCTGATGTTTGAGATTGCAATTACTCCAAGAGAAATTCTATCGCATGCCATTTTGATGCAACATGTTCATTTTTCATCGTTTTATCTTCATCTGTTGAGAACGAAAATATCGATAGAAGTGATTATAGAAGTATTCTTTAGTCTTCTGTCACTTTTTTTTCTAAAACGCTAGCAAATAACAAAGTCAACAGAAAAACAAAATCAGAAATGAGAAGCATTTCTACTTCTTTGCGCATATATATATATATATATGCGTGCATTATAATCCGATAATCATATCAACATCATTTAATGCCTCCATAGTATTCTCTCATTTTTCGGTCATTCGCTTTTTGTAGGCATCATCGAACGGCAGATAGGAAATTGGTCTCAGTCCCTGTTCTTTATTTTCTTTTGTATTTCTTGCGAAGAATCACTCACTACGAAAACGATCAATTGTCGCCAACGTTAATATAGATATATATGTTTCATACATTTGTCACATTAAGTCTGATCAATTTAGATCGATATCAACAATCAAAATGTCATCGTATCCTTACCTACTATTTTTTATTATTTTGAATCGATTATCTGTTGTTCATCTGCAAACACATCGTACATTATCATCAAATATGAATTGTGTAACTATTCCATTGGCAACATTATCATCAAGAAGTGATGATAAATTTTCTCAATTGAAACACTTTACATCATGGCATTTCAATTCTAATTATACATCTTCATGCGGAAAATTTGACGTGTAAATCTCATTTTTCTATGTATACATACTCGTACTCGAAATCTATTTTAGACGATCTGTGAAGACACTCTATGCAAAATCAATAACTACATTGGTTGGAAGTCTTTGTTCAATTTTACAATCACGTTCAATGCTATTGATTTATTCAAATGAACATATCGAAGAACATCATGCATCACCAGCTGCTTACTTATTTCTTCTTAAACTTTTCACATTACTGGATTATCCATTATTGACGTTTCATTTTTTTCATCCATTTCATCCTGCAGTATGTCAAAATTAGAAATTAACAAAAAGACAATCTTAAACATATTTTTAACTATTCTTTCTCTCTTTATTTTCATGTAGAATTTTCCTAGTTTACGTTTCTTTCAGTTGGCACCAACTTATCGACAAGATGCTCGAGCTTTGATATTATTAATGGAACGATATGATTGGAATGCATTTTCATTAATTATTGATCCACGTCTTCCTGGCGAAGAAGAACTTATAGATGAATTTGAAGAACATAATAGTGAATCAAAATATTGGTAAGATTATTTACATTTAACTTTAATAAACACGAAATAGAACTTTTAAACAAAAATCTAATGCTAAATTGATGGTAAAATGGCAATGATAAAAAATTTATTTTAGTCGACAAACGTCATGTAATCGAAACTATCTCAAAGATCAAAAAAAGTAAGTGGATGTTTTCTGTTGTTTTTTCAAATCAAGTTTAAAAAACCGCTCTTGTCGATGCCTTTAATTTTACCACTACATCAGTAAGTATATACAATGAGAGGTTCAAATTTTGGAATTATGTCTATTAATGTGATAGTTAAACCAGTGAATATACGTACCATAGATACAAACAGGTCACAGAAAGAGAAAGCTGCGAAGAAATAATAAGTTTTTTGATAAGATTATTGCAGAAAAAGTGAAATACAGCCAATAAAATTGAATCTAGTAATGTTTTATGATAATCCATTGAAATTTTATACAAAATCTAATGAGCAAATGCATATCAAATAAAAAAGGCGTTTTTACTCTATGAGGTCTATAAAGTTTGTAGCAATGCGAATATAGCTATATAGAATGTTGTGATCATGAATGTTTTCTGTATTCTACTCGTTGTACTCTTAACAGAGAGGCAAAATTTTTCTCTAACAACTTTTGAATGATAATTATCGATCAAGACTTAATACATCATTCTTTTTATTAATCGATTGACACCAAGTAAAATAGTTAGAATAAAATATCGAAATGGATAAAAGTACAAACATATGCTATTGAACAAATATATTTTCATATTATTAATATTATAATTATATTCAATATATAGTGTTAATATTCTTTTGAACTAGATTAACAGTTCTTTCAGTTATTCGTATCAACAGCATTAATCCAATACATATCAAACAGCAAATATCCATGATGAATCCAGAAACACGTGTAATTATTATTCATGCAACATCGTATGTTCAACTTTTTTCGTGTTCAATGTTCTTGTAGTAGCTCTTTCTCTCTATATTCTATTAAATAAGAACAATGGCATCACTCGTTGTCAAACAAGCAAGCAATATGAGTCTCACAGGACCAGAATACATGTGGATTATGTCGTCAATTGTACTTTGTAAATATTCAGCAAATATTTCTCTCGAAAGTATAATAATCATTTTTTTTGAATACTTTTAGCTACATATAGTAGTGGAAATGAACCCAAAATGAGTCCATATGATAATCCAAATCGGCGAAAAATGAAGTTTTTCGCTGGTACATTAGGTTTGTTATTGCTTTTCTATTATGTTTTGTTAATAGAATTACTTTATTTTTAGCTTTATACCACGATGTTACGAGGGGTAAAATTTTATTTGGATATTAACTGAAAGTTATAATTTAAATATTCAATCGAATTTAGATTCTTTTCTTGCTCGTTTCGATAAACACATTGTACCTATATTGATAAATGCATTTTCTAAAATAACACATTTGGATGTCATGAGACAATGGTATACTAATGAAAAAAAATCAAGTCATCCTTCATTACAATATGAATCAGTGTGTGATGACATATTTGCAATTAATAATTCATTGAATCAGCCAGCTTTGAAACATAGGATTCCAAGTCTTTATAAGTAGTTTTGAATCGCTAAATAGATTTTTTTAAATAGTTTTGAATTTTGCTTAGTTTATTAAAAGATGAATTTAAACGAGCACATGGAATTTTTCAACCGGACGGTTTAACTTTGACAGCTAATTATTCGATATTAAATTTTCAAGTACCCAATAATGAATGGAAAAAAGTAGTCGTTTTCATTTATTTCTCAAATCTTACTGAATTTTAATAAATAGGTTGGCGAATATGTAAATAGTACAGTAACAATAGCCGATATTCAATGGCCAGGTGGCCGGTCAAAACCACCACCAGGCAAACCTGTTATCTATTATTTGAAAGTAGTAACACTAGAAGAACATCCATTTATCATGCTCAAAGACCCATCTAGTGATGGAAAATGTCAACCTGGCTCTGTTATTTGTCGCATCGGACCAGAAAATTCGTAAGAAAACGGGAAAAGATCTTTTTCTTTCATTTATCAATCTGATATTTGATCTTAGTAATAATATTTAGTAGATTCAGATTTATTTCTACACTGAGGGACCGAAAAAATAGTAAGAAATTTTTTATATACTGAAAGTTTGTGAACATTATTAGCATTTATCAAAAAATTTAAATTAAAACCAATACTAATTCTCCGAGAGAAATTCATCGAATCGTTTTAGTGGTGCCAATCATAGTGATCCAGAGCATTATCAATGCTGTTCAGGATTTTACATTGATATATTTAATGTATTAAAAGATCGACTTAAATTTGAATTCGAACTTTATCAAGTTCTTGATCGTACATGGGGTGGACGAAATTCAATAACCGTAATCAATACTATTACTATTTCATATTGGTAAAAAAAATGAATAAAATATTCATTTTTAGAACAAATGGAATGGCCTTGTTGCTGAACTTCTTGAAAATCGAGCTGATTTAACATTAACTTCATTGAAAGTAACTACGGAACGCAATGCTGCTATTGATTTTAGTATCCCATTTATGGAAACAGGCATTGGTTTAGTTGTTTCTTTAAGACCAGGAGCTATATCAACTACCGCTTTTTTGAGTAAGTGAAATTTTCGTAAGTGTTCAATCACATTACGTCAAACAATAATACTTTTTCTAGAACCGTATGATTATCGTATTTGGATTCTTATGTTATTGTTTACTCTTCATGGTGTTGCAATTATGGTTTTTCTATTTGAATATTTTGAAAATAGATGGACTAATGAAGATTTTGATGAAGTACGTTTTTTTGTTTCCTATCATATCATAGATTTCTTGGAAATATTTGTTTTTCATTCAACTAATTTGATAGGATAAAAATTTAGAGAACTGTTTACTTGTATCAATTGAAATAATTGACAATAGTAGCAAACCCTATGACGTATTTTACAAGTGCTTATCAGTTTAAAAAAAACTGAATATTTTGTTCCTTTCGGAATAATTTCTTTTACAATTATTCACAATGCTGTAACTAGTTCATATTTCTTTTCTTTTCTTTTCTAAACAACAGGATGTACAAATTGACCAAACACAGTATAAATCTCTCTGGCAACATATCTTTGATTTTGCTCGACCTTTGAAAGAAAAAGGTTTTGATATCAAAATTTTGATTACACATTATTAACAACAATACTGTCGTTTAGAGTTGAATATGACATTTTTTCAGTCGGTATGGCTTAGTTGGGTTGTTTTATTTCGAGCACCTGCAAAAGTGAAACATCCAAAAAGTTTTACTTCAAAATTTTTGGCAAATATATGGGCTTGTTTTTGTCTGGCCTTTACGGCTAGTTATACAGCTAACTTAGGTTTATATTCTTCTATATTCATGCAGTTTTAAACAAATATTAAATATATTGTAGCTGCCTTTATGATCACCAAAGAAGTCTACTTTGATCTGTCGGGTATTAATGATTATCGAGTATGTTTTATATATTCAAAAAGTCGTTACCACAATCCCTCTAGGGATTGACATGTGAAACACGATGAAACTACTTCAAGAACATCTTCTATCATGATCTATCGTAGGAATCTTTGAAAATTATATACTACATTCTTCAATATTCCTGTTAAATCGTGTTTCACAAGCATAAATTTATCTTGATCGATTTATATTTTTTTAATTCTAGCTTACCAATCCTCATTCAATGAAACCATCATTTCGTTATGGGACTATTGCTAACGGAGTAATTAACATGCTTTTTTATTGACGTAGTTTTTCTTGATTATTATCATTGTTAGTAAACAAATTTATTAGCGTAGAATAAGAATATAACATCAAACATTATTTTTATTAAATGCCCAATTATCGTAGGAATATATAGACAATAGTATTTTAATAATATGAACAAAAGAGAATACATGAAAATTGAATGAAATTGATAAACAAAAGAGTCGCTGATGTATTACAATGATGAATGAGCTTAAAAGAAAAGATGCTAGCTGAGAATCTTTTGAAAACAGAAATTTCAAACATAAAAAACGAATTAAATGAATAAATACTTAATAATATCTTAATGTTGAATATCAAATGCATTTTCTTGATAAAAATTTCTACCACAATAGTCACTATTTCGAAATATAAATTCCTATGCTCTTAATAATCCAAACAAAATAGATAATGAATCGCATATTCAGATTGATTACTAAAATTTTCGTTATTACTTTATGGCATGCTTATAAGAAAAAGAGAAATGAGGCTAATAGCGTTCGTAGACAACTGATAATCACAAAGCCAAGACATAGCAACAGAGTTCAACAGGATAAAATAAAAACTCTCCGGGTATTCTTAATTCAATTTATAAACTTTGTCGTAATAAATAAAATTCTCATATCTTGAACACTGAGTCGCTTAAAAAGGGACTAAATATGTTTTTTTTTAATTTCCCGATTCAATACAATCGATTTAAATTAGTAACGTCCACAAAAAAAACTAATGGCATATTTTGTTGTTTGTTCTAGTTGTAATAAATATTATTTATAGAAAAGATCAATCATATTTTCGATGGCATGTTTCGATAATCGATGATTTCTTACATTTAGAGTACGGATGAAGTGGTAAAAGAAAATCATAAAGAAATATATTCATACATGAAACAATTTATGAAGAGAAATATTTCTCAAGGAATCAAAGCAGTAAAATCTGGGTAGTAATGAATTGAATTTACATTTCTCAATTTCAATATCTTCATTTCGTTTCTTTTTCTTTGCTTTCTAGAGAATTAAATGCATTTCTATACGATGCAGTTGTGCTCGATTATCTAAGCGGACAAGATGATGAATGTAAATTACGTGTCGTTGGAAATTGGTACGCCATGACTGGTTATGGTATTGGATTTCCAAAACAATCAAGATTCAAAGAGATGATCAATAAAGAGATTATTGAAATGCATCATTCTGGTTTGCAGATTTTATTCTATTTAACTAATTCAGTTTTCTTTTTTTAGGTGAAATCGAACGCTTTCGACGATTTTGGTTTACAGGTACAAAAATTAAAGTTGAATGAAATTTGATAAATATTCTTTTTGTTTCCCTCTCAATATTAGGTGCTTGTCGAGCGAGTATGAATCATCAATCGCAAAGAAGCAGCCAACCTCTTGCAGTACAATGTTTTTTTTTCTCTTTTTTAGAAATATTTATAGTGTATAGATTTTCTTTTTTTTTCATTTAGGCACGAAATTTTATATCAGCATTTTTACTTCTTCTTGGTGGTACTCTTATCGCTGCTATTATTCTGCTATGTGAAAATGCTTATTCACGCATTTTAGTTCGATCTAAACATGTTGAAGAACACAATGCAATTAATAAGGTATCTTAGTTAAATTCTATTGCATTATAAAACTTTCTTTTTCTTCTTAATAATATTATGTTATATTCATAGAATCATACAGGATATTCGCCTATGTTAACAATTAGCAATAAATTCAAATCTAGTCCGCGTGAGCAATTGTTGGAGAGACGTATTGAAAATTTACAGGAACGCATTCGCGAATTAGAACGAAGATCGGCATCACAATATTCTTTACGAATCAGCGAGGAAAATAATGAAGAGCCAACTAAACCATCATTTTTGGTATTACCAGTAACTTACATTCCTGTTCGAGAAGCTTCACCTAAACTGGAAATTGTTCCGTGTATGTCGAAGTATCAATCTCAAACACCATTATTACTTGTTGAAAAATCGAGAAATCAAATTCATGAGACAGTTGTTTGAGTGCAAATGTTTGTTTTTTCATTATTAATTAGAAATAATAAATAAATACTATAGGTTCACCGTTGGATTTTAATCAAGAACTAAATGAACAGACGTTCATTTGCATTATGGAACAGATAGTAATCAATCGTCATTTAGTCAGAAAAGCATTACACCCAATGTATTATAGATTTAAAAAAATACGGAAAACTACGAATGAGTGCATTAGTACAGTTTTTACTATTCTTCAAGTAGAATAGAAGAATATGTAGTAATTTGCATCGTTTGACTTTCGTTAGCACTCTTCAGTTAAAATTTAATCATAATGATATTTATTAGATTTAGATTATTCTACTTCTAATCAGATATAACTGTGAATACTAGAGAGCAATGTAGAAATCTTGAGATTTCAAAAGTCAAAATAATAGATTAAAAAAGCTACATAAGAGGTGTAATAAACTTGAATCCGAACTAGATTTTATTGGTTAACTCATGCAATTTAAAAGTAGTTGTACAAAGAACAATAACCATGCCATGAAAAATATGTTAATAATGAAAGAAAAATAAATAAGGAATTCAAATTTATGTTGTGCAACATCTTGTGATACAGTCAATGACAATTTTCTTAATTACTTCTATTCAATACACAGCGAGATCAAATCAAATCGAGAAAAGCTCCGAAAAAGTTCCATTTAATTAATGGCACATAAGATGTAGCAGAAAAAAATCTGTACTCAACTGAGACTATAAGTATGAACAGTTATTTGAGGCGTAAACAACGTGACTGAACTACAAATGAAATTGCGATTTCTTTTTGTTTCACTAAAGAAATAATTTTTCTACAAATATCAAAATATCAAGCGAATAAATACCAATAATAAATCTGACTAAGAGAAGAAACGTCAAATAATATGCTATTCTGATCAAAACAGAAAAAAACACTAGCACGTTCAGTGATAACGTAATTTGAAAATTAAGTTCATAAAATTAATAGTTTACTATTTGCATTTAGATTTCAAGATGAAGCTTCGTCAACCAGATGATTAATGTGATTTTTATTCCGTTTACATTCAAACACAGTTTCTACATCGTTCTCTGTGTATCAATGGTTTGCGATTTCCAGAAAACAGTTGAAACATATTAGCATATTATGAAACAAATATTGCACCATAATAGATTCGTGATCGCTGTGCAATTAATTGAATTTAGCGAATTTTATTTAGATTTTCTTTTCTAATTGATGATGAAGAACAGAACAAATTAATCGAATTAAAAGAAACAGTAAGGATAAAGTAATTTTCCATAAAGTTATTAAAGAATTTTACTCATCAGAAGCGAAAAATAATTTTATTCAATAATTTTCTTCTTCGGAAAAATCTCATCTAACATCGGCAAACGGCTTATGCAAAGTATCCAAGATTTGTAATGTATTTATTCGTTCGAAGTATCTGTCTACATTTTCCGCATCTTTTTCAATCATTCATTGCTTGAAGTAGCTGATATGGTAAAGAAATAAATATATTTTATGGATGGATGGAATTTGTTAACAAAATTCTATTTGCTAAAATATTATTTTTAATCAAAACAAGGCTATATTCCTTTTATTATCTATATACATTCCCAAATAACTTCTTTTATTTTCATTCAATGTTAACTTTTAGTTTTGCTAGATTCGAATAAATCAAAAAATATTGATATTGGCTATATCTTAATAACAAATACTTGCAGAATGAACACTACATCATCGAAGCAAATTATTTAAAGCAAAAAAATTCTATGAAATACATGTCGAAAAAATCCTATCCTTATTTTGTAAACATTAAATTAATTCTAATGAACAAGGTGTTTCGTTTCAATCAGCATTTAGGAATATACGGATAAATCTACAGTGAATATCATCAAGACTCATAGAAATAATCCCATCATTAACTTGCTGTCCTCAATGTTCGCTATGGAATTTGTTCTTTTTCGGTTCAAATCCAAAGAATATTAAATTTAAATGTTCGCATTTATGATAATAGCCTCCAGAGAAGAGAATTCATTTTTTTTCTGCTATCTTTTTAAACGTCGTTCAATTTCCTGAAGTACTCAGTTTTTCTAATACTTTCAGTTGGTTGCCATTTATTAGATCGATACTATGTACAGATACCAGCCAAAGAAACCTATCCTTATTTGTTTTAAAAAATAGAATACTTAAAAGTATTTTGATAGGATTATTTTCATAAAATCACAATTTATTAGAGCTATTGGAGTTTTCTGAATTCTAATTTATCTTAGATATAATATAATGGAAAAGGTAAACGGAATAAAATTAATCCTATATATGAACATCAGGTTTAACACTGTCCATTAAACGGTTGACTAACTTAGAACCATGCACAAATCCTGATTCGTTTCGATTTTCTATGAAAATTGTTTTCCATGTCAAGTAACTAATTTTAGTAGAATTATTTTGTATTGATTTCATTTTACAGTCTTCTAAAAGACAGTTTTGTTTTATGATCCATCTTGCTATAGATTTTGAGTCTTTGTCTAGATGGATTGGTTCTTTTATTTGATATTTATTAAATCGTTACTAATAAGAATTCCTTGCTTTGTATTTCACGAAAATTGAAGCCGTTTCTTCAACTGTTTTCGCTAACAAGCGACCTCCGTCGATTTCATGATATATGTTGCAATGTCAACTGTATTTGTTGTCATATAACACCAATCATTCTTTTCTTTTTCTTTTTTTTTCGCCCGTCACATCTGATGAAATTTTTTTACTCATTTTCAGTCGCTCGTATTATATATTCAATTTTTATTTGTCCTTGATAGAAAGAACAATAGTTTGTTATTTTTTTTAGTCAACTTTCTATTGCATTAATTTGCCTTCGAGTATTTTTTACTAACAACTTGTCTTACGAAATTTTTAAGTACGAACTCACTCTACAAAGAGTCAAGACGATTTGAGATATGTAATGATGACAAACAAACATTAATATGTGTCATTCTTCAAACACTTAATTATAATGCCGATATTTTCCGTAGTTATGTTATGTGTTGTTTTAATCATCTCAATGTTTTCTTTTTTTTTCTTTTTGCAAACGAGAGCAACAGTTAATATTTAATTACTCATATAATCTTCAGATGACTTCACCCAATGCATGGCATGCACTTGAATCGGATCCAGATTTATGGCGAATATATATTGAACAATTAGGTGTCGATGTTAGCTCACTTGACTTTATCGAAATCTACTCGCTTGACGAAGATTATTTGGCTGGCGAAAACATATATGCTTATATTTTTCTTTATCCAGAGAGTGATGCATTACCTGTTTCAAACGTGTCTCAATCGTTGACGAACGATAAATTATGGACCATTAAACAGATCGATGAGTTAGATAGTTGCTGTTGTCTTATTGCTCTTCTTCACGCAATTGGTAATAATTTGGATAAAGTTATATTGAAGGCAAATTCACCTTTGGCTGATTTTTTTAAAAATACTGAAAATATGACTGCTGATGAACGGGCTATAGTTTTGTTAAATGATCAAAATATTCATGAAGCTCACGAAGAAACAGCTGAACAAGGTCAAACAGAAATGATTGATAGTGGTAGAGTTGGCTATCATTATATAGCCTATATTGTATCGAATGGCAATCAATTATATGAAATGAATGGAAGTACAAAAGGACCACATGCAAAATTCATCGGGGAATTGAATGACGAAAGTTTTTTTTCTCGTGTGACCCAAGAAGTAAAAGAAAAAGTTAGCGCACTTGATGGCGATATTCGATTTAATTTGATTGCAATGGCAAGAAAACAATAAAAATATGTTTGGCTCTTTTGTTTTTAGATAAAATTCATTGTAAGATGCCCAAAGAACGTCAATCCACAGTTCGTTATCGTCCAGGAACAAAAAATAGACAACAGATTTCTTCATCAACAAAAACAAAAATAGAAAAGAATAAAAAATATTCTCAGGTAAAAATATGCTTAATCGAACAACTGCTGATAATAGATTCATAGAAACACTACGACCTTGTGAATTTCATTTTTCATAATTATTCTGAACAATTATTATTCTACAATAAATATCTGTTTAGAAGAAAACAAAACTAATTCAATCAGGCAAATCAGTGAATGATTCAGTAATAGATTGATTTATTTTATGTTTAGAAAAGAAAATCTGTAACTTGTAATCATGATAAATTTATTTGATCTAGATGATTGTTATACAAAATAAGGAGTAGAAGAAAAAAAAACCTTGACCGAATCAACTACACAGGTTGTTACTAGATTAGTGATTGATGATTGTTTGGAAATTAATTTAACGGTGTATACTACTGAAAATTTGACAAGTATCTTTGTTTTCATATAATTTTGCATTTTTCAATGAATTGGCTTTGAATGCATTAGAATTCTAATAGTCTACATACGTCAATACTGAATATCTTCAAGAAACTATTCATTTCGAATATTTACTTCGATTAAATTGATCTTTATTTTCTATCCTTATAGGTATCGTTCGTTGTTTATCCTTTGGGTTTACTAAGTATTGCTTCAATCATATCATATTTCCATTTTCTATATATATATGAATTATTTGAGAATGATAAACATTTTTCACATTTATCAACATTAGAACGTGAATTATCATTTCGTACAGAAATGGGTCTTTATTATTCATATTTTAAAGAAATTGCTATTGATTCTCCATCATTTATCGAAGGTTTTTTGTCGATCATCTCTGATAATCGAACAGAAGCTCCAACGACAATTAATGTCTTAGAACGTTTCAATCTTTATCCTGAAGTTTTACTTAGTTTAATTTATCGTACAATGAATTCTCGTGGCATGTTAACAGAATTATGTTATCAAGTTGATCGAGGCCAGACAATGAGTCCAGTTTTATCGTGTGAAGGGCATAAAGAGCCTACTTACTTCTATGTAACAAGTGTTTTTATACTCAATGGATGTTTGCTTGGTCTTTTATTTTTATTTGGGACATATTTATCCAAAAGTATTTTAGGTGGAATAATAACAACACTTGCTTATTTATTCAATCATAGTGAAGCGACAAGAGTTATGTGGTTAGTGATCGCCAAAGAAAATGTTTTCTAATCATTTTCTTGCTGTTATTTTGTTTTTAATAGGACACCACCACTTCGTGAAAGTTTTTCATTTCCATTTCATGTACTTCAATTGTTTGTTGTCACATATATTCTACAACAACAACAAACTTTAACAAGTACCAATGCGATAAAATCTATCCTAGAACATATAAAGAAACACGATCAATTGATTCCTGTAGATGCAACACAAAATTCAATTTCTCATGGAAGTAAAATAAAGCTTGTGTCATTACTTGTTGTTTCGACAATTCTATATATGTTACCATGGCAATGTAAGTACTATTAATACCGTCAAGCATGTTCTCTCAAACGTCAACAGGCTATCGTTAGATTGAATATTCCACTTATTTGTATTTTAGTTTTAAAAAAAATAAAACTAGAAAAATCTAAGGGTTTCATATACTGAGCGAAAACGAGTGATCTAGAAAAGTAATTCAGCTAATTTTTATTATACGCATTCTATATTGTCCTGTAGTTTTGCTTTGAACGAATTTCTAAATATATATAGTTTATGTCTAGTTTTGTCAAATATTGGCAGATACTAAAAACATCAAAGACAAAAATATTTAATAAGAGTTAAGTCGGAAGAAACTATTGAAACTGTTACCATACTATAGTTTAGATTGTTCACATGTAGATATAGGTGTATGATGTGAGTGACATTATCGACGTTGAATGAAACCTTTCGGTTTTCTTGCGCAGACGCATTCGATATGTTCAGAATCTGAAGCATTTCAATCCAACAAGCTCTACTCCATTCAGCTATCACATGACTCGCATGAGAATTATGTGGGTTTACTAGTTATCAAATACAAAAACAAAATTAAAGGATCTCGTTTTATCAGAACAGCTATCTTTGTCCGACTCGAAGATTTCATCGAGAATATCGATGTATGGTTCGACTGAGTGCAACTTCAAAAAGCTCGCGGTCGGAAAACTTTAGTGTGTAATATAGAATTGTATAGGAGCGCACGAGTAACCCTTCTATATCCCGACACCCACACCCTGAATCTCATAGCATGTTATTTGATTCCTAGATAAATTAATATAAATACAAGATTTTTCCATAACGACTCTTGTTTATTAATCGAAATGTGCAAGATATGTGTTTACGGGTCTGAATACTAATTTTTAGTCTTGCTACGACTCAAAACTCATATCCTCATTCTAGAAGAGGATTATTAATTACTTTACATGATTCATCCAATGGTAGTGGCATAAAAATTACTTATAATACAAAAAGACAAAAATCTAGAACTTTTTTTGTAAACTCATCGTCGTATTCTTATCTTTAGTTGCACAATTTACATTAGCTACTCAACTTCTATCCCTTGGTCTTCTTTACATTCTCAATATTTTACCATTTGATCAATTTTTCTTTATTTTATCTGCTCAAATATTATCATTAGTAATATCAGCTGTGCTAATGTTTGGTAATCGAATGTTATTAACTTCTCTATTTTCAATAACATTATTCTCATTTTATTTGGTCTGTGTTTTGGATAATTTTTTTCTTAACTCATCGTCATCATCATTCCAATCATATCGCTTGACACTGATTATTATAATTCGTCGAATGGTTTTGTTTTTATTTTCATTTATTTTTATTAAATTTGCTATAATTAGTATTCTTTTTTCGTCAGTTGATGATGATGCTCATATTTGGGATATATTAAAGTCAAAATTCTCTTCAACATTTCGTACATTTGATACACAATTATATACATGTGCAAAAGAGTTTGACTTTATTGATATGGAAACAATAATTAAATTATGTCGAACAGGTCTTATTCCATATTCAATCGTAATCATATGTCGATTAGTATATAATTTTATTATTGATATATTTCGTAAAAATAAGAGTGAACATATAGAAATATGGAATTCCTATCATATTATTCAAACGGGTGCTTATTTATGTATGGCTTTGTTAATTATGCGTTTAAAATTATTTCTTGTTCCACAATTATGCCTTTTGATAAGTCTTTTTATGAATGAGCAATTGTGGCCAAAAAAAATGATTGGTTCAAAAAAATGGAAATTTTTACTTTTTATTTTTATTTTGATTGGAATGAGTATTGAAGGACGAAATAATATTAAAAAAGAATTACAAATTAAAGGTAAATACATAGAAACAGAAGTGATATGTACATTTTATCTTCATAGTTCACGTTCTATCATCTTCATAGTTTTGACTTAATAAATTTCGATTCTTTTCTAATCGATTGTCGAAAAGAAGAAATATTGCATTTTTTCTAGGTGAATATTCAAATTATCCAATGGAAAAAATGATTGAATGGATTAATTTGAATACTCGAAATGACTCAATTTTTGCTGGCACTATGCCAACTATGGCTAATTTAAAATTATCAACGCATCGTTCAATAATTGTTCATCCTCATTATGAACATAAAAAAATTCGTCATCGTGTTAAACTTGTTTATACGATGTTTTCACGAAATCCGCTTCGTCATATTCATTCAATATTAAAACAATATCAAGTTAATTATTATGTTTATGAATCACATTGGTGTACAATAACAAATCGTCCAAAAGGATGCTCATTTCCTGAAATGTATGACATTGATGAACAAGATCCTAGAATATTAACACGTACAACTCTTGCGTGTCAAACTCTTGAATCTCATCCTCAACCATATTTTAAGAGACTATTTAATTATGAGCATCTCAGTATTTATGAGGTTTTATAAAAAATATGCTTTCTTATTATTGAAGAAACAATTACATTTTCCATAAATGATTATTCCATTAATTATTATCCATTCTATTTTATACAATCTTATCACATTGTTTATTATTTACAGTGGGTATATGTCTGATACTGATCCATGATATACAAATCTCATTTTAATGATAATATGCATTTTGGTGTTTTTTTTTTAAGTTTCAATTTTTGTGCTTTTGTTTTGTGCATTTATATTTAGAATTTATTTTTGAAAGAAAATTATAATTTCAGCATCACAAGTTAACTTTTTTCAAAAATAGAACGATATTTGGTAATAAGTTTGAAAAAATAATTATGAAATTCTAAGTTTACCCAGTTCTTTATTTGTTTGAAATTAATTTCTAAAATTAAGAAAAGTGAATGTGAACGATGTACAAAAAGTTTTAAAGGCCATGGAACATCAATAGTATTGCGAAAATCATAGCTGAGACTGGCATGTTATACTCAAAAGTTATCTACTCTGTCTCTTTGTTTGTTATTAATAATAGTGTATATATTACCACGACTGTTGATAAATACATACTAGGTTTAAAAACAAAATCTACCCATGGTATACGGTTGAAGTAATCACGAACTTTCAATCCCGAGTTCGTAAATTTGAAAGTCATCGATTGCTGCAGTACATATATCGAACAGTTTGAAGTAAAACATGTCTTCATATATAGTTGAATTTAAAAGAAAAACTTAATTATACGATGAGATCTCAAATAAAATTGTTTAACTTTAGTAAGATTTGCTTATGGCATGAGACACAGTGAATTTACTTGTAATTGGAAATAGACTCCTACGTGTACTGCGGTCGATATTATTTCTTGTTTCTATTGAGTAAAATAATAGTTTTCTTTAGGTCTGTGACTTAGATTTCTCGTGTGCCATGCAATGAAAGTCTTCAAAATTAAGTGTTAGAAAACTAAATACTGACTTTGGCAAACTGCAACAAATACAGAACTTGTCTTTTATCATTAACTCTTCTCGCAACTTAGAAAGATTAAGTCCAAAGGACCAAGCATTAATTTAGTCTTACTCAATAGTGTGTTACGGTTTCAAAATTGTGAATTCATAATTTTGATCAATTTTCATGAATTGAACATTTTTCTCCAGTCATCAGTATAAATGGAAAAAACTGTGTTATCTTACTTGAAATACTGAGCATTGTATTAGCAACTAAAACATGCAAACGTAAGTTTCTCTGATGCGCCAAAGTTCGAATGAATAGAACATAGCAAAAAGTGTTTTCTTTTTACGTAAACATAAAAGTTGTTTTTGATAATCAAATGGAATAGCATGCAAGAACGATAACTTCAATATAAGAATAAATTTAGAAAGAAAAACGTGTTTGATACGAAGCAATTATTAAAAATGAAGAAAAAGCGTGAAAAAGAATTAAGATATTTCTGAAATCGACTTCATAAATGTATTGTGTCTTGATGCTAATGGAAATCGATTACTTGTGTCAACGTCAAATGCTGTCGATGTTGTTGATGTTGCATTGCTTGCAAATGATGATGATGTTCGTTGACGTGGCATAATGGGTGGAAGAACGAGTCGACTTTTAGATGTTTCACTTGTTATCGATGTCAAATCATTTTTACTGCCCATGTATAGTTCTTCGATGACCGTCGATTTTGGGTGCAAATGATGATGACTTAAATTAGATATACCATCGTCAATATCCTAGATTCATAAATTAAATGTTGATAAAAAGAAATATATACAAATTAACAAATAAATTCTAATACTTGAGTTGAAAGTAAAGCAAATGGAGCGTAACAAACGCCTCCTTTAGCTAAATGACGACTATCGATTTCACTAAAACGATGACGTCGTTCTTGTCGTTTTAATTTCTGTTGGTTTAATCCTCGTTCGATCAATAAGCCAAGTCCACTTACAGGCTAAAATAAATTTTATGATAATCATAAGATAAATCCATTGAATCTCGAAGATTAGTTTTTCGTATATTTAAAAACCAAAATGAATCTACTTTTCATAAATGAAATCATTCGTCAAGCATAACAATCATGTAATAACTGTAAAAAAAAGGAAAAAGCAAATAGTGACTCGAATATTCATACCGGTGATGGTGTTGTCCAGTGCAATATAGGCTCGGTGACTTTAGATCGGTTAGTAATCTAGTGCAATAAATGAACACATGCAATCAAATGAAAAGCATAACTGCAAAAATATACTTCAGAATGTTGAGAAAATGATGATAGTGGTCGTCTATCATCGTCTTCTATGTTAATAGCAATTTCAGGCACTGGTAAATTATTTATTTTATCTGCTATTGTCAATTTAATTTCTGTTAAATTAAAAAATATAATCCTTTTAGAACTAATAATCATTAATTTGTATTTTTACAAACCATATAGATCTTTGACATTGTTATTTGCACTTTTTTCTCTTATTTGTTCATCGTCAATTGTCATTCTTGATGGTACTATTAATTCAATATCCCATAGTTGTCGTTGTCCGAAAATTCCAATTTCTTCTCCACTAATTGTCCATAACCGTGCTGTATGATCAGTTGATCCAGTTAATATAAAATCACCTTGTCCCTTATAATCAGTCCATTCACAAAAAATAATCGGTGAGAGATGTGCTTGCCAAAAATGTACAAGTGGTGGTGTTGTTGAGTCGAATAGAACAGGTGATACTGTTGAGCAACAATAGTTTTCTATATTCCACACACGTATTTCACCATGAGTATCACCACAAATCAAATATCGATTGCTTGCATCAGTACACATAGCTAATATTGATTCACCTGATTTCGATGATCCATGAAACACACCCATATGTCGACGTTCACCATAAAGTGACCACCAGTATAGATTACCACCTTCACTTGATATTAAAACACCTAATAAATATGAGAAATGAATGTGATAAATTCTTTCTTTTTAAATAGTTACACACCAAATTTCATGTTTTCTTTAGCACGAGATCGAAGAAATAGAAGTTTATCAGTCGGTACTGGACCATTTGCCATTGAACGACGTGATGATGATCGACGATAATTCGATGGCGAACGACGACTGAAATTAAGAAAAAAAATCATTGAAACTTTGATCAAACACAATATTCTTACAGTTCAGTTGCTGATCCTTTACGTAAGCACATAATTAATTTTTCTGTATCAATACTCCATACATTAATTTCACCATCATACGAAGCTGTACACATTATGTTGCTAACTGGTAATAAATGGTCTAAACATAATATATCATCACGATGTATTTGTGAACCACGCCATGTTAAATCAGCTTTAGGTACAACAAGCTAAAAAGATATATAATAGAAAATTAATCAACTTCTATTGTAGAATGTTTCTTTTCAAATCAAACATGTTGCTTTTTTAAAACAAATTTATTAATGTGTTAATTCAACGTGTGCATAAATCTCCCTGTGAATGTATGTCATTTTTATTTATCGTTTTAATACCTCTACAGTATTCATTTGATCATCATTTATATCCTGAAAATAATGTACTCATAAAAATTAATCAAACAAAATGAAAACAAAAACAATATTAACAGAAATAAATTCTTACTTCAGAAATAATATCAGGATATTTAACAATTTTTCTTGACCATCCAACTGTGATGATGCCTTTATCGAAGAAAATTATACCCGTAATTTCTGCATCTTGTACACTTGGCAATACAAGAAGATTTTGACCATTAGCACTATTCCAAAGCTTGATAAAACAAAACAAAACAAAATAAAATACAATGTTATTTATAATAGCAAAAAAAAAGGATCTCACTTTAATGACACCATTTCGAGCTCCTGTTGCAACTTTTCGATATGATCGATCAATAGCAATACATGTAATTTCTTCACCATCATGTGCGTCAAGTATAAAATATGCTTTTCGACCTGATTCAATATCCCATGCACCTATGCTCGAATTATCAGCACATGTTATTAACTATCACAGATACAATAAAGAATATTTTTCATCAATGCAAATGCAAAAAATAAAACTACTTGTTTAAGTTTAGGATTATATACTGCACAACTAACTGATGCTACATGCGTTTCAGTTAGACTACCATCTCTAGATAAATCTTGTCCTAGTTTCATTAAACATAGATAATCATTACAGGCTAAAACTAGACCACCCGGTAAAGTTGTTTCGGTAGTATTTGTTGATTTATTAAGATATAAATCCATTGGAAAAAGACCAAAACTTGGTTTCTTTCCACCTAATGTACTTGGAAATCGAACAGAAATGGTTTGAAGACAAAAGAATTCTTTTAAGTCCCATGCTTTGACCATCTATATCATAAGAGAAAAACAAAATAAAGATTCACATTCAAATCTCCATAGAAAGTACATACAGCATCGTAACTAAATGTGTAACATTGAGCTAAACGCTCATTAATTTTAATATCAATCACTGCTGCATGATGTCCTTCTAGAATGGCTATATTTTTTTGTGTTACATACGGATTCCAAATGCGTGCAAGATAATCAGCACCGCCAGTTATTAAAAGGTTTAATTCTTTGCTATAATCAAAACATTCACAACCCTATAAAAATTTTGAATAAAGAAATAAGAATTTTGTATTTTGTTCGGTTTTCATGTAAGAAATATTTCTATTTTATTTACTTTGTATAATCGAAAAATATAAGGTTTCTTTAATTTATTTATATTAGTAATTATCAAAGAATTTCGATTATCTCCACTTGAAGCAATGATTGAATTATTATGTGGTAAATAAAGTATTTTACGAACATATTCTCGATGAATAGCACCCATGCTATGATATTTTACAAATTTCTCGTGTTCTTTTAATTCCTATTTAAAAAAAAGCAGCAAAGATAAATTCAGGAAAAAAACAAAATAGTGTTTATATACTAACATCCCAAAATATACGTTGTGTTGGATTTGCTGATAATTTATCGTATTTCGTTGTATCTGTTTTTCGTTTAACTGGATCAAATAGAGAATTAAGCGGATTTTTAAAATATAATATATGAATGTATCCGCAGTCATCACCAAATATTAAAGATGATTCAGAATTACCACCCTAGACAGATTTATTTTTATTTATCCTACAAAAAAAACTGTAACCAATTAATTTTTCTTACCGGTTGACTTGGATAATATTCAAGACAAGTTGGCACATTTTTTATGCCTTAAAAAAAGAGCACGGTAAACTTTAATTCGAAACTTTTCTGTACTTAGACTTACCAAATAATACAAAATCTTCGAGAAATGTTTCACTTGTAATAGTGAAAAATCGTAAATCTCTACTAGTAGATGTTAGCACTAATTTATGTACATCTGGCATATAAATGGCATCTGTTATCCATGTTCCAGCTCGACGACGATTTTGTCCCATGACACCTGTAGTACCATTTGTTCCATCATCAAGTTCATCAATCACCGTATAGATTCTTTCTAGATTAAGATATGGTGTCCATAAGCCCAAATAGCCTTCTTTGCTTATATTAATAAATCTAACTGGATTGTCTAAATGAAGAATTTTCGCTGTTAATTCTTGCTAAAATTAAAATTAAAAAGACTTCATCACTATTTTTTTTCGAAATAGAAATATAATGCACACTTTATTGTGAGGGACATGTCGAATTTTCGGTTCATTATTAAACGGTGATATGCGAAGAGTATTTGCATAATCTTCTTCTTGATAAAACTGAAGCATATATGTGCAGAAATCATTCCAATTAATCAACCCTGTTTCTTTTGAATTAAGCTAGATAAATAAGAAGAAGAAAAAGAGAAACAAAGATATATTAATTCATAATTTTATAAAAGATTGTTCATATACTTTATCAAATAGTTTTTCTAATTGATTTTTATATTGAATTAAATCTAATATAGATTCAAATGATCCAATAAATTCTTCTTTATTTAAGGAACCTAATACGTAGAAAAACGTAATCAAAAATGAAACAGTCTATTATATAAATATTTAGCGAAAATATCTTTCCTACCACTTTTTTTATCATCTGTTTTTGTCGTGATATCAGTATCATCAACTGTTTCACGATTGAATCGTTCGCGCAGAAGACGAAAATCTTCGACACGTAATTTTTTTTCAATAGTTATTGAATCATTACTAAACATAATATATATATTTATATATAATAAAAACAAACAATCTTTCTCTTTTTTTGTTTATTATTATCATACTTAGATTTGTTAGTGAGATACATGAAGAAAAACGAGCAAAATAAGAACTGTTATTCTTCTTATTACTACGTATCAAATTACCTTACTTCAACTCTTCGTAATAGTTGATAGAGAATCATGAAGAGAAAAAGAAAAATCAAAGTAAAGCATAGAAATTAGAGACGCTATGAAATCGTTAATATTCTCGATAGTGCCCATATAAATTACCTGTCAATTTGAAGGAGAACTCCATTGTTGTCTGATGCAGTCGTTTCATCTTCAGTTTTTACATTTAAGTTTGCATTCATTGTAATCTGAACTCTGTTTCCCTTCTTTTACTATTTTTGTGTTTATCTAATCGCCTAAAATATTTTTATTATTGTCGACTAAATACTGACAACAGCATCATTATCGATAAAATTGTTGTCAACATTAACCAAAACAAGTCTTTTTTTTATATTACTTTTTTCTTTAAGTTTTTTCAATGCTTTATCGTCATTTATGTGTACCATGTTGTCTTTTTTTTCTGCTCGTTTCTGTGGTTGTCACCTTGCGTTAAACAGCAACCGTCACTTAGTTCGCTGCTCTTTTGGCAGTCGCGACAACGTCAAGCAGAATAAAAAAACATCACCAAAAAAAAGACGACGAGGAATACGAGAAAAAAGTCAGTATTACGATCGGGAATATGAAAGAAGAACTAAAGAAATTAGAAGTCATTATATGAAACGAGACAGGCAACAAAAGCAATCAAAAGATCGATTTTATGACTATAAGTTTGCATTAAATAAAGTGTAGATTTTCTGCACATGTAACTTGATGTAAAGTAATACAAAAAAGAAAAAAAAATGTTTAACAAAAGAAAATGTTGTTGTGTCTTGTAGTAGTGAACGCTATTAGAAAGTTATATTTAACAAAGTCTTACGAGTACTTCTCTATTATGGAAAGGTTAATATGTTTTAACTTGTAAGATTTCGTGTTAATTACTTTTTTTCAAAGTGTTCCAACTATAAAAGAAGCAAAGCATCAATATATTTTTTCATTAATTTGTATTATTTTCTATATTGATATGACTTTACGAAATTCTCTTAATTCATCATTGAAATGTCGAAACTAGAGAATAATCAGGCCCTTCGTTGAAGGATATCATTCATAAATGCTAGAAATTAATCAATAATAAACTACAATAAATCATTAACTCAATCGATACAAATCATAATGTGGTACTTGATCCATAACGAAGGAAACTAATTGATCTAAATTAGATCTTTGTTGAATAAATGTAGTAACATACAGCGAGCGAAATGAGGATTTGATGAAAAAAATAGCATACTATTAAAAATCTATTACGCTGTTGAAAGCCTATTGTTTATTTAGAATGACTACTGGTGTACAGTTTATATTTTTAAAGTTTTTTTGAGGTTTCAGTTTAGTTTTGATCAAATGATTTACCAATATTTGTTTTTTCTGAGAAGCTATATTTTTCAAGTGATGCATATCAAATCTGCATTGAGTAAAAAGGAAAAATGAGAACAGCAAATCTATAAAAGCAAGGTACACACTTTGAAGCATAAACATGTTGTCGAATCAATAGTAAATCAACATATTGAAGGAAGATTTGAAGAAGAAAACTAGATTTAACTTTTCTTGAATTTTCTTAGAAAGAAGCTTTTGATTTCGTTGATAATTCTAGCCCTTCAACATTAGCATTATGATATCTCAGATCATTGTATGTAAATCTGGTATGTTAACGCTATTTTCAAAAAAAGAAGGATTTTGGAGGATTATCATTGGAAGTATTAAGGAGGATCTTATGTAAAAAAAAAGGAGGAATATAGGAGGATTTCTGTATTCTCGAAAAAAAGACATCTACGCAAATTCGAGCTTATTAGTATTCTGAATAGGTTTTATTAAAATATTTAACATAATTTCAACAAATGTTTATGTATAAATTTTAAGTTTTACATAATGTACCAATGAGTGATGACGGTTGAACACCTAGTTTGAGCCATCGCTTAACAGGCACACCATCTGAATCTACCTTTTCTAACCAAGAAATATTAAATTTTGTAGCAAGGCGAAGCATCTATCGAGAATGTAGCCATCTAAAAATATTCTTTTTCAAAAGATTAAGCATATACCCAGGTGAAAGAAAACGGCCCTGAAACGGCATAAAAACGATGTAAAACGTTAAAAAACGGCGCCGTTTTCCGTCAGCTCGGAAAACGAAGAGAATAGTGTTAAAAGCGATGGCCGTTTTCTATCAAAAACAAACGGCCCGTAAAACGAGCTGACGGATTACGGCGAAATAAGGTGAAAATGAATGCCGTTTTATGTCGTTTTATAGCCGCTTCAGGCCATTGCTGATGGCCTTTCAGACGGCAGGATGATCCTCCTGGGTAGCGTTACGACAAATTTACTTTATAGTTTGTACAAAAGAAAAGACATTTATTTCGAGTTTTCAAAGCGTTGGAGTTGTAATCGCCAAGAAATAAAAATATTCGAAGGTAAAATAAATATTTATGTATTAATTCTTAATATATAGCATTAAAAGACGATCTAATTACAACTTGCGTAAAGCGCAATACATGAAGAAAATAAAAGAAAAAGCGAACGACATTTATACATAGAATAACTACATAATTGTGCTAGCTGTTTGTTTGTTCTTTTTTCTTTCTTCCTCTGTCTTCGTAATTGCAATTGTAATTGTATTATCTTTTAATTTTACATATTAAAAATGAATACGTGATTGTTCACATTTCTATCTAATTGCAAGAGATGTCGATTCTATGGTATTAAAAACTCAAAATATAATTTGATTTTCATTGAAAATAAATACCTTGTCGTGTTAATACTAATATGAATTACTTGAAACATCTTTTGAATTGTTGACTCATCAAAACGTTTTGCTTACAATATTTAAAATTCTGATTTTTTATCGTAAATGACAAAAGGAGGAAAAGGAGAATTTTGTGAAACTCACATATATTTTCGAAGAAAATAGTGACTGTAAGTTGAATTGTTAGGTTTTTGCGGCTCCCCTGTATCCCACTCCCCTCTCCCCATTACAGACATAAAATATAAAAAAACGAACACTTAGATGCGCTAATTAGAAACTTTTTTGGTACAGGTCGATTGCCTATGTTCACCACTACTCATATCAGTAATAAAAATTTAGTTTCACTAATTAGAAATCATCATATTTAGGATTTAACCTCTGATTAATCATCAAAATCTGTCGTTTTTATTATTATAGTCCATAGTTACGATAGTGTCGAATATTTTTGTGTACTCAAAAAAAATGAGTACACTCTAGATTCGGTCAGTGTGTCCGTCCGGCCGTTAACACGATAACCTTTGAAAGCCTCATCCAATTGTCATGAAATTTTGTACATATAATGATCTCATCAATATCTCAGTCGAGTTCGAAGATGAGAAGGATCCATCAAGAAATGGCTGAGTTATCGAAAAAATTGTCATTATTGACCAGACCATCCCTGAGGGGGGGGGGGGGGGACGGGGTTTTTTTNTTCTCAGAATTACTCACAACATATATAAATCGACTCAATTTTTACAGTACACATAACAATCGGATGCGAATCCGATGTTTCCGCATTTATTATTATTACAGACGTTAGCAACGAGTGTATACTACCGCTATAGAAGCTAGCAACTAGTTTATGCTACTATTACACTCGTTACTTCTACCACCTACAATAAACAGATGAAGATTTTAATCTCTTTTTCTCACACAAATACCTTATTCTAGAGTTTGAATCCATTTTAGTGTATTTACAATTCGCAACTTTTCCATTCACTGGGAAGCTTGTATCAAATTTTCGGTTATCAAAAAAATGAATCAATTTCTCACCTGGTAATAGGAAAAAATATAAATTTCTCAACAATATTGATAGCTACATCCTAAATACTGTTTAAACTATTATCATCCACAATATTTCTCAATGAAACCACTAAACACTTCATCATACTGACATATTCTGAACAAAAAGGTTTTTATACGGTCTCTCTAGTAATATTTCCTATCGATAGATTCGATAAACTTCAAATGTTAAAAAGGTTTTATTATCTTATTTTTGAACAAAATATGATCTCACTATTCTGAAAAAATAAAACTTCTATTTGATCAGTATCTAATTGATCGAAATATGTGAGTTCCACACTTTAGCCCCAACGGGGCTGCGCTAAAAAGCTTTTTGAGTGAAAAGGAGGAGAAGGAGGATGCTTTTTGAGAAAAAGGAGGAAAAGGAGGATCATTCTCATACCAGATGTAAATTGTTATCTCATGAGTTAATACAATTAAATTTCACTACTAGAAATTTAAAAAAGTACTGGAGCTTTTCGCAAACAAAGTTTTAAATCTTTTCTTAATACCTGATTGGGGGCTGTTTCTATAATCTCCTAAAATGAATTATATAAGTGAACTTTATTCATTCAAATTAATATAAACCAATTTTATTCAATATCATGAAAAATAAATAACATAAGCCAAAGAAATTAACTAAAGATATTGTCAAAATTAGCTTATATCTTTTGAATTAATTTTTCTGGATTATGAATAGACATGTACGTGGGATCAGGACTAAAATAACACTTAGAATCGCATATGACTATTATTAAATACGTTTATTGTTTCACTTAAATGCTTCTGCTCTTCTTTCTATCGATATTCTTTGAAGATCTGACCACTATTAGAATAAAAACCTACAGTAATAAACAAAAAAATGTCAGACGTTATGTTGTCCAAATTTGTATTGTCTCGAAATCAGATTCGACATAATCACGATCAATAATTGGATATTCACAAACACGCTTCATTTTATCTTTAAGTTGATTCATAACAATCGATTTGAAACTGTATCGGCCTGGATCAGCAAGTAAAACATGAATATGGTGTTGATGAGCAGCTATTATCAAATGTAATATTTGTTTTGCAAGTTGATCATCGTAACACATATCACCAATTATGAGTAAGTCAATTTTATTGTTTTGGAAAGCCAATGACGGATTTTGAATAAGATTATATGAAGAAAACTTATTGATCGTAACATCATTCAATTGAGCATTGTGACGAGTGGCAATCAGAGCATCTTCAAGAAATAAACAACAATGATTGATAATATTACAACTGTAGAATAGCTGGCTACCTTTATCAATATCATTAGCGATCACATTGGTTGCTCCTGCAATTTTGGCTGCTATTGCGCTTGCACCGCATCCACATCCGATATCTAATACGCAACGTCCACGAATCAATGACTTATTATCTAATACATAGCTGTTAGTAACAATTAGAACTTTCAGTATAGAAAAAGATAAGGTAAGAGAAATATATACCGAGCTAACCCTTGACTACCTGGCCAAAGAAAAGCCCACCATGGATCCGATCGATCTAATTTAGCTATTGCTTCTTCATAAGGAATATGCCAAAGAGGATGAGATGAAGTTAATATACTTAGTGTTAATTCAGGTACAAGAAGGCAAGCACGTCGAACTGGCGGTAAAAGTTGATGAATAATCAATTCGCATGTTTTCCCTGGCATGATCATTTTTGTATTTCTTTCTGAAATTAAAGAAAAATGAAAATTTTAAAACTACAATTATACGAGGTAAAATTACTAATGCACACATTCCATGTAATATCTTAAATAATGAAATCTTCTGAAAGACAGTATGTTTAGATATTTTTGAAGCACAGCTGGTTGCTCAAGTGACTCAATCTATATTTTTTTCTTCCAAACACTTTCTTTTAGCGTCTTTTTGTTTATCAAAAACTAGACTGAAAAAAGAAGCACTCAACATACATTAAGTTTTCACCAATAATGGGTTGATGAATGATTATGAGCGCCGATTCTTCCCTTATTGTTCCTTTTTGCACCGGTAAAACGATAGACTTATGAACATAGTACATGTAGCTGTTGTAGATGGAGAGAGAGCTTAAATGGAACTAAATTCCAACAAGTTCGTCGAATGACGCTGTTAAATATGCAATGAACAGTAATTCTTTGAACTTCGATCGACGTTCACCAAATGTCATCAATGAAGCGAAAATAAACGAGCTCTGAAAGATTGTTTAACAACCCTAAGTTTTTATTACAATATAATGTAATATATTTCCTCTTAATCAAAGATACTAATCGTGCACCTGCTAATGAATTACTGCTATTCGTTATAATTCTTTGGATTTTTTCTAATTTGAATTTGTCGACGTTTCTTCTAATATTGATCCTCTTTTTGTCATAGACTTGAGGTGGGCGAGCTGACTGTTGTGGAAGGGATTATGCCATTCCATGGCGTATGTCAAATTCGACTTGGAACAGGAAAAATAAAATCTGCCTGAATCAGCGTTTGAATCTTTCTAATCAACTGCTATTATCAATCATGGCGTTTTATGGGACAGTTTTATTGCTTTATAATAGTCGAATTTTAAAACAATCTATTTGAATATTTTGACTCCTATGTTACTGAACTCTGCAAAATATGTTGATCAATATAATGTTACGCAATCTGAATTAATACTAAATCGACTGTATGTAACTATGTAGAATGCTAAAACGAAATATGTAATTTTAAGAAATTTAGAAAACAGGAAAATCGATTGAAAGACTAGTATATCTTGTAAAGCTTTTCTAAAACCATAAAAAAAAACTTCAAATATTTGTTCATTTGATTTAATAATATATATCTTTTGGTATGTCGGTATGATGCACGTCTACAGATGTACCATGCTTAAACTCACACCCTTTTCAATACTATCACATCTTAAACGTAAGGAATAAAAATTATTCTTTCAATTAACAGCAACAAATAACATTCCACTATAATAGATAGACACTGTATACACTCAAATAGATAGTAATCAAAGTTAATCGAATGAGACTCGATTCAGTGTTTAATGTTGTGTAGAGAATTTTAGAAAACTGTAACATATAATAATTAGCAGTATCCATTCTATGAATAAATTATTCGTTGTATTTATCTTCATCCAAAAGATGGAAATCAATACAAAAAGAACTGACAATGACATCGATGATATAATTAGTTATATCAATCATGTTTCAACATTAAATAATCAAGTATTGATGACATTTTTTCTCCATAAAAATGATTATTGAAGACAAATAATATATCTATTATATGAAAGTCAAAAGCAATAACTACTTTTCAATTCAATCATTAAATAGTAAATTTCAACCATCGATCTACAAATCAATCAAAGTTCATTTTCAAATCGAAGCAGTATCTCAATCTCTAACATTTCAAAAAAGAAAAGAAAACCAAATAATAGACTAGTCTTTTTTTTATTCGTCTCACACATCTGAATTTTTTCTTTATAACAATAAAACACTTTTTCATCATCATATCAAATAATAACAGTTATGAAAATCGAGACAACAACATGTTTGAAATCATGACTGTTTAGCTAATGGTGAAATCAGAATAACACCATCGCCACGTACAAATAACATTGGTATATGCCGTTTTGTTGGCTAGAACGTAAATATTATCACAATTACAGAATTAAATTAAATCCCTATTTAATTTACTCGATAAATTTGTTCAAATGTTTCTTCGTCGATTTCTATTGTTGTTATTGTTTCTTCAACATCACCCAAAATCATATTTAAATGTTGATCAAATGCCTATCAATACAGAAAACAGCCATCATCATTTTCATGAAAATCATTCTTCTCTTACATGGAGACGACCACGTAATTCACGTTCATTACGCATTTTAACACAAACTTTTTCATCAAGACTTAACCGAACAAGATCGAGTGGTTCTTCAACCGATGTCGTTGTTGTCGTAGCCTGTATTTAATAAAAAATTATTTTAATTTAAATGAGACAACCATCTTATGAATCACACTTACTTGATCACCTTCGTCAGCCATTTCTTAATTTTATTTTTTTATATGAAATTTCACTTCTAAACAGACAGACGTATGAAAAGAATTATGTCATTCTTAGTGACATCTCTCGAATGAAACACAAAAAAATAATTGTTATAATTTTGAATAGAATCTCTTATGATTAGATTTAGTTTAATAAAAATAGAAAATCTAAATAAAGAATTCATCGAATAATTAAACAAAATTATGTTAATTATTTGTTTCTGATTGGTAGGAAAAAAGAAAGAAGTGATAGAGGAGAGGTGAGAGAGAGGACAGACGAATGACATCAGATCAAAATGGCGATAAATGTGCAGATTAATATTTCTTCGAGCCATGTAGAAGAAAACAAAAACGATTTGCTTAGACTGATTCCATTGATTGATTCCTTTTTATTAATTAAGTAATATTTTTTAAATCAATCAATAAGTATAAAAATGATCAGGATTAAATCGGCTTGAGTTTGTTTGTAAAAATAATTCTTTTTTTTTATAAATGATTGAATCAATTTTTTTCCGTCAATTTAGATCTATTCTCTTTTTTCGAATGGTGCCTGTTCACGACAGTGACGAAACATAGAACGGAGAAATTAAGTTCCTTGACTCTATTTGTATACTCGTGGCTAAAATTCGAAATCGGTTTGTTTTCTTCGTATCTTGTCTCAGTTCATTCATTTTGTTAAATCGGTTAGAGCAAAAGTGGATCCAAGTGGATTCCAGCCTGGCCTTGTTGACACGTCTGGTGCTGGTGGAGTTTGGCAAGGTCCACCACCCGGTTCGCAACCACCGTCACAAATGCCACCTTCTACAAGTCATTTAATTCATCCACCACCTCCACTTCATCATCATCCTGGAATGAATACTAGTCGTATGCCAATCATGCCACCGCGAGATGTACATTTTTCGTAAGAGATTTATTTCTTGTTTTTCTTTTCGAACTATTTTATATAACTTCTCGTTTTTGAATAGTCCTCAACATATGCGATCATTTAGGTAATTGACTAAACTCTTCATTTTTCAATACGACTTCTACTCTTGTTTTTCAATTAGGCCATCATTACCTCCTCCTCCGTCACCTGAATATCGGCTGCACGATTTAAATAAACGTTTATCTATGAGAACAGAAGTAAAAAAATCATGATTTCTATAAACAACGAATGTAAGAAGTTTTTCATTTAGGAATGCGATAGTCTATGGTGGGATGCATTTGTAAATGAATTTTTTGAAGAAGATGCTACGCTAACAATCTCCATTTGTCTAGAAGATGGACCGAAGCGATTTAGTATGTAGTGTTCTTGTTTTATCTATAAGTGAGATTAATGTTTGTTTTTTTTTAATAAAAGGTATCAGTCGTATTTTGATTCCACGTTTTTTTCGTACATTATTTGATGGTGGTGTCAATGAAGTGTATTTCCAATTAAAACAAACTAAAGAAATCTTTCATAATCCAACATTATCATTGGATTGTGAACAAGCATCAATGGTAACTTGCTTTGGAAAGCCACCACACATTAAAGTATGAACAAACATTACAACCTAAAATTAAGGTATAACTTGAAATTTTCATTTTTCAAGGTTTGTACGGAAGGACATCTCATACTTGAATATACATTCGATGATTTAATGCGTATAAAATCTTGGCACTTCGCAATAAAACAATTTCGTGAACTAATACCACGAAGTATTGTTGCTATACCGGTAAGAGTATAATTAGAATAACAGGGAAGAAAAACAAATAACAGTTAAATACATTTTTGAAGTATTGTTTTATAGTCTATAGTCGAAAGAATGAAGTTTTTCGGAATAGAAATTTTTACTGTGTGTCTTGCACGAACAGCGTCATATTTGACGATTAATTGTTCTGTGTGAAGTAGCTCAGTGAATGTAAAACAGTTAAAGATCTATCTCAATTTTTTCTAACCAACGATGATGCTGTAGTTTAGTTGTACAGAAAAGTAATGAAAAAGAATTTCTCATATTAAATTGATTCTATGAATCAGTAACTATTCGGTATAGAATGATATTTCAATTTTTTTGATCACTTTTGAAAGTGTAATCATGTTTGATTCTTTTTAGACGGATAATCCAAGTTATCTTGATCAATTATCAAAAAATTTAACACGAAGTGGATTAACATCTGTTATGTTAAATTTTCTTCGAGTATAAACCTATTTATGTTGTTGTTCTTTTAATTTTTTTTCTGTATCTCTGATTTTAGCTATGTGAAATTCTCGAGCCTATGCAGGAATTAATGTCACGCCATAAAACAACAACATTTTCACCACGTGATTGTATGAAAACAATTTTACATCAACGTTGGTCAAAAACCTGTTCAGGTAAATATTAAAACGAGTTTTTATCTTTATCTTTGATTGCTAATCAAAGATAAATGTTTTTCTATGAAAGAAAGCAATAAAAATGAAAATGAAATAATTATATTTTAACTTTATTCAGAATTTCCTCTGAGTCCTTCATTTCAAACAACAGTACCATGTCAAACAGTTCTAGTATCAGGTATTCAAAAATACACGCTTTCACTTAATTACTTCGCTGAACACAATATTTTGTTATCCTATACTCAAAAAAGTCGATGGTGATAAAAATGTTTTGTCTTTTATTCTTATTTCAGACACTCGACCACCAGCAAAACCTCGACGGAAAAGAAAATCAGCCGCAACAGCCAACAATGCTAATACACCAGGAAATAATAATAATAATCCAAATAATATGCCAATAAATAAAGATACTAATATAAATAATTGTACAATGTCAACGCCAACAAAAAAACGCTCACCAGCTAATACAAATTTTTCTCAAACAGCACAAGGAGCGGTAACTCCGAATATGAATAGTATGCCTGGGGTAAATATTAAGTCAGTTGTTCGTATGAATAAGATCTTAACTTATTTTATTGTGTAGGATGTAATGATTGTTGGCGAACCATCATTAATGGGTGGTGAAATGGATGATGAAGATGAACGCTATATAACTCGATTAGAAAATACTCAGTATGATCCAAATGTGCCACCATCTAGTCATCATCCAACTCGATATCTTTCACCAACTCATCAAATGTTACCAGGATTCCATTCACAACAACAACAACAACAACAAAATCCAAATCTTCAATCAATACTTCATCAAAAACAACAACAATTTATATCTAATTCACCACTTGTACATACAAATCAAATAAAACGAGAACAAATATCATTTCCTGGATCACCACAACAACAACCACAGCCATTGCCATCGATGTTTTCTACTGGCGGTCCACCGACACCAAATTCAAATATGTTTCCACGGCCATCGACTCCAATCAATGGAGATTTATCAAGTGGAGGAAAACGAAATTCAACAACATCCAATATTTCAGTATCAGGGAATGCATCAATGCTAATGAATAATTCTTCCAACTCTCCACCAACACCATCATCGACAAATCATAATCAGGTTTGATTGAACGAATAATGTCCTTACTTATAATCTTTGTTCGTCATTCTTTTATTTAAAAGAGTTGCTTAAAGGAATTGTAGCAAGATTCTAATATCAGACGATGTTAAGATGCTCTTTATCGTGAACGAAGAATTTAGCAACATATCTTTCGGTTTGTCATTTACTACTTATAGTCAATATACTTTTACGACAAAAACAGATGATTACAGTTGTAATGGCTGCACTGAATTTTGAGAAGTGTTCTTAAAAATATATTTCTTAAGAAGTTTAGAGTAGACTTACGTTTTGATAGTAATATATCATAGAATCTATTAGTAAATATCTAAATTCATGTTTTCGACTTTGTTTTCATAGTTTCCATTCTAAAATGAAAGTCACTATTCTATAGATAAGTTTTCGATTGAAACTAAGAGTGAGCGTAATGCTTAGAACAAGAAATCCTAATATGACATAAAAGACCTATATCACAGATTATTATCTTCATTTTGCATATGGTTGAAAGGTATACTCAACTATCGATAGATTTTCCAAACGATTAGCTCCAATTAGTTGTCATAGATAGAAGCTTTCAAGATTGAAAATGATATAGATATTTCAGCAAGTTGTATTAAACGTTTATATGATATGCCATTTAATAACATGTGTAATATCAATCATCCATTAAAACTGAATGTATGCAGTATTTTTCTATGAAATTTGTAAGATATTATTGTTAGACGTATCAAGTTTCAATAGATGTCTAATTTTAAACATACAAATGAAAGAAATCAGATGAACTGTTTAATGCATTGTTTAGGATTTTTCATAGTAAAGGTATTCAATAGAGATTCATATTTTTCATGCATGTAAATCTTGTATTTTCTATACATCATGATATAATGGACCCTATATTTCAAAATCAATTGAATTATTTATTTTGTGTAGAATCCTTCCACACCTGCTCCAACAGCAATATCAAATCCTCCGACAACATCGATAAATTCGTCCTGGAATGGTTCAACAATCAATCCTAGTAATTTATCTTCATCAAATAATCCAGTCATGGGTGAAAGACAACAAGAACCACATACACCACCGGTTACGCCTCAACAACAAACGATTGCTACAGCCTCATAAAATAACGAAAGAAAGTTTTATAACAGAAAATCGAATCTATTCAATTTCTCATTTCTAAGAGAAACAAGAAAAAAGCTGATGCATTTTCTTTTCTTCTATGTAAAAAGCTTTGTTGTCTGTGTTTCTATCTGATTAGTCTAGCTCTTATCCATATTCGTCGCAAAACAGAAATTTTTTCTGTTTCTTTCTATCTGTAAATTAATTATTTCTCAATTTCATTTTTTTCGTCCTATTCGATAATATGAATCCCTGTCTTTTGTTCTCCACACGCATTCCAAAGATCTGTCTGTGAGATCAGAACTGATATTTCGATTCAAATCCTTTCCCTTTTGTTTTTTGTAAATTAAGAACAACACACAGTCTTCTTTTCTTCGTATTTCTTTTCTATAATTAATATTAATGCATTTGTGTGTGTGTGTGTGTAATCTATCTGTTTTTAGGCAAAAGCATTTTTTTTTCTTTTACAAAGAAATATGCTTGATGCATTCATATGTATAAGAAAATAACAGTGAATATAAATATATTCTCCTTTTTTTCTGTTTGTGTACATGAATTTCTTTTTTTTCTCAATGATAATACACGAATGATGATGTTTTCCTCCGTTTTTTTCTTTCTTCTTTTGTCCTTGTTGCTTATTTGTTTTTTTTTCTATAATCTTTATTTAAGAGAAAGAAAAAACCAATATATATATATTTATATATATATATTCATATGCGAATATTTGAATTACATCTATTGATGTTTTTTTCTTTACTTCTAGATAAAAGTCGAGATGTTTAGCCAACTAATATTCAATTTCAGATTAAATAAAGTAAATAATGACAGAAGAACAAGAACTTCTTGATTATGATGAAACTGATGATGCACCACAACAAACGGAAAAAAGTGGAACATCACATGGTAATAGCGGAACAACCAATGCACAAAATGGTGGTACAACTGGTACAAAAAGTGGAACCATTCGAGGTTCATATGTATCAATACATGCTAGCGGTTTTAAGGATTTTCTTCTTAAACCTGAATTGCTTCGTGCAATAATGGATTGTGGTTTCGAACATCCATCGGAAGGTTTATTAATCGACATAGAAAAAATTCAAAATAAAAAGCATAATCTATATATTTATTTCTATAGTTCAACATGAATCTATTCCACAGGCTATTCTTGGTACAGATATTGTATGTCAAGCCAAATCGGGTATGGGTAAAACAGCTGTTTTTGTTCTTGCTACACTTCAACAACTTGAACCTGTTGATGGACAAGTAAAAAAATAAACATAGAATTAAATAATTGAAAAACAAAAATAACAATTATTTCAGGTATCGGTAATTGTTCTTTGTCATGCACGTGAATTAGCTTTTCAAATAAGTCGTGAATATGAACGTTTTTGCAAATATATGTCATCGGTTAAAGTAGCTGTATTTTTTGGTGGTGTACCAGCAAAAAATGATGAAGATATTTTGAAAATGAACTGTCCACATATTGTTGTTGGAACACCTGGTCGTATTTTAGCATTAGCTAAAAGTAAAGTACTCAATCTACGTCATGTAAAACATTTTATTATTGATGAATGCGATAAAGTACTTGAATCACTTGGTAACAAAATTTTGATATAGATATTAGTTTTTTTGATTTTTTAAATTTTACTCAATTTTTTAAAATAGATATGCGTCGTGATGTTCAAGAAATATTTAAAATGACACCACACGAAAAGCAAGTTTTAATGTTTAGCGCAACATTAAATAAGGATATTAGACCGGTGTGTAAAAAATTTATGCAAGATGTAAGTTTAACAACGAAATCTATGTATTGATAAGAAATCATATTCATTTTACTTATCTAGCCAATGGAAATTTATATTGATGATGAAACAAAATTAACACTCCATGTAAGAAATGCTTTTTTTTACTAGGAAAAGAACAAAACTTTCATTTTTCTTAAGAATTTAAAACTTTATTTATTGATTACCTTATTGAGTCTAATCTGATATAGTACTATTATTTCATTCCTGCGATGTTTTATAATGATTCGTTTATTTTCGGAATGATAAAGGTGGATTTCATCTTTTAAGATATGTAGTATTGAAAAGTTAAAAGAGTTCCATCCATCTATTTAAACTATATAAATGTTCATACGAATCCAGTCAGCTTCAAATGAATAATAATTATATATATATATATATATATACATGAAATATTGTTCGTGGGAATATGGTTCAGAGAAATTTGATAGAACATGCTGATAACGTCATACGATCAAAAACAATCCTTGTTTATGTGATAAATATATTCTGGAATGTATATATATATATATAGATTTATGTGAACGAATATGATTTAAAGAAGATCCTTGAATATCCCAAATATAGGGATTGATCAACCATGCATATATATATATATATATATTAATAAAAGGTTTCGTTAAGTCAAAATCAAATATTCAATAAGATTGCCATTGATTTAATACTTTCGATAAATATTCTTTCCAAATCATCATATGATACAAAAATCCAAATAATTTAACTGTATTTTAATAAAGGGTCTTCGTCAACATTATGTTAAATTACGTGAAAATGAAAAGAATCGTAAATTAATCGATTTATTGGATAAATTGGAATTTAATCAAGTAGTTATTTTTGTTAAATCGGTACCACGTTGTACAGCATTGTGCAAATTATTAACTGAACAAAATTTTCCTGCTGTTCAAATACATCGTGGAATGCCTCAAGAAGAACGGTTTGTTTAATAATTAATTAAAATCAAAAATAAATAAAATTCAATTCGAAAAAAATTCTTCTTTGTAGTTTGAAATGTTATAAAGAATTTAAAGAATTCCAAACACGTATTCTTGTTGCAACGAATTTATTTGGACGTGGTATGGATATTGAACGTGTTAATATTGTATTTAATTATGATATGCCCGAAGATACTGATACTTATCTTCATCGAGTATGTCCAGAAATTTTATTCGTTTGTGTTTTCTTCAATATTCTTGTATTTCAGGTTGCTCGTGCTGGTCGTTTTGGTACAAAAGGTTTAGCAATTACGTATGTAGCCGATGAAAGTGATGCAGCAGTTCTTAATGAAGTTCAAAAACGTTTTGAAGTACAAATTACTGAAATGCCCGATGAAATCGATGTAACAACTTATAGTAAATATATTTATTTCTTTTTATTTTCTTTTATGATGCATTTTTTTACTTTTCTAGTCGAAACTCATTAATATTCTGGTCTCACTTTTCGAAAATACTAAAAACAAAACACTTAATTCTACTTGTTTTTGTTTGCTCGTCTTGCCTATTGTAACGATTTCTTTTTGTTTTTTTCTTTCTTGTCAACACAACTTGTTTATGCGTTTTGAAGCATATGAATCTATAATTCTATGTTCCAACTCTTCCTTCTATTTACTTATGTGTTGTATCTGTCTCTTTTCCTGACTTCGTTTTTTTCCTGTTCATTTCGATACTATATAAACACGAACAACAACAACAATTAAATATTCTCTAAGGCAAATATCATACATAGATTTCTTTTCTCTGAGAAATTCAAGGTTAGAAACCTTATTTCAATTGATATTGAAAATAAAACATAAATAAAGAATGTATCACAATTTGTTTGTTTGTCTGTCTGTTTTTCTCTTGATTTGTCCTTTCTTGCGTGCTCGTGTTAGATTGTGTGCAGCTGAATGTGTCATTCTTTTTCTCGTTATATATCTGTGTCATTTCCATTAACTTCTTCTTTGTCTTGTTGTTTTCTTTGTTGAAAATAAAAATCATCAGGACACAGATATACAGGAAAAAAGATAATTTAATATCAACTATTAATTCTATTCTTTTGATAAAGATTTTCTAAGAAATTAGAAGCTAATATAAATACAGATATAAACCGTTTTGTTATTTCTGAAATTATATTGATACATAACAGATTTTAAAAATTCATGCTTAAAAGAAATTGCATTACGATCATTTACTTGCATAGGGAAATTGAATATTTTATACTAATTACTATAGAATCATATAAATAGATTTTTAGGTTCACTTCTTTCCATCGCATATATTCGATGATCTTATTGGTATTATGAGGATGAATTCAAAACAGTTTATGTTTGAAATACGTAATGAAGTAAATCTTGTCAATGGAAAGCAAAAATGATCAACAATTTTCCAATGAGAAAAAAAAATATTGAAAATTTGTCTATCATTCATGAAAAACTTACGTACATTTTTTCCAATTACAATGATGATTATGTAAGTTTTTTTTCTCATCTTAAAGATTACTATAGCCCATCTAGTGTTATAAAGACGAATTATATTTCTTCACTTCAAATATTCAAGATTGAATAAAAAAGTTAATCATAAATTTATTTTAATTCCATCAAAGAACGAATTCCCTTTCATTTCATGAACTTATGAGAAGATTTTTGAAAAATTTCATTTTCTTTTTTTAATTCCATTGATTTGACTGAAATGAATTCGAAAACAGCGCTGATTCTAATAATTGGACATATATACGTATATATCATTCTTGTATCTATTATATAACAGAAGAAGAAAAAAAGCGAGTTGCTTATTCGCGCCATACATAATATATTTTCAACGACAAACTTACTTTGTCTATATTAAATGATGAATATGGCTAATAAAAGAAATGATCGATCAATGGTTGATAAAAATCTAGCTGAGACAAAGTCTGATTTAACACTTCATACAAAATCAAATCATATAAAAGATAAACTCAATGTAAAAATTAAAGAACTAAATGCATCTTTTGGAAAGATACTTCTTCCATCAACGATTGGAATTCCACCAGGAAATAGCAGTTCAGAAAATCGTGCTCGTGATCCTCGTCTTCTCTGGGCACCAGCTATAAGTGTTAGCGGTAAAAATGATCAACCATTTATAACACCACAATATCAAAAGAAACAACGAAATATTGCTGAGAAAAGTGAACAAATTAAATTAAATTCAAAAATTGCAACAAATACTGATTTAAGTCATTTAACAAGAGTAGGTAATGATAAAACAAGATTACCCATATCGTTTATTCCACATAAAATAATTCTGCCAAAAAAAATATTATCTATAATGCAACGAGGTAAAACCTACGATATAACTAATATTATCGTGAAATAAATATAATAGTTCAACCTGTTAGGACCTGGTCCAACAAGTTATCAACATTATAAAGATTATCATCAAATGGGCGAAGAATATATTTATACTCGACAACCTCGAATTGTTATACGTCCATTAATTGGTCCTAAATTAAAACGCGAACAGCATATAGATAATAATGATATGATATTATCTCAAAAGAGAAAAACAATTCCAGATATAAAACCATTTTGGACAACGATAGGCACTCGAACACACGACTCTCGCTTACCCAATGCTCCAGTTTCTACAATTCATCATCGATTCAATATGACATGTATCTATTGATTGTTGATCAAATGATTTTAAACTCGTGTATACTTCTAGTGGATGCAGAAGAAAAAAACAATAAATTACGAGGAATGACTATGCCCGGACCAGCTATGTATCCAATGATGACTAACAATGAAGGAATGAAAAGAGATTTATGTGGAATTCGAGGTGTGACCATAGCGCCAAGATATCGTGATAAGCGTTTAGCATTATCTGGACCTGGACCAGCAATGATTGAACGTGAATTATTAGATAAAGGAGTAAGACAAATATGATTCAATAGAGCATTCAACTATTTTCTTTTATTAGTATAAAAATATTCTAAAAACATCTCCAGCTTTTTCAATGTCTTCTCGTTGGCCTCCATATTCACATACATATACTGATGAATGTTCTGACAATTTCTTTTAATTGTCTCTTTGCTCTTGTATCTTTTTTTTTCTTTTTACTGTCAATATTCTCGTATAATTGACAATTGATTAGCCTTGTATGTCTACCTCTGAGTTCTTCTCGTTTTTTTTTTGCCTTTCTGTCCATGTTTAGTGTTGATGCATTTGAAAACCTTAATGATGATATTCCTTCTTACAAACGGTTGTGTACGTGAACATTAAAATAGTTATAATTGCTTGTAGTCCCCTTGAGTAATTATTGTGTTGTCGTATGTCAATGCTGGTATACATTATCAACGAATAAAATATCGAATGAAGGTCAGATGTTTACGTATGAGTAATTGAAATAAAATCAATTTAATTATGAATTTCCTTAGAGTGAAGACAAGAAATGATGAAATCATAATGACCATTATTGTAAGAGAAAGAAAGAAAGAACATTTGGAATTAATATCAATTTGATACGATGATGAAATAACAAGGTTCAATGCCACAGTAAATAGACCATGAGCATCTATGAATAAAGATTGACAGACAGGTGGTAGTTTGTTGTTTCTTTCTTTTTTTTTCTATTTCACACTTTCATATTATGCGAAGAGAATATTTTCATGCATAGGTGATTTATTCGACAGTGACCGACATCGATGAGCTGCATTACTCGTTTTCTGCTATTCCTATTGCCCTTCTTAGGTAAAATAAACTACTAATCAGAAGTCCATTTTGCTTTTGAAGAACAGCCTAAAACAAGTATTCATGGCACTTTTATAGATTATTTTACATTCATAAATTTACAACTTGTTTTTGGCATTTGATTTAAAAAGTCTTCTTTTGAGAATAAGTCCATTTCATTTATAAGCCATAATTTGTAGATTTTCTCATGCATATATGTTCTATTTATAGTTAGTTGCAATATATGCAATGATCGAATTCGTCTTAACAGACAACAACAGAAACCTTCAACTTACTGTTCATCGTGCGCAAAATATATCGATGAACAAACATTAGCTCCTATTATAGAAATCGATTTGCCATCATTAACACAATTGACTGGTATATTTATTCAAAATTTAAATCAAGATCAAGGAAGAAAAACAGTATAATCATTTTCTTTTTGTGACCTTGTTTAAATTCAATCATTAAATTCGATATCTATTTAGAAAATAGATTCATATTTTATTGAATATCGACGAACACAAGATGGGCCTTGGCATGCTTATGGAAAACGTCATCAACGAAAAGTATTTTGAATAAAAAAAAAGAGCTAAAAACAAAGAATTGCTGTTGTTTTTTATTTCAGTTGTTTATCGAAAGACGTCGCTTATTTTTTAATGGCAATGCTAATTCAAATGAAACACGTACATTTCTTCCATACATTATCGCACGGCAACTTCGAATTATTTTCGTAACATCATCTGTATCAATATGTACAGTCATTCAAGTCTATGGTTGCCTATCTCAAAGTAATTATCATATAAAGAAAAACAAAATTTTTAATCGAAAATACTAATCAATATTATATTTAGATGGTCTCATTTCGACGCGCTTTCCTCAGCGATCAATTATTAATACTGATTTAAAATATGATGGTTTGATTACAAATACAACTGCTCGAGGTAAAAGTATTCGAGAGAGAAAAATACTGAATTAATTGAACGTGTGTGTGTGTGTGTGTGTGTGTTGTTTGATTGGTTATTTAAGGTGGTTTAGGTATGTTAACTGATGCAGATACATATCAATTTATTCATTGGTCTCCATCGTCAGAACCAATTTTAATTCTTTTTGCTTTTGATTCAATAAGAGAATTTCAATCAATAAATCTTGACTTAAAATGTTCTTCATTATTATCATCAACTTGTTCATTAAAGATCAATGTTGGAATATCAGAAATAGTTAAATCAAATAATAATAATCTTTGGACAAATCGTTTTCATTCAATTTCAATCAATAGCAATCAATATCGTGATAATATAACAGTAATACATCTTATACTCCCTGTATCACAGACGAAAGGTCAATTTGTAATTATACAAATTGATACAAAAGAAGGTTTAGCACTTAGTGAAGTAACCTTTAATAATCGAAATGAATATGACGATCAAGATATTATACCATCATCAATTTATATTGAAGCCAATCTACGTCGATTAGAATTATTAGCAATTACTTCTATATCAAATGAAATTATACGTAAGTAAATTTAAAACAAAAAAAAACATAATCATTTTATTATTATTAAATTTGCATCAATAGTTCAACATAGATTATCATATTTGTTGATTTTTATCTTAATCATTTGTGCTCTACTCTTAATGTTTTTACTTATTTCATGTATGTTTAGAGAGAAAAGATTACATAATATTGAGTAAGTTGAACTTTAAAAAACAACAAGAAATCATTTTGTTAAATTAATTTCTTTGTTTGAAAGAATAATCACTGAAGAAAACGATCACGGTTCCACTTTATCCATAACGCGCTCAACGAACGATGAAACAACTCATAAGTATGACAATTTTTGTTCATACTGATAATAATAATAATAATAATAATAATCTTACTTATTTCTAGTCATTCTCAATTAGATTTATATTCGAATCCCGAAAGTAAATATATAAAAATTAATATTAATTTATAAATAGAAAACAAAAATTCACTTGTATCGACTGCTAGATAACGACGATAAATTAACATCAGATTGTTTACGGCTTATTAATTCAGAAAAAATTGTTAATGAAAGTGCAAAAGCAACAATACGTACACTGACGTCACATCGACAAGTAAAATAAGAACTTTTGCTTTATTTGATTTTACTCTATTTTGATATAGTCTCGAGTACAACGATACTCCTGGTTCAATTTTCATTCTATCTATGATCATTTATCTGAATTAGATTCAAATGAAATAGTAATCATGCAGAATCTTGGGATTCAAAATAATCGTCAGGTAGCTTGAAAAAGAAAAACTTTTCGTTTTAAATTTTATAATAACTATTTTGTCGAATGTATTTATTAAGTGTTTTTATAGCGAATATGGTCAAAATAAATTATCTGTTATACTATATGAACATGAAAATAATGAGTACTATAAACAGAATTTTGTTTCAATTAATAAAGATAACTTTTTTTATTTAGATTTTTCAATTTATCGAAATTAGTCGATCATAAAAATATAGTTTCTTGTCTTGGTTATGTTTATGTATCGCCTGAACGATGTCTTCTAGTCAGTGAATATAGTCGAGTGAATTTATTAGAATATTGTCAAACGATGATGACTGAAAATGAAAATAATTTAACGTAAGGAAAAAGAAAACATAAATCAGCTGACGTTATTTTGATTCTGTTTTTTTTCTCATGTGAATAGAATTCTTATGGAATATCTCTATGAAATTGTTTCAGCTCTAATTCATCTTGAATCATTAAATATAATTTTACGTGATTTAACATTGCCAAATTGTCTTCTATTTGATAATAACATCATAAAATTATCTGATTATGCGAAACAAGACGATCGTTATGTATCGAGATATGTTCAACAAATGCCGATTCGATGGTTACCTGGTGATATTGTTACAGGAGTAAATATTTCTTGTTCTATAAAAAAAAGTATTTATTATGTTTTTTATTTTGATATTTATCTTTGAAGGATGAAATTTGGTCTATCGGAACAAATACATATATGTTTGGTGCTCTTATATTTGAACTATTCCATTGGGGTGCTTGTGTCCCATATAATGATTTAAATGATGATGAAGTTTTGCAATTCTTTCATGATTTATGGCCAACCTCAAAACAAAATAGTATCGAGCCATCTGTTCTTTTTTTTTCAACGTATTTTCCACGTCCAAATCTATGCAACGATCGTCTTTATGCTTTAATCGAACGTTGTCTTTCATGGTCAAGTTTAGATCGACCGTCATTTCGAGAAATAAGTCTCTGTATAGATGAAACAACAACTATGCTGCCTTCATGACCATTGACCGAACAGTCCAAGAACATTTATTGGCATGATAGCGAGAAAAGAAAGAAAAAGAAAGATAATACTTATTTTTATTGCTGTTTGCTTTAGTATATAGTAACAGAACAACAATCTGTATGCATTTATCCGCTTTCTAACTGTAAAGGACGAAGAAAAAAAAAGTCGAGAGAGAAAAGAGAGACATAATTTACCACTGTGCTGCCATTTATTGTATCAATATAAGCAATGATGTTGAAGAAAGTTGCTTTGTGCATATTGACACATGGCGGACGAAATTTTTCAACGAAAACTTCAATTATGCAAAAAGGAAGTTCCAATAATCGATGTGCTGAATTAAAACGAATGCTTCTATCACCTCAACTTGAGTTTATTATGGAGGCTCATAGTGCTCTAAGTGCAAAAATTGTTGAAGAAACAGGTTTCAAGGTAAGTCAATATGTATTCTTAAAAGAAGGAAAAAAAATCCTTTTCAATGGAATGAAGAAGTTTTTAATCAATATCGATAAATGCACATGTTTTCAGTTCTAATACTAGCAATGAATTAGAGCAAAGCATAATCTAACTATTTTGTGACTATAAACAGTTATTATCATCACTATTAAGCTATATTCAAAATTCAAACAGTAAGCAAAAATAATATAAGATCAACTACAAGTTTCTTTATTTTAATTTATTTCTCTTTTTTTAACATTATTATTATTTTTGTTTTATTGCATGGGGACGTTGATAATTATGATTTCATGTATTATACATATATATATATAGGAAGAGAGAGCTTGTTAGTCAGCAGGAGCAACACGAACATTATGCTTATAAATGCACTGAAAAAAAGCTATATTATGAAGAATGTAATCGAAATATGAATATATTCTGTCAACAGTTGTTAATTTATTAGGCTGATTTATGATTCACAGGTGAAGTTAGTCATAAAAGGACTTATTTCCAGGTTAAATGAACAGATTGCTACATAACAATAATGTTGCCTGAATACTGGGCTATGGTCGAATTGCGACCGAAAATTAAGCCAACTAAGAAAAAAGTGGTCGCAATTTGGAATCGAATAAAAGATGAGATCACCGTAAAATTCTTCGTTCCAAATTGCGACCGTTTTTTTTCTTAATTGGGTTAATTTTCGGTCGCAATTTGGAAGCTACGGAATACTGATCGGAGATTTAAACCGTTGTCGATAAAATGGAACTAATTGAAAGAAAAGTATCAAATCTATTTCAAGTTATTTTTATTTATTTCAGCACAGATAACTTACATTGAGACTATTCATTTGGCTATAAACAGATCAAGTAGAGATAAGCATTTTAGTACTATTCGTGATAAGCTGATGTTAAATGACGTACTAGATAAATAAAAGAAATGATTTGAAACATAAAAACGATCATTTCACTTTATAAAACATGTTTCGTTGCAAGAAAATTCGACTTATAATTCAATAAAAAGAACAATAATATAACTTGCAATGGTCTATGAGTCGTCTCGTGAAGTTTCGTTTCTATGTGCAACATTATTGTTTCTTATATAGATATTTCTTCATGTTTTCTTTCTCATTGTCCTGCTGCTATTATATTCCTTATTGTTTTTTTTTTTGAAAGTACGATTCCTCAAATGTTCTTTCTTTCAAATGATCATTAACTATACTGAATTAAATTTCTGCTTATCCCATATATATATATATATATATATCATAGTTCACCGTAATAAATGATAATACGGTCATAAATGCGTGTAATTGACTTTATTGGAGATTTTATGCTCGGCATGCCAATATTTTAGATAAAAACACTTGAAATTGAAAATATTCCTGTCTTATTTTTATTTTTATTTTTATTATTATTATTCTTATTACTTTGTGTCTACTTGTTCTGATTTGAAATACAGCATAATTAATTTTTATAGTAATATATAAACATAGCATAAAAACGAAAGTAGTTTGATTTTAATTATACAAGTCAATTGGTCAGATTCTCGTGGTAGTTCGCTACGTAGCTTCTCAAAAGAGATACTTTTTAATTAATCATACAACTATTTAAAACTGTCTATAGCTATTTAAAGTGTCACAGCTATTTAATCCATATTGATGTACACTTTAGTTTATCTAACAATTTTATGCCAACTACTTTGAGGGCATATTAAAACTTCCGTCCCTGAAATTTTCAAGGCAGTTAAAGATTTCTTTAAGATTACCAGTCATTGATGAAATTTCTCGTCCGAAAGCTAGTTTCTTTAAATAGTTACAAATCTTTAGTACTGAGCATTAAAAAGCTATCACACAAAGGTGAAGAAATCTTTAAAATAATACACTGAGGTTGACGAAGAATCATCGATAAAACTACAAGATCATAGGAAAAGCATAGCTTGGCAAATCTGTTAACAGTGCGAATTTTCAGATCGAAAATTACTGCATAGAAATATTAAAAGCCTCAAAATACTACATTATTGACAATGTTAATTAAGACAATTACTCAGCTTCTTCCCCAATCTTGCTCGTCCTTTTTTCCCAATCCTGCTCCTGCTTTTTTTTCTTGAGAGCAAGAGTTTAGTGTTCAAGCTTATCAAAACCGTGAAAACTGCACATTGAAAAAAGATATTACGGGAGAATTTCTAAATAGTGATTATAGTGAGCACTTATTTACTTTCTCTCCGTTTTTTTCTTGATATTAGATTACCTTAAGTTTTATAACCTGCGCAAAAATAAGACATGTGTCTCTTTCTGTTCTGGCGATTTTAACAGAATAGGATATACGATACTGAGAAAAGTTTCAATATCATGCCTTCGTTGGTTGATAAAGACTTTAATTTATGCTAACTCTCGCCTTCGAACCATGGGGCCAAGATAAAATTTATGGAAGGTGATATTGGACCCAAGTGATGAAATTTTATCGAAACGTTCTATAGTCGTTGTATCTGGATATGTTTTATTTCCACTACCCCAGTCATATTCTTTTTATTGTAGTAGAATTTGATTTTAATCATAATTTACAGTGGATTCTATCGACAGATTTTAAATCTCATCTAAAAGTATGGTCTCATTTGAGTTAAGGTAGTGGCAATTCAAACTTTGAGCAAATTTTGAATTATCGCTACCTTACAACATTTTGAATTTTTGCCACAGTTTCTGCGGCATTTCGCAAAATTCTCAATGGCTATAATTCTTAAATGGAAACATATTCTTAAATCAAATTTGAAATCCGTCGACGGAATCCGCTTTGAATCACGATTAAATAAAAAAAAACAATTTCAGACGATGACGCTTTAGAAATGTTTCTGCCAACACCAATTGCAAAACGTTTTTGACGAAAACTCATCACTAGGGTTCAATCCAATATCACCTTCCATAAGTTTAATTTTACTTCCATGCTCTGAAGTTGACAGTCAACATAAACCATAATTATCGATACATCACTGCCTAGCTTTTTTTTTACGTCAAAATTTTCTGTTGAACTAAGTACGAATACGAATTGCATATATATATATATATATCGTTCTTTCAAGGTTATACGATTTAATAAAAGGCTTATTAAAAAAGGTTCCCTATTTCAGAAATATGCAAGCGGATCTTTTCATCGATCATAAATAAAGCAGCAGCCGTTCCCATGCATTCTTTTATCTTTCAAGAAGCTGATTCAGAAAACCAATTATAAACATGTTCACAGTGCTGTAGGAAATATTGTAAAGCGTTCAAATCTTTATTCAATGTTAAATATAGCATAACAAGGAAGAACTGTTTGAAAACCTTACACACACAAAACTCTTCAAATTCAAATAGTACATAAATACTATGAAAACTCTCATAATTTAAAAAATTAAAGTCACGTGCATCTCAAAATTGAACTTTAAACTGTTGCCCACATTCGAAAATATCTTTTGAACTTCAGCTAACCATTATACGCTCAATATAGTCACCAAATATATAACAGTACTATAACAATATAAATAGCTTTCGTGCTATATTTAATGAGTTGCAGTTTAAATAGATACACCGCATTTTAAATAGCTACAGTAGAGATTAAATAGCTGTGAGCAACTTTACGTAGCTATGCATTACATAAAAGGTTTCTACCAAAATCTCACAAGAACAAAAAGTATCTCTTTTGAAAATGAACCAGTTCGCTATAGTTACTATAAGGCAATCCTCATATTTACAGTATTGAATAAATGATCGAATCTGTGAATAATTAAAAGGCAATAATCATTATGTCTAAAATCATTCAAGGTGAAACAGGCACACTTGCAGAATATTTTGAATTATCTTATATCGACATAATAAATGACTCAATACTAAGCTTGTATTAAGTACTTGTGAACGTGATGATAAGAAATACAAGCGTTCATCGAGTTTTGAAAGACAGAGAAATATTGAGATAATATGGCGACATGAAATAAAACATTATATGACTATCCACGATATAAAGTAGGCTGTTAATGAATATCATGTTCTACACTCTGAAATACTACTTCTCAACTGAATTAAAGCGTCATGCATAAATTATTCTTTTTGTTGTAATTTTATGCTGTTAAGTGAATTATAGTAGTATACCGGATAGAGATGAATTTCCATTTCTAATTTTTATTCTTACAGTGAAGATAAAAGACAATTTCATTTTTGATTGAATACATAATATAGCTCTGGAGACTACCCATAAGTAAATGTTATACGTCGCCAATCAAATATTCATAATTGAGAAATATTTATTCTTTAACTAACTATAAAAAATGTATTTGTCTTTTTCAATTCAGGTGTTATCCATCTGAACAAAAACTTTTGTGTTGTGAATTGTTCACAGAGAGTTTCGTATGAAAATATATGATATATGTTTATAAATTGTAGACCAATCTGAAATCTTAGTTTGGCGTAGTCTATTCTAAGATTTTTTATTTCTTCAGGCCAATTTAAGATTCGTCTAGGCCAAACTAAGATAAAACATTTAGTAACTACAATTACAGCTGATCTTCATGAAGTCAATAGCAGAACATAGTAAAAACCAATCTACACAAATATGTAATGAATAGACACTACATTTTTTGTTGTGATTACATATTTCTTAAGAAAAAGAATCTTTTTTATGAGAATATGTCGAGCAACAAAATGAATTTCTTTTACAAACACACTGGGTGATTTAATATTCTCATTTACCTCAATAATACACACTTTGATAACGCCTCAAAATATAATTTTAATGTAGTACTCATCGATCTCTCATCTAAAAGAATCTACTATAAACAAACGAATTTGTGCGATACAAAAGTGAAACTCACCAACAAATTCTTTGCTTATCTTTTATCAATAATTCTCTGAAAAATGAGTCCTAGAATGGACTAGACCAAACTTATATTGGCCTGATGCTTTCAAGTCACTTCCAAGATTGGACTAGGCCATTCTAGAATCTACGATTGACCATGAAACAAGTCAGGCTAAACTAAGATTTCAGATTGGCCTAATCCAAACTCGGATTTTTAAATGGTCGGAATCCTAGATTGGCCTATCACATATGCATTGCACAATCTGATACTACTTTTATCTTATTGGTTTGAAATAAATAAAAATTAATCATATAAATTAAGAAGCGAACTGAGATAAAATTCGTTTGAACATGATTAATATATTATAAATTGTTCTAGGCTATTTGGGCAAGTGGCTTATCAATGTCAGCTTCACTTGGTTTACGTGATTCAAACGAAGCTTCATGGACTCAAGTGCTCGATATTCTCGAATTTATGGCGGACGCAACAACTATTCCTATTCTTGTTGATGCCGATACAGGTTTTGGTAATTTTAATAATGCGCGTCGTCTTGTTCGTAAACTTGAACAAGTAGGCATAGCTGGTGCTTGTATTGAAGATAAATTATTTCCAAAAACAAATTCATTATTGGATCATCGTGAGCAACCTTTAGCGGATATTAATGAATTTGCATTAAAAATTCGTGCTATGAAAGATACTCAACAGGATCCAAATTTTTGTGTTGTTGCTCGTGTTGAAGCATTTATTAGTGGATGGGGTTGTGATGAAGCTGTACGTCGAGCTGAAGCTTATTTATCAGCTGGTGCTGATGCTATTCTAATGCATAGTAAACAAAAAGATCCTAAAGAAATCGAACAGTTTATGAAAGCATGGAATAATCAAGGTCCTGTTATTATTGTTCCAACAAATTACTATCAAACACCAACAGAAATATTTCAAAAATGGGGAATATCGGGTATTATATGGGCTAATCATAACTTACGTGCAAGCATTAAAGCCATGCAGGCAACATCAAAACTAATTTTTAGTGAACAAACATTAGCTAATGTTGAATCAAATATTGTTAGCGTAAAAGAAGTGTTCCGTTTACAAAATGATCAAGAATTAGTTAATGCAGAAAAAAAATATTTACCAGCTAAATCAAAAGTTTAAACAGTTCAAATTTTTTTCTAGTATTATTATTAATCAGTTATTATAGCCTTTTTTTTTGTTATTTAATCAATTCATTTTAGAAAGTTGTTTTGATTTTCTAAAAGAAAAAGAAAAAGAAAATATGCAAATCTGATGAAAAGTCATTATTAGATAGAATGCCTCGAAGAAACATAAATTACATCATGAACGTAATGTTTTTGGGTTTTCTTAGCAAGTCATTTTACGATAAGAGATATGCTTGACACCAACACCAGTAATACTATTTACATTTTCACAGCTGAAATAAATACTTTAATTGGCCTTATTGATTATTTTTCTATGTAATTATTGACTTTGAGTCTAATATTTATGTGACAGATATATTTTTTGCACGCATTCACATCAATATTTTCACCCAAATTAAGTAGTACAATATGTATTCTTAATTAGTTTACATACGAGAAACGAAGACGACGACGAATAGAACTCATCACAAAAAATAGACGTAATTTGTATTCATTTTTAGAGTAGAAGAATTTTGTCTAGGAGATTTCGAGAAATTTTCTTATGAATCAACATTCTTTCCGTCGTTCTTAAATGAAGTCTTCATCTAATACACGAGAATTATTCAATGTAAATGTAACCATGTTTTAGAATGAAAAGACAAAACACTGTGACAGATTTCTTACTGTGATTCATCTCCGGTATATATTATTTTCTTCGATTTCCAATGGTAATTTTGACTTCTATTCAATTGCAGCTGATGCTTGTCGATGCGACTATAAAATACACTGTACGCATCGAAAATCGATATATTTTAGAAGATATAATGGGAGCGAAGCATTCATCGTCAAAATGCACGTCAACAACAATTGATTATATTCGAACAAAAGATGTTAATAAATTAACACGTCAACTTAGTAAACGAAATGCATCATTTCGAAACAAGAAGAAACTAATAAAAACTCAAGAACATAATACTCAATTATTACAACTTGATGTTGTTGATGATGAACAGCACCGCTCCGCACTGCATTTTGCGGCTATTGAAGGTGAGTTGATTAGTGATTTAGTTAGTTAGTTGCGAAGTGATAAAAATTAACATTGAAACATAAATAATTATATGAATTTCTAGGTGATGCCACGATTATTGTAGCTCTTTATGAATATATGCATACAGTCGACGTTACTGATGCATTAGGCCGAACACCATTACATTATGCAGCAATTGCTGGTAATGAAGAAACATTGATCAGTTTACTTCTTTGCAATCCTGATATGAATCGATTAAGCAAAGACGGAACAACTCCATTGCATGAAGCAATTATTCATAATCATCCCGGTATGAATATACATATTTATATGAATAGATAAAATAATTTATCTCTAAATTTTACTTTTATTTTCTACGAAGATATTCTTACTCTATTGATTCAACATAATGCTGATGTTCATATTTTATTTCAAAATTATCTTCCGCCGTTAATTCTTGCCGTTTATCTGCAACATAGAAATATTGTTGAACTTCTTATTCGTCTTGGTATTGATCCTAATCTTACTGATACAAATACGGGCCGATCAGCTCTACACTATGCAGCGTATTTTCATGATAATACAGCCATATTTCATTTACTCCTTTCATCAACTATCCATCATGTAATTGATATTAATATTCAAGACAACAATGGATTTTCTGTACTTGATTATGCTCGAGCAAATATTCATAGAAGTACAGCTATTATTAATTTACTTTTACAATTAAATGTATTTGACCCTTATCGTGGAGAAAAATCTGGTGAACATATTGAAATTGATATGCCAACTATTAAATTATTTCAATCATCAAACGAACTTTCATTATTAAAGAAAAAAGACAACGATGCTAAGACATTACCGGGAACACAATCTAAGAAAATATTTCACTTCGGAAAAAAATCTAAATAAATTATTTGGTTATTAAGTTATTATTGTGTTTTAAAAAATAAAAGAAACTTATTTAATTCAATTTTAAAATAAAATTAAAATTTTTTTTCATTACTAATATTCACTATTCCACAAATATTAGTTTTTGATAATCATAGAAAAAGTTTTCTCTTTACTTCATTCATTTAGTTTTTCTAAAGTACGAATAAAATCTGAAGAACATAGATAGTTTTTTTAGTTTCTCATTCAAAGGAGAAAAAAAGAGAACGCTACAAATATATTTCATACGACGTTATTTCTACGCAATGATGAAAGATTTTTCTCCATCATAGCTAAAAGCAATATTACATAGACTAATGTCGTCTTTTCATTCACTATTATTAAATGTGTTTATTCTGTTTTGTTCTGTTCTGTTCGGCGCTTATATTTCTTTTTTTACATCCACACCATCATCAAATTGTAGATTTTTCCTTTTCTGTTACAGCTGCTGTCATTGGATAAAAAGTAAAAGCATTCATCAAACTAAAACTAACCAAGCATGCAAAGTGCTCGTTATCCAAGCATTTGAAGATCACCATATTCAATTAGAAAACAAAACAAAACAAAACAAAACACGAATACATTTAGAGTATTCGTTGTGAATATGAAGCAATAGATAGATTATTTCTTTATTTACATCAGTAATAGTAGGATTAAACGAGTTATTCTTCTACAGCACTATTGTCGAATTCGACATTATCGACAAGAATGACATCAATAACAAAATCTGTTCCCAATAATGATACTGTTTTCAACGTAATTACGAACTATTTACATGCTTCATTATACGAACATCAAGAAGGTAATTTACTTGAACCTGAAAAATTTTTCGCTCGCGATGTTCATATTATTATTTGGACTCTAACGATTTTTACTTACCTTCTTGCAATTCCAATAGTCGTACGACTAGTTCGAACTCGTGCTTATTTAAATGTAATTGATTATTTTTCGTTTCATATTATTCTTTGTGCATTTATTGCATGGATTCCATCTCTAATCCTTCTTCTTTATCATTGGTTTCAATCATTTATATTGCGATTTTGTCGTTTGCATTATGTTATCTTATCAACAAATGAAACCGTAGGACTTCTATAAATGAACAAAACATAAACAAATTTGATAATTTATTTATTTCGTTTTAGGTCCCGTTATTCTTCATACTTTATATGACAATAGAACGTTTTCTCTATGCTCACCCATCAATAAAACAAAAATGTACGCGATTTTCTCTTATGCCTGTTATATATTTATATGCAATTTTTACTTGGCTTTTAACAATGCTGATTTACGCATTGGCATCCCCATTCACTTCAAATGATTCGAAGTCGATTGCAGCATTGTATACAACCCAGTATTGTTCATATAGTTATAAAAAATTACATTTAATTGAATCAAGTCGTTCAATAATTTATTTTTGTTTATTTGTACCATCTTTGATATTAATTGCTTTTGTTTTGAGATATTTTTATCTGATGCGTGGTACAAATCAAGTTCCATCAATACAAAAACTATGGACAATACGTGTTACATCATTACTGTGTATCGTTGTTTTTTATGATGCGTATTTATATTATCTTGAACATATTGCTGAAACCTACAAATCATTTTTATTCGCATCAATATTACGTTCAAGTTTTTATCTAATACAATTACTAATAATTGCTTTTACAGAGCCATATTGGCTTGAAATGCTATTTGAACATTGTGCTTGTCTCTGTTGTATGTGCATGGGTCAACGACGAAAACCAATAATACCAATTGCTATGCCAACTGAAACAGAAATAGATACTTTACCAGGTTTATCATCTGCAGGACATTATTCACTTGTTGAGGATACATTTAGTGATGAATTTGATCAAGTTACTAATCAACCAGAACCAGTATTACGTGTTATCGTTTAACGATGAGAATATATTTCATCTTAGAAACATCTCATGTAGTTCTTCTATGTTCAATATCCTAGACATTTTTCGTTGCGTACTATTAACTCTTGTTAAGGGCATGTGTATTTATGCTAATAAAAACTTATTTTATATCGGTTTATTGTATCGCTATGTGACATATAAATTGATAGACAAACACATAGAAGACGAAGATTATATCCAGAAAAATAAAAATGCAGGGAAAACAACAAAAAAATACTTTTAGAGAATTATATTGACACTGGATCAAAAACGTAATATATCGATAGAAGACGATCTTTTAAATTTATTTCCTTACCTGCACATTATTGAACTACTTAGCATAAAAACGAAACGAGTAATATTCAATGAGGTTTATCGTCTTTTTTTCAGTGTCAATATTTCTTCCATTACATCGTAAAAAATAATCAAAGCCATAACATTTATGGCTGATTGATTTTTGTTGTCACTATCATTACTTCCGTGCATAACGCACCTTTGGCAAAAATATTGAAACGTTTTGCTTTCATTTTAAATACAAAATGCAAACACTCTTCAAACCAAGCAATGCATCAGTAGGCTGTCGCATTGCTTTTGTTACTATATTAGGAATTCTATTTTGTTCAACTGGAGTGACAGGTATAACTTTGTCTATAATTGAGTTATTTCGTGGTCGATCAAGTTTTGTTCATTATGATGAAAGTCAGGGTGGCTTAAAACTTGAAAATCCACTCTGGCCATCATCAGGTTATAGTTTAAGGACTTTTTATTTTGAAAATATCGTATTGTCTTCATCATATTTTTAGGTAAAGGCTTTTGGATTGGTCTAATATTGATAACAACAGGACTTGTTGGTATATTAGCATCTCGAGAATGGACTCCTCCAGCAATTGCTGGGTTTACCACATTGGCTGGTGTATCAGCTATTCTATCATTCTATTTAATGATTACGTGTATTTTACCTGTTTATTATGATACAAAATATTCTGATTCATCGAGACCTAGTTGGCAATCAGTTGAATTGACTGTTAATTCATTACTGATTGCTGTCGGAGGATTTGGTGCTATCTTAGGTGCAATATCAACATTTATTGGCATCTGCTTTGCTGGTTGCTGTGTTAATCAACGTGATATCTATGGCTATTCTAATGAAATTGATAGAATCAAGATATTACCAAGAAGAGAACTTCAACAGGATCTGTTCAGTGCAAGAGTTTGAGAAGCCAACTAACAAGATTCACCATCAATATGATTAATATATAGCGGCGAAATCTAACTACATTAAAAAATATTTTGTATGAATATTTGTTTGAATTTAAATATTCATGAATGTAATAGATCAAATTTTACCTTTAACATGTAGATCAAAACATCTGAACCGATCAAAAATTGAATCATAAAAATTGAATATCTATAAAAGTAGTATTTTAATTCATATACCAATCAAATCGGCCAGGGCTCTAGATGAAAACGGAAGTGCTAGAAGTACATATTGATATATCATGTCTGAACTTGATCTAGTGACTCGAGTACAGTTTCCATCATTTTATTTTTGTATTTTTATTTGTTTCTTCGTTCGACAATAAATATTGGCGAGAAGGCAAGTTCGATAGATTTTATCGATTATTGAATGTGCGTATATTATGATTTTAATTTATATAAATCACAAATCAACTAATAAATCATACTTGTATTTTATACATCACCAGTGATTTTTTTCTTTTAGTTAATTTAAATTTTACTGTATATTTCAATCAATCTCGTATGTTTTCTAATTTTGAAACCAACAGAAACAGAAGAAAATAAATTTGTTATTTCTCTAAAAAAAAAGTCTCATCGAGAACAAATGATTTGCTAGGTATTTTCATGTCGAAATTCATCAATGATTCGCTTGAATAGCCAAATGAATACCAACTAATAGAGAAGTATTTTGTTTTTCGACAAGCATGGTTTATCGTGTTGATGATCTTGATAAATATCTGATTTTCTCAACATTTTTCAAGTAATTATAATCTTTTTTTGTATATTCGTCTTTTTCTTGACAAATTTTTTTTCTAATATAATAATCATTTTTTTTAAATATACTCCAAAATGAAATATAGTACGGCTTTTTCCCGATCTCGTTGATAGACTATGCTCATAGAAATAATTTACAATAAGTGAAAAAAAAATTTTTTTTTTTACTTGTAGGAATAATTGAAATAGTTTATTCTCGAGAAATACATGAGTTTAGTATGAAAAACAAAGTGAACTGGAAGAAATTTTTAACTTTATTTGTGATTCTTAATGTGACACGTATCTATGACATAAGAGTGTAATCTTGATCTTATGCAGAGTCAAAGTACATTGATAAAAACAAAAGTAGAATGAAAATTGTTCTACTACTCATTATCACCGCAAGGAAATGGATCAAAAGTAATATAACTATGAGTTCTTTCTACTATTGATATTATATTCTAGCCACAATATTCCCTAGACTGAAAGGATAGGGTCTAGAAACCGTAATTCACTTGTGTCTGTCTTTCTGTCTGTAACAATGGCACAAATGACCATTTTTATGGCTCAAACGGTTATGTTTCTGACACAAACGACCAATTGTCTAGGTGCAATTGACCATTTATATGACAGAAACAATCATTTCCGGGGGATAAATGACCGTAGCCATGGTACAAATGACCTTTTTATGCTAGAAATGACTATTTCTGTGGCACAAATGACCATTTTTCTGGATAAAGAGCATTGTTACGGCACAAACCATTGGCGGATGCATGAGATGGTCACGTGAAACAGTCCACTCTGGAGATAGGGTTATTGGAGGGGGTGAGCTGATCCTCCTACGGATATTTGGGCTAACCACCGCGAAATACCTGAAGCATGTATTTTTGTGGCTAGGCAAGACTCAGCCGCACCCCACCTTGAGGAGATTTGAGTCGCATTCTGTCCGTCTTTCGTCTTCAATTTTAGTGCGGTTAGTTGAAACCTTTAATTCCTCTAATTCTTACCTGATTTTCACTTACTCCCACCTCCTTTACAGGCCTGTTTGAAAATATTATCACCAACTGCGGGCACAGACAACCGATTTTCTGTCCGGCCCATGTATTTCTTCTGCTGAGCACATTCAGTCTAGGGTCCAATGAATCGACTTTCGATGTCGATGAGCGTTACTTGTTTGGTAACTGATCTTTTTTCTCGTAGCAAAAGTATTGTTTTTCTTCTGTAATATTTAAGTAAACTATACTATTGGTGCATTAGAAACGAATCAAACTATTGGCAAGATAGTTGATGGTTCTAGCAAAAACTTCAAGGTAACATCTGTTTCAATCTGAGTAAACGAAGGTCAATTCAAAATGATAGTAACAATATTTACCTCCTGAGAGTAATGATATAAGAAAAAGTTTTCGCCGATGNTCCGTCTTTCGTCTTCAATTTTAGTGCGGTTAGCTGAAACCTTTAATTCGTCTAATTCTTACCTGATTTTCACTTACTCCCACCTCCTTTACAGGCCTGTTTGAAAATATTATCACCAACTGCGGGCACAGACAACCGATTTTCTGTCCGGCCCATGCATTTCTTCTGCTGAGCATTGTCAGTCTAGGGCCCAATGAATCGACTTTCGATGTCGATGAGCGTTACTTGTTATAATTATATTTCAAAAACGATAAAATCTAATGATTTATTTTGCAAAGTGAAACAGTCACAGTCAATTTAGAGAAAAAAAGCGATGAAAACTAGTATTTTTCTTTTTCAGTTTCAGAAAAGTTGTGAAAATTAATTAGAAGATTCCTCATGTTGGATTTACTTATATAAAACTTCACTTTGTTGATAAATCTTAGAATAATCATCAGATATCAAGCTACGTTTGTTTGTTTAAACGTCATAAGCTAAGTTAAACGGTCGTCTTATTTTATTTATGAACAATTGCAGTTTAACATCTAGATCGTAGTAAATACCATGCTCCGGAAAAAAATAGTTTTCATTTAAACAGCAATCATACGTACAATTTGTTTACGATATTCGATTAACTGTCTTTTCTACTTTACATTTATATTCTGTTGGATATTTGCATTGCAAAGTTGTTCATCAATTAGGCAGTTTTATGACTTGAAAGATTAATGATGATTGATGTTTATTTGAGTATCATCAAAGAAGTGTACGTTTATTTTACTGTGCAAAAGATTAACATTTCATTTGTTCTGTTTCAATGATATACATATTTTCATGTCATTCATAATGAACATAAATGATTGCATCATTTATTTGTCTTTTTTATTTTGTTTAAAAGTTATCCTTTTGTCCAACATCTTTGTGAAAAAAACAAAAACTCAACTAATACATACATTGATGATACTACCCAAAGTAAATATAGTTGTGACTACTGCTTTCAATGTTTTATTTTCTTGTTTCAACAATGGACACGAATCAAGATCAAAAACTCTTAGTTGTACTATTTTTCTGATGATAATCATATGGACAGTATTTGATTCCACATTATTGCAATGTAGAAAACATTTTGAGTTGCATCTGAGATGGAAGTTGTGAGTCTTGGCTGAAATATTGCAGAGTGATTGAATTCAAACTAGATAAATCTTATATATATATATATATATATATAATCTATTCAATAAGTCATACGTCCTTCCATCCTACCACGATTAATCAAGTAAAAATTTAAAGCTATTACTCATATAAAGCATTTCACTAAGAACTACTTTGCCTTCAAAATTAAATTCAAAGAACTGACAACAAAGCTTATGTAACTGGGTAAAGAAGGATGGGACCGTTGAAATTTTCACTTAAAAAAAAAGCTTATAACCATCTCTAATGATAATGTATAGAAAATAACAGCAAAATGACCAAGTGAAACATACTGTATAGAAATAAAAAGAAACAATAAACAAAAATATACACCCCGCCCAAATTATTGTTTAGTGTTGCGCAATTGATATTTGATCAAACTATTGTTTCTGACAGAAGCAACCAAAAATCATCATCACTCGAAAAAGCTTAATTTTGTATTGTTTTAATCGATTCAAACGTTCGAATTATCTCCTTGTTTCTCATATTTTAGTTTAGTTTATGTGGAATATGAGATTTCTTTTGATATAATTTTAATGCATTCATGGATTTTTTTCGAAAAAATTAATTAAATTACCTATTTTATAAACTGTATTCACTAATGAAAAGTCTAAGAAATAAAAATAACCTTAGTACAGATATTCAGAAGTTTCCTAATCTATTAAAAACTGAATATATATATATATATATATATATATGCAGTTTGTAAGAACTGTGAATGATATTTGTATAACTCAACTTTGTTTTATAGCTTAATTAAAGAATAATGTACAACTTATTTACTCATATTACTTTATATAATGAATTTCATCCAGTAGTTGTATGTCGTCAGATTAATCAGCGTTTCTTTTCATTGATAAAGTGACGATGGATAACCTAAATGTGTCCTTTATGCTATTCTTTTTTCATGTTTCCTTTTCGATGATAACGTCCATAAAATAATGAATATTTCGCGTAAAGATAGAAAGTAAAGACTATGCCACCAGAAAGAGAACAAGACATTATGATTTACTTCTGAATAGAGACAATGGGGACAGACTATTTTTTATCTGCTCTCTGTTTACTGAGTCTGATAAAGATGGAGTCTCCTTATCACATGTGCCTTGATGCATATATTTGATAATGTCATACGATAAATACCTTTGAGTTTCGATTCATTTTCTGTATTGTTTCTGTAATAATGAAAACCGCTATTTTTTTATTATTGCTCTATGTATCGAAGTACGATGGGCATCCGCTTCGATATAATCAGCACAAACAACATGGTTCATCGCTACCCGAAAAATATCGTATTTCACCTAAAACAGGCGTCCGAATTGCATTGCCTAGTCGGTAGATTTTCGTGTATAATGATATTGTACGAAGTAAAATTTGTTCTCTCATTTTAAGCACCTGAACAACTTCAATGGCAAGCTCAAGAAATCGGGGTATTAATTCATTTTAATATAGCAACATACATAGCAGCTGACGGATGTTCTGGACAATCAGTTCCGAATATTTCTCTATTCAATCCATATCTATTTAATACAGACAATTGGGTTCAGACTATGCTCGACTTGGGAGCTAAATCAGCTGTACTTGTAGCAAAAGTAACCTTTATTTTATTGACAATGTTTATACATAATATTTTTATTGATAACAATAGCATGCCTGTGGTTTTCATATGGCTCCAACCGATGTCAAATTTCCGTTGAGTCCTTTTGGTGAAGTTATTCCATATAACTATTCAATTGATTATTCACGAGTGAAGGGTATAGATGTTCTTGGTAATTTTGTTCAGAGTTGCGAAAAGAAACAAATAAGAACCGGCTTTTATTATACAGTTGTCAGTAACAATTGGTTTAATGTTGAAAGTGGTTTAGTAAGCTAACCGTTTTATTCAAGATTTTCTTGCATCATGATAATTTGTTTATTTGTGATTCAGATTCAAAACCGTACATTACAACCAGGTCAAGTTAATGTTACACAAGAAACCTATGATAATGTTGTATTACAACAATTAAGAGAAATTTGGAGTAGATACGGTACTTTAAATGAAATTTGGTTTGATGGCGGGTTCGTTGAATCAAGCGAGAAAATATTGCTCAATTGATAATGCATCTTAATTCCATTATTATTTTAGATATACATCAGCACTTAAAGATCCGATAACTGCATTACTTGCTAATCTTCAGTCTCAAGCAGTAGCATTCAATGGTTATGGTGTATCCTCGAATCCTGCTCGATGGATTGGTACTGAAATGGGTATTGCACCTGATCCAAATTGGTCAACAGGCATAACGAATGATGGTGGTGATCCAAATAGTCCAATATTTTGTCCAGCGGAATGTGATACAACTCTTCAAGAACATGATCGTTGGTTTTGGGTACAATTATATTGAAAATAATTAAGAATTTGTTTTGCTTTTGACGATCTTTTATTTAGGGCGTCAATGCAACACTGCGTTCACTTGAAGAATTAATTCAAGTCTATCATGAAACAGTTGGTCGCAATTGCTTATTGATGCTTGATCTTACTCCTGATCGAACAGGTCTCATTCCACCTGCTTATGCACGTCGTTATAAACAATTAGGTGATTTCATTCGTTCATGCTATGGGACCTCCGTTGAACCTACGAAACGTCTTACATTAGATCATTCAAATATATATATTCAGTTGTTTGATTCATCACCAGTTACAATTGATCGTTCCGTTATTCAAGAAGATCAAACAAACGGTCAAGTCATACGTGCGTATACTGTTGATGTACAAATAGTTAATACAACAGATACAAACCAATGGTTTACAGTAGCGCAAGGCACAAGTATTGGTAATAAGAAAATTGATGTTTGGCAAGGAGGACCACAATTAATCAACGCCGTTCGACTAACGATTACAAAATCTGTTGATCAACCTGTAATTAAATCGTTTACTGTTCATTTATGCGATTAAAACAATATTTTCAGTTGTATTTATTTTATGCATACATTTTGAGTAAAATTTAGAATAAGACTCTTTACCATGTAATAAGATAAGTACATTTTGTAATCGGTAGAGATTTTATCGAAGTTAAAAGAAAAACCAATGCTTGAAAATACAACAAAAACACGGTAGAAAACACGATCTAGACATGTATTTACAAATATTGCTGCGAAGTAATTATTATTTTGTAAATTTTAATATCCATAAATTTATTAGTCTACTCCAGTTTTGTTGCTTCCATCATGCAGTAAGCGTTATTAAATCAAAGTGTCTACTCTTTGCCGTTAACTAACAGAAATTTAATTTAACATATATAATCAATTAAACTAACGTAGCATTGATCTACTGGCTTGACAAATAACTGTAACTGAAATAGTTATGTTTCATATAAAAAATACGCTATTCATAGAGCATATCTCAAAATCGATAGGATATTTCATAATCAAGTTCTAATTTTTCATTTACCCATATAAAGTAGACGAAGAAACTGGTTTCAAAAGTAAATAAATCTTTCTTGTGCATTTATTCTTCTTCAATGTTACACATTTAATTAGTTTCTATTCTTTAATATTGATAGTGGTGGAGATAGCAAGATGACGAGCTATCCCCACTTCTTCTATAGAAATCTTTTAGTTTTCTCTTGAAATGAAATGAGTTTATATATCACAGGCGGACAAAAATAATACCTACTATTTAGCAGCGAATGGCGACTGAAGAAAGTGTTCTTAAAAATTTGATTATTCCACGACTGATTATGAAATACGCATTTTTTAAGGCATTTTTTATTAATATAACAAGAGGAAACGTATATTCCAGCGTTGACTCCCCCTCTACAGCACTAACCGTTCCAAAAGATCCAATGACAAAATAACTTTACAAAACGAATAATAGTCGTTCTGATATGTTAACAGTTTGATGTAATCCACAATATTTCTTATTCCTAGGCAAGAGCAATTTAAGCGATTCAGTAATCATGCATTCAATAATTAAGTTTCATTAAACAACACACAGAGTTCTCTTATTTTATTCATCTCCTTAGACTAGATTACTGAGTGAGCAGAATGAATATCATTATAGTGTTATAGAATTAATGGAATAAAACGAAAGACTAAACCGTTAAAAATGAATATAAAAAATACATGAGCTTTCGACCTTTGTTGTCAAAATGAAGTTTATTTTTCTTGAACCCATTTTTCAATGTTTGAAGGAATTCAATTCAATGCCAAACATTCTTGCTGCTTCTCACGACTTGAGATGTCTACGAATTGTTATGATAATCATGTGCTCTGCTTATTATCTATTGTCAAGTTTTTACAAAAGTAATAGTTGCGCTGTTGTTGTCAAAATCTACAGAAAGTAAAATGATCAAATAATAAGTCTTTTGATTAAGGTGCATGTTTTTCAATCGGATTTTAATGTAAGCACAGAAAAATCCGCTCATTCAGCTTTTTACGGATTTCAACGAAACTTCGCATTAATTATTATTAACCAAAGCAGTATTTTAATCGATTAAGAACTCAACTTTCTTCAAACTGATAGCTAATATAATTCATGTATGGAATATTATTTACCTTATTATATTTTATTTTACTCCACGAGATATATTGTTTACAAAACTGTTTTAGACGAAACACTTCTGTGTGACCCGAAACGGAAATACTCTTTATCAAGAAAAGTACTACTAAAAATAAATGAAAAAATGGTCATACCGACCGATTGCTATCCATTTGTAATAACGAAAAGGTTAATTGTATAAAGTCCATCAGATTGAAAGTCTTCTGATGATTTTGTTTTATGAACTATTGAAATGAATAACATAAAAGTATTGATTGATAGAAATATTCAACATTTGAAATCCATTTTTTAATAAATAAATAATATAGAAAATCCTAAGACAATAAATTGTCAGATGCGTTTTATTGCTTTTCGCTCAATTATTCTATATGTCGTTCTAAAAATACAAAAGTCAGTCTGTCAACTTCAAGTGTTCGTGAGTGAATGTTGTATGCATCGGACAGTACAATTTGCTAGCCAATAATGAAAATCATGTATTTATAGAGTTCTACTATTATACTTCAGCTTAACTCATTAGTTTTGTTTGTGGATAAACTGAGTTATTTTCCAGCTTAGATTTATGAATATTTACGGAATTACTAAAAGTGGTAAGACATTTAGTAATTTGAATTTCACTCTATTAAACTAGATGACCCACACCGAGGAATGAACTAGTCTTCAGTATAAAATAATAAATCATTCGGCACTCCTCACTCTCTGATCGCAAACTGAATCTTTTGGTTTTTAATTTAATAAGTAATTATCTGATTTGCATGACAAAGTACTTCGATGCACTTTTTCTAAATATTTAAAGGCTTTACTTTTATCTATAGAAGTACGTCTCAAAAGATTATCAGCATTTGAATAGATATATTCATTTATATTTAATATAAAAATGATCTCTTGTACGTGCAACTTATGAAAATATTCAATTCTTTTTTTTCTTCTCATAAACAAAAAGTTGATATAAGATGCGATCAAAAATAAATTTTTAATCTGAAATCAAAAAATGAATACAGAGACAATCGATTTTATTCTGATTTTTGTTAACACACATATTATTCAATACATGCATGTAGTTTCTATTTTAAAATTTTGATTGTCCCCTTGAAACAATTTACGCTTTAATTGATAATGTCGTTAAAAGTAATTGCTCTTCTATTTCCACTTCTACTTCTTCTTTATTTTTCTGTTCGATTGGCTTTCTTGATTTGCCTGTATCTATTGATACTACAAAATAATGTTCATGAATAAGCGTCATAATAGACACTAGCATAGAAAGAATTAAACATAATATTTGCATTGGTATTGTAAGAAGGACTTGCTCAATAAAACCGATAGCTGTAGCACCTGCAACAAATATCTTTAAACATGCAAAAGCATCTGCTGGTCGAGTCTCTGCATAAAATATACCCATGACAGAATATATTAATGTTGTATATATGGTGTCCCCTATACTTAGACCAATAATCAATATAATAAATATTTCAATACGATTTTGATCCAATGGTGGTTTCCATAGTAGTAATAAAAGTCCAAAAATAATTAAATGAGCAAATGCACCAAAAGCAAAAATGAAAACACGCCGAGGAAATAAATCACTCAATTTTCCAAAAAAGAGACTATTAAGAGCATTAACACCGCCGAGTATAGCAAACACAAGAAATTTTTGGCTTTTATCAAAAATCAGTGGAGGTACAGTGGCATATATAAATCCTTGAGCTAATCCACTATAGCACATTGTTGGAATGAGTAAAGCAAAACGAGGATCGCGAATTATTGATAAACTAGATAGAATTGATTGTTTTTCTAATACATATGTATATATATATACATAGGATATTACTTATGGTTAATAATAGAAACAATGTTTTACCTGTTGTTTTTGGTAATTCTATCGGTCGTACAAATAATAAACTAATTGTTCCTAATCCACTAATAACTGTCATTATTGTAAACAGAATCCATTGGTCAAACTTCAAACGAAATAAAAATGAAGCAATCAAATTTCCAACTATTTGATTCAATTGCAATACACCAAAAAACATACCATTCATAAAACCTCGTGTTGATGATTGTACTAAATTATTTATTTGCTCGTGTTTATTTGTAGATATTGTAACGTAGACACCTTGAGCTGTCCATAGTAGGGCTGCTCCAAAACCAAGTAAAAATGCACATATGTATAATGACCAAATATTATATCGTATATTACAAGCAATAAATAATGCATATGTTATACTCGAAAGAATTAATGTTAATCGTACACCTAATAATCTTATTATATATGCTGACAAACCCGCATTACTAACGCAGATTAGTAAATAAATAATGCCTATTGCAAAGGCACCACTTTTAGCATAATCAGATGATGTTTGAAATGTTTGTGCAACAGAATAAGAAGTGAAAATAAAGAAAAAAGATACGCTTAAATGGGTTATATTGTAAAAATTTGATCGATCCATTTGTTTGTGAATGAATCGTATAAAATGATGCCGTGTGCATTTACCTACAAACCTTGATCGCCTACTCGTATTTCCTTTGGTTTTTACTTTTTTTTAAGTAAGCGAATCAATTCTTACTCTTCACGCTTTCCTTATATTGATAAAGGTAACCAGCTGGTATGTATATTAAAAGACACATACTCAAGTATAACTGATAAAAATCGTAGACTGATTGTATAAAGTTACCAGTATCAAAATGACAATATTTTCTTATCTCAATTATTGAGAAGTCACAAAAAAATAGCTGACAAACATTAATTTTATTCGTTTCCTTGCATATCTGATGGAAGTTTTAAGAATAATATTTTGTGAATGAATTTATGATGAAATCAAAACGAATACATATTGATCAATAATTCCATAGAAAAATTTCTAGATAGGTCTTCATTCGATATCGCAATCGGAATAGTACTTGAAAATATTACCATATGCTTTGTTTTTTTCGTTAATGTAATAATGTTATAAATATATTTGTTTAAACGCAACCTATGAAAGAAACGTTTTATTTTTTGTAGTTTTTATTTAATTCGATTATTCATCGAAAGTAATTGAGAGAATTTCTCATCAGAATATCGATTATATTTGCAATAGATCATCAATGCACAATAAACATTATTTAACAGCCACAAGAAAGAATAAGCAAATTATCATTCTAGTCAATATTATGAAAGTCGGTAAAAGTAAAAGCTGTTCAAACAAACTTCACCATCGATACCTATGAATAAAGATATTTTCAATTCTTTCAGTGATCAATTATTTGTAAGACCATTTACAGGACATTAATGATGCTGAGAAACATTTCAGAGTAATAATTCACTTAGATACGTTTATAATACTACCTAATAGGCACTATTTCAGTCATCCAAATAAATATTCCATATTCCTCTATTAAAAAAACACATAACATCTTCAACTAATAAGTTTGATCGTTTGGAAACTATATCTCCGACAAAACGAAAATTAGATTGCTATAGTTAGCTTCAAGCAGTAATCGATTTTTTTTCTAAAATTTGCATATCGGTCCTAATCTGATTGCACAACATTCAGAAGCGCTCGTGTTTCAATAAAATTAATATTAATAATTCAGTTGATTCTCAAAAAATGCAACTATTAATTATTTTTTCAACTGAACACTGACAAAAGAATTATGATATCAATTGTATAGTTTATTGTCATATTACTAATGTGATTTTAGTGGCATTTTTAATGGTAATAGACAAGAACAAAAAAAGACAGAAATAGTGAGAACTACAATAATAAGATTTCACTCTTAATTCTTTTTCTTTTAATTCACAAGTTTTAATTTTCAAACAAGCAAACAAGCAAACAAACGAATAATAAATTGATCGAGCTACTGTGGAAAAAAATGCACATAGCAAAATTGAAAAAACAAACAACAGACACAAATTTGTCATTTGATTTTGTTTTTAATGATTTTTGTTGCATCTTTCAGATGTACAACGATAAGAAAAGAAGATATAGACAGAGAAACAAAAAAGAGCAAAAACACAAACACATGTTTTTTTACCATTCTAATGTTGTATTCAGTAAGACACCCGGAAATGTTCGTTAGTCGATTTTGCACAAAACAAAACGCACCTATAGATATGTATAAATTGCGATAAATAATGAGTTTTGTGTAGAAATTACATTGGGTGGATTATCAAAAGAGCAAAAATTACAGAATGAAAAGAAAAGAAAAACATACAAATCAAGAACACATAATGGAAGAACTGATACGTCTAAGTCTTTCGAGTACTTGGTCAAATGATGGTCGGCGATCAGGATCAGCAAGCCAAGCTTGTCGCATTATATCACCTACTTCTTGTGGACAACCGTCGGGTGGTTCCATTCGATGACCTTGTTTTAAATTAATCAATACATCATTAGCAGGCTAAATAATATTGAAAACAATTTGAATTTCGATTTTTCAATAAAATAAAAACTTACTATTCGAGGATATGGACATCGTCCGTAAGAGAATATTTCCCAAAGAAGAATACCATAAGACCACATATCACTTTTATGTGTGTATCTCTAGACGAGAAGAAAAATGCCAAACTTCTTTTTCATAATTGATATTTATTAAAACGTAGTCAATTACTTTTGATTCAAGTGCCTCTGGTGCCGTCCATTTAGTTCGACATTTAATTTTCTCTGCTACTATTATATTTCCATTTGAGTCTTTATTTCCGTTTTCTTTTCCGGTTGTTTCAACAAATTTTGCTAAGCCAAAATCGGCTACTTTAGCAGTATTATCATCAGCAATTAACACATTGCTTGCAGCAACATCACGGTGTACAATGTGATTTTCCTCTAGATAAGTTAAACCTTCACAAGTATCACTAAACAAAATATGAATTTATAGTGTAAGTAAAGTTTTTCTTTTTCGCTAATTTTACGTTGCAAAGCCGAGTAAATCTTTTTGTGAAATAACTGATCGACCACGTGTTGTTAAGTAGTGAAGAAGCGAACCTTTGGCCATAAATTCAGTAACTATATAAATAACATTATCTGGTTTTTGTGCTACGCCCAAAAAATGAACTAGATTGCGATGTTTCAATGAGCTTCAAAAAACAAACGACATTTTTTTAGAAGAACAGAAGTATTCAAAATAAGGTTATACCTCATTATATCAGCTTCATGACGAAAAAGAGCTGCTGAAGTTGCTTCTTTCAGTACTTTAATAGCAACACGAACTTTTCTGTATGTACCTTCATAAACTTCTATTTAAAAAAAAATGAAAACAAAAATATTCAATAGAACATCTGTTGATAGGGGTCCACTTTTCTTCTTTCTTTTTAATAATCAGTTTCAACATATTGCGTTGAATGTAACAATTTTAATAGTTGCAACTTAGCATACTATATGTAGTACAAAAAGACTAATCATTATAAAAATTATATATTACTCAATAGTATTATTTAACGTCGTAAAAGAGTTTGTAATTGGTATACTCTGATTTCGGTCGTTTTTTTTTGTTTCATTTATGAAACCATTTTAATTTTCGATAGTAAATATACAATGCCACATATAATTCTAAATAAGTCAAGAATAGGAATCGTCAATGTCTAAAAAAATCCGTCGCTTAAATTTTTACGTAATACAGAATCAATCAATTAATAGAATTTTTAATGAGCGTGAGATGCGAGTAGTCGTTTAAGACTATATTAGAATCAACTTCATAATTGTGGGCAAAGAGTCAAATAACATGTCAACAGATATTAGTACACAGAAAAAACAAATTGAGATGAATCGAATAGTATAATACAATACACAAATATAACTTACCAGCAAATTCTCCAGATCCAATAAGTTTTCCAAGATAAAGTTCTCTACAATCAATTGTTGATGATGTTTGTGATGGAATAGCTACTACTGGTGATGTTTGTTGTTGCTGAACTGTTCCTCCTATTGTAATTGAATCAACTGTATCTTGTTTATTATTCAATGCTTTTTCCAAACGACAACATAAACCATCTGCATCGAGTTCATAATGCTATTTTGTTCAAGGAAAATTTAACATTCAACATACAGTTAAATTCAAATTAATTCAAGCAAACCTCAACAAGTAAACGAAGATCAGGAAAGAAAATTTCATCATCAACTGTGTATGTATGCCGTATCGAATCGAGTTTAACTCTATAATGCTGAATTTTTGCATCATCTTTTATTGATAATGTTAAATCTCCTGGATAATGTTCACTTTCGCGTATAAGAAATGTTCCCATAAGTTCATCAATCAACAACTGTTCAGCACCTACTCTTGGTAATTTTCCAAAGTTCCAACTGTAGGATGATGAAGATGATTTTAATTGCGATTTAGGTGACCTAGTTATCCCATAGGACAAAAATTAAAGAAAGATGTTTCATTTAGTTATTATTGAATTTTTTCTAATTTCAAACATCACGAAAAAGAAAACAATTTTTTGTATTAAAAACTTAAAATTGATCTTTTTTTTCTACTTTCAACCAAAAAAAAACAAAATAAAAACACTTCTTACGGCACTTTGACATGAGTAGGTGCCAAAGTTTCATCGTCGTTAACCATCGATTTTAACGTATACTAATATAAATATGAAGTACGTGCCAAGATCTATTAAACAAATGAAAGAACGAATGAAAATAAACATAAAGAATAGAAATAAAAAAATGTAGCAGTTCATATATCTTCATAAAGACTTTTATCAATGGTGTGTTACATTACCCAATGAGTTTTTTTGCAATCTATTCATTTATGCATTTCAAAATGTCTAGATTATCCTCCTCTGTCAGACATCGATCAATACATCAAAATGGCCACAGCCAGCTTCTATATGATTGCTCCGTTCGCCGATACGGACAGACATATAATAGATATTGATTGATTAATGAATGTTTCTTTTGTTTTATTATCAAACATTCTAGATTGTCCTATTTCAATTTTCCGTTGATATTTTTTTTTAATTTTCTGTATTCAAATAAAATAATTTCAATTTTAACAAAGAATTATGATCTAAAGTATGTTAAGATAGATTTACTCTTTGTTCACCATTTGTTTGTAATATCTTTTTTTTTCTATAGAGAAAATGTTTACTAATAGTAGTAACAACAATCGTTCCACTACGGGTCCTGGTAGTGGATACGAGTTTAGTGTTAATGATGTATGTGATCGATTAGAAAAAGAATTTACACATATGCAAGGTGAACGAGCACAATTACGCATGGAATGTGAAAAATTGACTGCAGAAAAAAATGAAGTACAACGACAATATTGCCTTTATTATGAAATGGCATATCGTTTATCCTATGAAATGCATAAACAATCAGAAATAACAAAGCGTCTCATCGCATTATTACATCAAATCATTCCTTATTTAACACCTGAACAGCAAGCACATGCATTACCTGCACTTGAAAGAGCTAAACAAGTTTCAATAAACGATCTTAACAGGTAAATCACATCAATTGTTGTACAATTGAAAACAAAATAGAAAAACTATTTTTGTGTGATTTTTTTAAATTCTTTGATATATGGAATTCTTTTTCTTTTTTTTCTTTTTCCTTTTTTTTATTGAAGTGTGATTCAACAACAGTTTCATGCACAAGCAACAGCTGTTGCTCTTGCAGCAACTTCAAATTCGTCACCAACTGGTTCTGGACTACCACCGATGCCAGGCGGAATTCCTGGCTTATCTGCTGGTCTTGGTACAGCACCTCATCTTCAATTACCCGGTCCACCAGGTCTTCCAGGTGCTGGTGCTGGTCTTCCACCAGGCATGCTTAATTATACATCAGTATTAAGCAGTTTAGCTTCTCAATATGCACCAGGTATGAAGGAAGAAAGTGTTTCATCAATGTCAAAAGAAAATGCATCATCACCACGAGCTAACAATAGTGATTTAGCATTAGGAACTAAAGGTGGTACAAGTAGTAGTCGATCGTCAACAAATGGAAAGTCGTCTAAACACCGACCATCAAGCAATAGTAGTAATATGCCTAAACCAATGAAACCATCAACAACAGAAAGTGATGGTGAACGAAGTGAATCAGATTTAGTTATTGATACAAGTGTTGGAAATCCAAAACATACCAATGGCAATAATAGTTCTGGTAGTGGACTTCTTTTACCAAATGGTATCAAATCAGAAATTGGTGATAATACAACAGGTTCAATGACAACCAATGAAACCATGTCAGGGACACCACCAGTATCAACAGCTAATGGTAGTAGTGGCGGAGGATCATCAAAAAATCGGCGTGATCGAAGTCCAATGTCTGACAAAGATAATTCACAAAGAAATAGTATGTCATCATCTACTATCAAAAAAGAACGAAATACACCACAACCTAATAAATCGATGACACCAACAACAGGATCAAATGTTGTATCGCAAAATGTTGGTGCTTCTCAATTACAACCAGGTGGGCCACTAGGTCTACCATCAGGACTTGCTGGACGTTTACCAACTGGCGCTCCGTTTGGGTATGTTTTATTCGATTCCATTAATTGTACCATGTATCTAAATAATGTTTTTAATTTTCTGTAGTTTTAATCCAAGTCCGTTTTCTTCACCTGAAGCATTAGCAGCTGCTTTTGGTGCTCTTGGTCCACATCATGGAAATCCATTTGGCCCATTTGGTCATCCATTTGCACCAGCTGAAGTTGCTCAAGCAATGGCTATGGCTGCTCAACATCAACATGCTCAACAAATGGCCCAAGCACAAGCAGCTGCTGCTGCTCAAGTAGCAGCTGTTGCAGCAGCACAACGGCAGCAGCAACATCACCACCAACAGCAACAACAACAACAACAGCAGCAGCAACAACAACAACAACAACAACAACAACAGCAGCAACAACAACAACAACATGGGTCTAGTAATCATCATCACTTGATGAATCAGGCTTATTCATTTTTTACTACAACTGATGGCCAAGGAAATCCAGTAACGACACCTGTTAATATGACGCCTGAAGCACTTACTGGTCCTAATATACCAACATCAGCTCGTGAACTTGCTACATTAATGCATGGTGAAGTTGTATGTGCAGTTACTATCAGTGAACAATCAAAAAGGATTTACACTGTAAATATAACTTACAAAAGACAAATAACTATTAGTAAATCCTCATGTTATATTTTGTATTGTTATTTTAATAGGGTGGTAAAGGTTGTGTTAAAGTTTGGGATCTCAAGCAAACGGGCACTGTTCGAACACCATTATCTTATTTTAAATGTCTTAATGATGATAGTTATATACGTTTTTGTAAATTACTTGCTGACGATCGAACACTTGTTGTTGGTGGTGAAGCCAATGTTATATCCATATGTGATCTATCAGCAGTTACTGGTGGCTCAGCTAGTAATACTCGTTCATCGACGCCTAATTCGAATGCATCGTCACCAACGCCATCTAATCAACCGCCATCATCGACATCGCCAAGAATTAAAGGCGAATTAAAATTGAATGCTCCAGCTTGTTATGCACTTGCTATTGGCCCATCAGATTCAAAACTTTGTTATTGTTGCTGCTCGGATGGTTCCATAGCTATTTATGATATTCATAATCAGTCACTTGTTAAATCTTTTGTTGGACATAGTAAGATTCTTATTTTTGTTTGGGATCCCCATAGATATTAATATTTTTTTGTTTGTTTTTGTGTAGCCGATGGAACATCATGTATTGATATAGCACCTGACGGTCGTACAATGTGGACAGGTGGATTAGATAATACAGTTCGATGTTGGGATCTCCGTAATGATTATGCTCCACTACAAACATATGAATTTGATTCACAGATTTTTACATTGGGGTATTGTCCGACAGGTGAATGGCTTGCTGTTGGCATGGAATCATCAACTGTAGAATTGATTAATATCTCATCGGCAACGAGCAATTCAACGAGCCCATCAATGAAAAAGAATCACGATAAATATACGCTTAGTTTACATGAAAGTTGTGTGTTGGCACTTAAATTTGCTCATCAAGGTAAATGGTTTATATCAGCTGGAAAAGATAATTATATTCATTGTTGCCGTGCACCAACTGGTATGCTTCTATTTCAATCAAAAGAATCATCAAGCGTTCTATGTTGTGACATTTCAGCTGACGATAGATATATTTTGACAGGTTCAGGCGATAAAAAAGCCACACTTTATGAAGTCACATATTGAATTCTCTTCTGTGGTTTGTGTGTGTGTGTGTGTGTGTGTGTGTCTAATCTTTTCCCTTCTAAATGTTGTCTGTTAATAGTGACTGTGTTCTGTTTTTGTCATCAAAATTCTTTTTTTTTTCTTTTTTCATTTATTATCCTGTACATACTGTACCACTAGACAGTTAGTAGAATCGATCTGCGCTATGTTTCTGTCTATTTTACAAACAGGCACATAGATTTATGTTCTTTCTTTCTCAAAAATGTGCTTGTTGCGTTCCTTCTCATTTTTGTGTGTGTCTAATGTGTATTACTCCAACCTACATTCGTCGTCTTCTTCTTTTTTCATATATTCACTTATGTATTTGTCAATGAATTTAATATGGAGGATGATGAACAAAACAAAAAAAAAACTGAACTTATTGGAATACTAGTCTATTAAACTGATGAAAAAAAAGTAGAGCAATTATTTATATATTATTCAAGAACATGATTAGTGTAAATCAACATTATATTTTCTACGAAAAGAATTTAGGATATATTTGGCTTAAGGATTAGGTATGTACCGAACCCGAACAACCCGAGTTCGGCCGTACCCAGGTTGGATAACGGGATTCCTGTATCTACTTATGCGTATCCTTCAAAGTATAGAAATGAATAACAAATAGTATCTATAGATAGATAATAAAAAATGATTTCATTTCAAAGGTTTATCGTCTCTTCCTCAATCTATCATAGATAATCTTATTTATCAGGAAAGCATACAATTAATTGAGTTTTTATTAATATTTCTCTTGGACTCAGCTACAGGAAATCGTCGAATGGTTCTTCTTATTGAAATGATCCTTCTGATAGTCTAAGTAGGAATGTGAGAATTTGAATACTACAAATACAATCTAGTATTGGTGATATTGATATTTGCATTATTAGTATTGATATTGTGAGTAGGCCGATGGAAAAAAAATCATACATCTGTATTTCCGGAAAATTTAATAAGGAGAAGCATTCGACGATTTCTTGTAGTTGAGTCCAAGATAAATATTAAGAGAAGCTCATTTAGCTGTACCCGTTCCTGACAAATGAGATTAACTATGATAGGCTGACGTGAACAGGGCAAAGGATCTTTGACATGAACTCATCTTTTACCACCTGTTATATATCCGTAGGTGCTGTTTATTATTCATTTCTATGCTTCGAAGGATACGATTAAGTAGACCCGTGAATCCCAGTATCGAATCTGGGTATGATCGAGCCCGGATAGTACCGAGATCCCGGTATGACCGAACCGAATACCGAGTACGACCGAACGAAGGAAGTACCGAATCTGGGTAGTGTTGACCCGAACTACTCGGTTTATAGCCGGGTTCGATGCATGCCTATTAAGGGTAAGTACTTTATTTTCACACACAAACATATATGTATATTGATTGAGAATTCTATTCAAGATAGCGATTCTAAACTATGTTGATTAATAACTATTTTATTTTTAATACATATAGCTACAAATCGAATCAAATTAATTCTTCTTTCGTTTTCATTTGTTTTATTATTTGTAAGAAACAAAAGACATGCAACGGCCATTTGTTCTCGTAATGCTACTTGATTAAATTTGAGAAAGTGTTTTTGATGCGGTGCGAAGCACAGCATTTATGTAGTCCGTCGCGAGTTTTTTTTAATGCGATGAGAAGCAGAAGCATTTATGTAGTCCGTCGCGAGTTTTTTTTTTGCTTCTTTCTAACTTGAGTACGCATAAAAGCTCTAATAAAGTAGCGCGATGATCTAGAGAACCGTAAGTGATAGAAAATCCATTCAAACTAGATATAAAACTATGGAGGTGGAGCTTGTTACATCTTTTTTCCAATTTTCAATACTAGGCTTCGTTCGCCTAAAAATATCATTCGACAATGATGATTTTGAAACGTTTTATTGTTTTATCGTTTCGCGCTAATTAAAATGACGTCATCAAGTAATAGTAGCCAATAGTCTATTTCTTCGCATCTGATCTAAGATAGTGAATCATTAAAATAATTAATCGTTCAATGAAAAAAATTGTTAGACAACTGGTTGTTACATTTTCAGAGAGATTTCCTAGTGATGAATTTCAAAATGGTCGGTTTAAGAATAGTGAATGCGAAATTTTTATTCAAAATTCGTATACGGAAATTAAAAAAGAATAAACGTTTGTAATGAATCGTAAAGTGAATCATTTATTTTTAAATCTTATTCTCGCTACTTTCGAAAATTCGGCTCGTGTGCTTCGCACCGCATTTCGTAGTCGAGTGAAACTCGAATACCATCTAGTTTGATTTCTAAACAATTATCTAAATATTAATAATGTAATGAAATTGTTTTTTACTTCGAAGAAAAGAATTCTTAAAAAGTCATATTCAACAATTAGAAATTACATTGATATTTATCAATGAAACCAAAGCATCGATGTCAATTTTGTCTGTTGAATGGTGATGGAACACATATTTATTCAGCATCGATATGAATTATAAAATATCGTTGTAAAACTATGCATAAAATAAATATATTCGTTTGGTACATATTTAGTTAGCAAATCATTTTTGAACAATATTTATTTCCAAATCTAAAAATTAGTTAATTCAAATTGTCTTAAATACTAGAACGTAACGTTGGCATTGATTTTCACGCTTATTCCACTGAAAGAAAATAATAACTTTTCATTAGTATGAAAGGAAACAAAATTCAGTTCGTTTTTAAATATTGTCTAGCTGTTAGAATAAATGTATAATTGATCGATAGTAGTGACAAATTGATAAAACCTAACGTTCTTGATAATTAAATTATTTTAAGTTTTTTTTCTTTATTATCAATGATTATATTTAGATGAGAGAAATGAACTTCGTTGCTTTAATTCACTGAACGAAATTGACAAAGTGAAAAAAAAGCATCCTATAGAAGTGTTTACATTTTCATCTAAACTGTATTGAGGTTTATGTTTTTTCTCCAAAAACGAAGATTTTATTTACTATAGATCATTGTCGTCCAAGCAGGCGGTAATTAGTTGCGGATGAATACCTGATCAGTTAAGGGGTTGCTGTCGAGCAACCTGTTGCTCTAATGATGTTTTTTTCTCTCATTCTTACTTCGTTTGCCCAGTTGATAATTGATCAATTGCCAAATGTACACATATACTCACCTGTATGCGTGCGAACCTGACTTGCCCAACAGTATTCTATCTCTGTTGGGTATATGAATATGCACATTAGAAAAGAAAAAAGAAACACAGAGAGACACAAAGAGAGAGAGAGAGAAAGGGAGGGAGAGGTAGAGGGAGAAAGAAAACAAGATTACATACCTCAACGACAGCCATGATATCAACATCAAGCAGGGCTGTAGCTTTTTCTCTTCGCATGCACCAGTAAGCATCTTGCATGCAAGTTCGATGAACGAAAACATATATAAATATATACATGCATTCTATTTATTTATTTATTTATTTATTTATTTATTTATATATTGATATTTATATACAGAATAAGAGGGAGAGAGGGCCGTAAAAGTAAGAATATACTAGTGATGCAATTACAACAGACATATTGTCAACATTGAAGGTCTACGCACTTAAATGTGTGTAGAAGGGTAGCGATTGACATGCAGAGTAACAGAAAACCAGAGACACGATATATAGGAAAGGGCGAGAGTTATCCAGAGAAAAATTTTAGTAATTCTAAAACAATGTAAGTTAACTAAAAAGACATTTTCATTCTGAATAATATCTCGATGAGTTTAAAAAAATACGCTATTCTTGTTTAAGACAAAATAGAAATTAATGTATATATATATATATATATATATATGCTTGAAATTGGAAATCAAATCTTTTGTTTTACAATATGAAGTATTAAAAAAGAAAATTATAAAAAACGATAAGATACTTAGTGTAAGGAGATGCCAGTATTATTTTCTATTAGAATCATAAGAAATTAGTAGTCTTGTATGAAACGATTGATTTTTATTATAATTCTAGGATTCTCTAATAGCCGGCGTGCATGAGTACTTACATGCACTGCCGGCCGTTCTGCGGCACTAATATTCCTATTTCTTCTTCCCTTTTGCATTTTGTTCGTTCCGGTTATATCACAACTTCAAACTATCAAACTACTGCTCCTTCGCTTTATCACCATTATGATCAAACACCACCTCCACCAGTTGTAGTAAGGCATCGTCGACGATTAGAGGATCCAATAACAAATTATGCTTCAAACTATTATGTTACGTTTCCTTGTCAGATGACTCAGCTATCACCACGACAGTCTACATCGCCATCATTGCAACCACTTTCATTGTCACAACCCAATCAAACTATTTACGACAGATCAAGGCATGACGACATTTATTGTGATCTTTTTAATCTACTCGAATGTCCTTCTCCACCAACACCACCATTAACTAAACAAAGACGAAAATATAAATCAAATGATTATAGTCCGTGTCGTCAGCACTGCCGTATGGATATAGAAAATCTTCATACTAAAGTGAAATGTACGAATGATCGAAAACGGCAACATCAAAAATATAATTATTATAAAGAAAAAAAACGTCAAGATGATAAATTATCATCCATAGAACAATATGAGCGATCACCAGAAAAAACGAAGAAAGTTAACAATATTTATCCAGGACGTGCGTCAAATAGAGGATTTTTTCGACGAGTGGTACGCAATTATTTTTGTCTGCCATCGACACTTGCTAATAATGGGTACTCCAGTTAGAGTATTCAGTTGAAACACAAATAAAATGAAGGTTTTTTTAGCAGAAAAAATAAAGAGTTGTTTTTATTTTACATTAACACAATGAAATTCTAATCATTGTTTTTATTCATTTAATGGCAGAACTTTGTCATTTGTTTTCGTTTTTGTAGAGCAAAACAGTAATAAATTTTACAGTTATTGTAAATGCACGATATTACAGAGTGATTTAGAGATTTTATCTGAATGTTGATTTGATAACTTCAAATTAAATATTTTTATCGCAGCTTTGTATCAATTTATATGTTTTTTCTTCTGAAATTCTTATTTTTAGGTAACTATCGTCAACACAGATATACTAAAAGTGTTTCAATTCGAATCACAACAACGAATCAAAGTCATTTCATTTGGAACCGACCGGGTACTGTAGAACTAAATAATGGAATTTTGATTGCAATGATTCGAACATGAAATCGATTGACACAAGCAATATTGAATTGATGTATATAATTGAGTATTAATAATCAGAAGATTATAATCTTCAAAAGTGTTTGCAGAACCTAGAGAGAAATAGTGATTACAATTTCTTTTAAAATTGAATAAAAAACTCCGATGTAATAAATAAACTTTTTCGTGAATCATCACTCAAAAATCGGCTTTTTATTATCTTAAAACACCTTTTTTTAAGGACCCATGGTTCAAGCAAAACTAATAATTGCACATACCTATATTCAGTAACGCGTGTGATGTGAATTTATTTAGAAAACCTTGGTTTATTGTTATGTTTAGTTTTTATTCAATATTGATCTGCAAAAAAAACACGTTCGTAATTTTATGATTTTATTTAGAATGTAATATCTATAATATGTAAAAAGTAGTAACAAAAGCACTATAATATTAAAAAGAAAACTCCAGGCATTGTTTCTTTATATATGACGTTGGTATGAACGATGCTTTGTAATACTAAAATTTTTTACATTATTGAACACAGTGGTGATTCGACAGCAAAAAATGATAAAACTAGCACATTTATAAATGTTTCCTTGTATAATTGTTCAAAATGCATCATATTAGTTATTCAAATACAATAGTATCGAGTAAATTTCATTTACTATATATTCTTTTTCTATTGAAATTATTTAATTTCAAGGAAATTCTCAAAAATATATAGTATAAGATCGTTAAATACTATCTTAGACATATAGAAAAGTATCTAAATGTTTTTCTCTACAGATCTTTGTGATACGATTATCAGTTGTTGTAAGTTAAAAGAACTATAAATAATGGAATGATTGACGAGCACTGTTCACTTATTGATAGCACAATTAATAGCATTCGATAATGAACAACGGTTAGCAATAAAACTTAATTGAGAAATTGTCGATTTTAATAAAGAGATACTTTGTTTCAGATATATCATTCATATCACTAGCAATTTAAATAGAATGAAAGAATTGGAACATGCATCTCTCATACAAAGATCATGTCGGAATAAATTTATTAGAATAGATAACATTATTTTGACGCTAGAAAATAGTTGATAAGCTACTTCTGTTTGTATATTTTACAGCTCTTTTTCCTGTAAATATTACATTATTTAACTGTAAATGGATTCAGGTAATCACAGCTGTTTCACACGTGGAAGCAGTTCAGATCTGTTAATAGATAATACTTATCATTCATTTAATTCTTATTGATTTATGATTTGGGATGGATATTAGACATAGGCAATATTCTGACCTGTCAAGTGTATACATTTTTTCAATTAAAAGCTCAAATTCATTTATTTAAACTAATTTTGTATTTTAATAATTTGCTGGAAAACAAAAGTAATTAGTACTACTCTGAGAGAATAGCTCGGTCTAACTCAGTTAAGTGCCTAGTTACTAAGAATTTATCTTCTATTGAATTATATAAATACTGTCAATCTTCAATAGTTTGTTAAATAGCTAATTACACGTGTATTATCTAAATTTGTATTTTTTTCATGTCTGCATGTTTAATTCAATATTGAGCATTAATCATTTTGTATCTATATAAGTTACTTCATAAATATAACATCATGAATTTTATTTTTTCCAAAAGTAAAATCCTTATCATTCAAATATAACAACTGCCGTTACTTAAAATTTGAAAAATATACATATTTAAGAAAGTTAACACAGAAAAGAGCAATCCCTTTAAGAACACTAAAAAAAGATATACTCAAAAGATCATGATTGTAAGTATTGAAATATTTAGTCAGTTAAAACAAGCATGACTACATAATAGGCTTTAGTCTTTATTTAAGCATGAGTGAATTGTACTTTCAATTCTTAAAGAACTTGATCAACAGTACGACGTCGAGCACAACACCAGTATAAAATTAAGCCTGAAAAAGAAATTAAAAAATAATAATAAGACAACACGTAAGAGAAACATACCGCCAATTGGAAAAAAAATAATAATTAAAATCCAAATCAACTTCGAACACACACCATGGCCACTTGAGGTCAGTAATTCGAAAACAGCAATCAAATCAAGAATCAAAATAATCTAAAAATTACAAAGCCTACTTGTTTCTGTCGAATAGACAAGTTCTAAGTTCTGTAATTGGCACTTACTAAACCAAGAAAACCACCAAGACTCGACCCAATGATAACTCGATCATCTTGAGCAATTATAACTGAGATCGATTCTGATAGTATCAAAAGCATAGCAACAAGTAAAGTTGAATCCATTTTTTTCTAAAAAGAGACGCAATAATCCGAATTCTAAAACAATATCGACAACATAAAAACAAAGAAAAAAACAAATATTAGTCATAAAACGTACAAGATTCAACTACTTATGTAAAAACAAAATGTGATTTGGTCTCAAAAAAAAAGAAAATCGCAAATTGCGATTGGACTTCACGTATGGAAGTTCAAGCTAATCAAATTTACTTTTATATTAAGACATTAGCGCATTTCCCTTGAATGCATCGTCATTTGGTACTGTGAAACTGCAATAAATATGAGGCAGAAAATAAATCATATACATTGAAGCAAATAAAAAGGAAAGACTGCAATTGAAAAGGACAAATCGGCGATGACGGAACCCACGCGAGAGCACAGAAGCAAAAAATTGTTTTTTGCAAAAGTTTACTTCTTGACATTATCGTATTTTCAGGATCAATTTAGAAAAATATTTTTTTCAGACGGAAGATTTGTTCAAAAATAGCAATCAGTTTCTAAAGTTATCCAATAATTAACTTGCTATGAGCTATGTAAAAAAAAAAACTTCATCATTATCCAAACCGAGAAAGAAATCATGATTCTCAAAATGTAAGTATATTCATTAACCACTTTTGATGTATTGCATCAGAATAGGAAAATGTCAAACACTAGTATATATCGAATATGTTTCAATGCTAACAAACGATTTTACTCATCTTTCCTAATCGTATAGATATAAACCAACATTCGCATCCTTAAGAGTTTCGATAAAAATATTTCTATATTCCAGTTAAGAGCTTGACGTATAATATATATAAATATATATCGAACGATTATCCATTGTTGCTTTCAAAAAAAGATTCGTTTATTATATCTTTAATCATTGATTAGCAATAGTTGATAACTTGCCAAATCTTCTTGTAATACACATTTCTTAAACTTTGGCTTAAAACTCGTTTATTTAGAAGATTATACAGAAGTAATCGAAAAATTTCATTGGTTTTATATATCTGATTTTTCTTAAAATAGCAAAAATGAAAACTGGCATAGCCGTTGTCATTTAATTACATTTGTATTTTATGATCATGACTATCTATTATTATTTAGTTTTACGATCATGTTCAATCAGCAATCATTTATTCTTGCTCGTCGCTTTGAAGAATATTAAAAATAAGAAAACAAGACACATGATGTATGTCCATGTATGTTTACTTTTACACTTGATATTATTAATGGTTGATTAAACTATATTTTTGAAGTAATTAAATTATACTTTTTGCAAATATTTGAACATTTTTAGAAGAGCACAATGGGTACAAATTCTAAAGTTCAATCGAATGACCATAAAATTGAGTTTGCACATGTAATTTCTAGGTAGAATAAGATGAAATTGATATGGATATTCAAATCTGTTTGCTTTGTAGAATAAAATATTTAGGAACTCTACGTGGTCGATGCTCCAGATTTAGATCTATATTTATCTTCAATCTCAAGCCAACAGGAAAGAAGCAAAGAAAACCTGCTTGAAATCCTTCATGTGTTTTCTCGAAACGTTTGTTTTTGAATGTCGTTGATTATTTTAGTTGATTATGTTTTTGATGAAGATGACTAGAGGACATCTTGCTACACATAAAACCGCAGAGAAGAAATAAACACGTCGTCTTGTATTTCTTGATAGTCTCATAGCTTGAATGCAAGTTGAAACACTTTCATTGAGCAATATTCAAGAAAAAGTTGATATATTTATGTTCGAAGATCATGATACAATTACAGCTACAATAAGTTTTTGTTGTTACTGATTATTTTAGGCTTCAGATTAGCAAAAAATCAAAATCAATCTGATTTAAACGTTGCCAGCTTCACGTTGTTTATAATAAATAATGATAGTTTATGGAATTAAATCACAGTAGAAAGTGCTACATCTCAGCACCAAATCTTACTATGTCGCACTAAAAGGAGATACTGATGTTGAAGATACTAAAAATGCTGAGAAATTACTGAAGTACCGGGAGTTTCAAATCTGTATTTTCCAACTTGGTTTCGCTGGTCAACAACTCATCTCAGATCAATATTCGCCATCTAGAAGACGCAATGATATTATTAACATTATTTCGTTGTTTTCTTTTCCTTTAACTCAAACTATTGCTTAATTACACTTAGCTACTGAAGATATTCTTCTGGTAAAAAGCTTCAAATTTATATGACCGAGAAACATCAATGACCTGTTTCATCTTTTCTCATGTACATCCTTATATTTGATTCTTCTATAGAAATTTCCCAATAGTATATAATTAGAATAAAATATGTTTTCGTCCTGTATTTTTAGACCGCCTTACTAACAATTCAAGTCGTTGATGATGAATCTTATAAGATGTTATTTTTCCAATACCTACGTTTGATTATTCAATACCTACGTTTGATTATTCAATTCATCGCTTGATTTCTATCCTCTCAAATTGATGTTGATCGTCAACGCGAAATAATTTTCGCTATTGTGCTTATCAAAAAATCGTATGGCGGTGTTTTAATAATTTCACAAATTTTTATTTCAAAACGATCTCTGAGATAACAGCGCATCGAATGAGTACATATTCGAATAAAAGATAATATTCTAAAGTATATAAGAAAAGGGGTTAGATATACTACAACTAAGAAATAGAAAAAACGTATAAAGTTATTGCTATCAGAAAAAAACACTCAAAAAAGGATAAGAAATATTGAGACAGAAAAAAAATATGAGATTCATGATTGTGAACTTTTAGTCGACAGTTGAGATTTTGCTGTGTGTAATTCTCGTTTAACTGAATCAATCATTGTTTGAAACCTAAAATAAAAACATCAACAATTCGAATGTTTCTTCGGAAAAAAAGCAATAAAGCAAATAATAGTAATAAAAAAATTAATCAGTACATTCATCGAGCAAAATGTTTAGTTGATCATTTTTTCGTATACAACGGTATAGAAATGAATTAATCAATACTTTCATTCTAAATATGCAATATTCTAACAATTTTATAGGAATTTTGAAAGCAACATTATCTATATTTTTACTTGAACAATCACCTAGAAAATATATTATGCACACGGGTAAGACATGAGAATTGAAACTAAGATCTTATTATCTTCCTTGAAATTTGATATATTCTTATAAACATATCAGTTATGACGACGAAAGAGTCTAAACCATGAAAAGAAAATTGATCTTTTTGTCATCAATAAACAAAAATCATTGTTTTTGATAAATAAATAAGGGCCTGTATCACAAACGAATGAACTCATAGAATGCCAACATGAGAAATATCTATTAATCTGATAGTTAATCAGATCGAAGATCACAATAACTGATTTGGTACATGAATACTTATATCAACCGATAGGATCTTACTGTCGATATCGGTCATTGATGCGATCTTTTTCATCCTAAATAAAATAATAAAAATTTTAACAAAACGCTTATGAATGAAATATAATTGAACCTCTGTTAAAGCTCTCCGTTTTTCATATTCAATTTGCATTTCAATTGTTTGCAATTGCTTTGAGCGTTCAATTTCTTTCACAGAATGTCCTTCCACTCTTGCAAGTTGACTCTATTTGAAATTAATAAAGTCATATAATTTATAGCTACATTGAACTATTCATTATATTTACTTGTAATAATTTTAATTTATCCGACGATTCTCTTTCAAAATCTTTATGATCTAAAAGTGAATTTTGTTTTAAAAATAAGACAAAATTACGAAAATTCTTTTTTTTAATATTACTAAGCCTTTCACGTGTTAAATCATCGACAATAACTTCTCGTTTGGCTAATTCTGCTGCAAAATATTTTCTATCAGCATCACTATCGAGTAACGCATTGTTGAGATCGTGACGAAGTTTATTTTCTTGTTGTTGACGGATTTCTAATTCTTGTTTAAGCCATGCAAGGCGCGCCTGTTAATTTTTAAAGCAAATGACAAGTAAGTAAAGGAAACTCGTTTTATTTTATTACTTTAACTTTGCTTAGCCACGTTTCAATATCATTACGAGAACTTGCTGGTGAATCAAGAATAAATGGTTCATCAGAATCATTTGATAAACATTCTGTACAATAAATAATATCATTATATACTGTATGAAGTGAATTCTATAAAGTATCATCTTATCGATGCAAAATATTCAAAAAATAAAGTTTTAGTTTACTTGAAAATCCTTTTCTTTTTTAATAATGTCATTTTTTTCATTGTTCGTGTCAACTGTTAACTTAATAATTCTAGTAAAGAAGAAAAAACGAGCATTCATTATTTTTATTATGAGAAAGAGAGAGAGAGAGAGAGAGAGAGAACAAGAAAATGTTTGATCATACTTTGATTCTAATTCATCAATTAATCGAGTCTAAAATCAATATTTAAAGTTCAAAGAATAAATTAAGATATTTCGAATGAAACAAAACCTTTTCTTTCAATTCTCTTGATATAGTTTCACATGTATATTGTGTTTGTGATGCTTCTTCTTCATATTTTCCTGCTTTTTCTTGAAGTCTTTCAATATCTTTTTTATGCTCGATTTCATGTCTTTGAAAAATTCCCACACGTGCCTTTTCATCTGATAGTTGTAACTAAAAATTAAGAAATAGATTGCTATAAAAATGTTTCATATCATTTTTTTATACTTTGAGAGTTTCAATTTTATTTTCATAATCAACCTGAATGGTTTTCATACCACGCGTATATTCTATTTTTGCCGTTTCTAGTTTACGCTATTGAATATATGAAGAAGAAAAAAAAACAGCAGAATTCTTTTCTAAAGATTAATGTGATTAGGAAAACTAACTTTCATTTCTTCATAATCACTTTCAAGTGAAGCAAGTTTTGTTTGAAATTTAGTCTTTTCCTTAGTTTAAATAAAAATGACTAAGAGACTTTATCAAGATAAAAACATACATCATTAAATGTTTTCGAAACGGATTGATATTGAATAGATAATGATTCTCGTTCAAATTCAATTTCCTTAATTTTTTGTAAGAAATCCTAAAGGAAAAATTTATTTATTAAAAGCAAACAATAAAAATAATTCTACCATGCGTTCGTTTTCGAGTTCAATTATATGCTGTTGAAATTGAGAACGAGATACACTAAGTGCTTCAATATCGTGCTAAAATTTAAAAACAAATAATAATAATAATAATAATGGAAGATTTCGTCATTAGGTAGAAAGGCGTCTAACTTCAGCTTGTTTTAATTTTGAATCAACATTATTTCGATGATTGATTTCTTCTTGTAATAATTGTTGAATATTTTGTTTTTCTTTATCAAGTTGTGAATTACGCTGACGATAAACAGATAATTGACTTTCAAGCTGTAATCAAACATAGAAAATAGATCGATCTCAAAAATGAGAAATCATCATTTTTACTTCGTTGCCAACAGTTTTAAATGTCACTATTTCTGCGTCTTGTGTTGAGCGAATTGTACGTAGTTGAGCAAGCTAATAGATAATGAATGTTGAGCTTTGTTGTATTCGATAATATTCGTATAACTTACATCATTTTCAGTTCGTTTAAAATGTTCTTCGATTCGATTATGTTTAGTCTAAATAATATGAAAAGAAGTTTTAAGTGAAATTATTTGTTAAATATAATTCTAAAATAGCAGAGAAGAAAAAATTTGAAGAAATCTAATACTATTCATACGTATATTAAATGCAACCAGAAGTCAAAGAAATAAGTAAGTAATCATCACATCATTAAAAATTCTATCCGTTATAACAACGACTAAAAAGCTTTAAAAATCTTAACGAAAAATTTTCGAATTTCAGACAAATCAACACATAACATCATATTCAGATATTGAACATAAGAGCAAGAAAAAGGATAAAATCTACGCTCCAGTGAAAGTCGAAAAAATTATTGTATTTATCACAATTAAACTCTATTGGTGTACGATATTACTTCAATAGTTTCTTGTTACATCCAAGAAAAACAAAACAAAATCATGTATTCATTATTTTTGTGATTAACATAACAGAGCAGATTCGAGACGCGTGAAAACAATATTTATTTTCTTGTATATTATCATAACAATTAGCAATTGTATTGTCAGAAAATGCTGATGTAGAAATCGAAGTGTGCGTTTTTTTTCTGTTTAAAGCGACTATATAGTATTTGAATCATGTCTTCAAAATTTTCTTCAATTTAACTGAAATTCAAGACCATATAGGATTGTAATCATATCGAGACATTCGATTTCCTTTTAAAAAGTGTAACTATATATTTGACTATCTTCGACTAATCAGTAAACTTTTTGACACATGAATTTTAGAAGAAAAAAACACTGAAAATAAACTGCAACTCATGTGACTTATTAACACTGATAGACAAATAATTAGTAGGAATAGAGTGTAATGATGATTCATAGGATATGAACGACGAATACATACATTTGCATCATTTAAATCCGTTTCAAGTTTTGCAATTTGTTCACGTTGGACAGCATTTTGATTTCTAAAATTTTCCATTTCTTTAATTAAGTGCTCATTGCGTTCTAACATTTGTGTTGAACCAAATTTATGTCGATCAACATCTTTTTCAAGCTTTTTAACTTTTGCTTTCCACCTGCGGATAAAAATAATGAAAATATAAATACATCAAAATTTTAAACAAAAAAGCAACGAACTGTTTAATCGTTTCTTGTGCTTGCATTTTCAATTCTTCACGTTGTTGCTCAGAATCAGCAAATTGTTTTTGAGAATTTAATGCTTCTTGTGCATATCGTTCAGCTTCTTGTGTCATTTCTTCTAATTTTTCTAACGCTAATGCTAAATCACGTTGTAATTTAGCATTTTGTCGTTCATATGTATCACAATTTTCTGTTAGTTCTTTCAATTCTAGTAGACTTTTTGCAAAAAGTCTTTCTTTCTCATCAGACTTTTTTACTATAACCTGAAAAAACAAAACAATACTTGGCAAACCAAATAAAAAAAAACCAATTGACTTGAACAACCTCTAAATGGTCAGATAGTTGTTCACGTTGACGTTCACTTTTCTCAAGTTCTTTTTTAAATGTAACCATTTCGTTTAATGTTGACGATTTTGAAAGCATCATTTGTTGTTGAATTAAATAATCATGTTCTATTTGAAGACGATCTTGTTCTATCAATGAATAAAATATCAAAATTTTTACAGATATAGAATGAACATGAAAGTGTTCTTTTGAACGCTTTCTCTTTGGAAAGAATAAGAGAATTTATGTTAAAACGGAGACACTTTTTGAAATTAGCATAGATGCATTACGCCTAAGGTATCTAGTTTTAAAATTTAAATCACTAGAGATAGGCTACTATCTAAGTGTATCGAAGCACAATAAGAGCAATTATGATTGTTGCTGACCATTAGGGCTCGAAGTGCCAACAGACGGGTACTTAACAAGTCTCAAGATATATTCTTAGGTGTTATATAATTTGGTCATGCTTGATAGTAAGATCAGAAAGCTCTTTAAGTAAATATTCAAAAGTGATGTTTGTGTCTAGGGCTTTTCTTGAAAAGTATTTTTAGGATAGATTGTCCAACTATGAAGAAGGTTTTCTTCTTCATACATGTATTCTATGTACGACGAAGGACACACAATATTGAAATTGTCTCTCAATGCCAAGTTAGTCAGAGTTTATCTATATGCTATTGCTTTATATCTCTCAAATTTTATGTTCTTCGAGGCTACTTAAACAAAAATATATAAAAATTATTTAAGAAAAAGTATTGTTTATCAAAATGAACACATTCTTCTCTTTCCAATTAGAATCGATTGAATGATATATCTTGAAATGTATTTAAAAAAAGATCTGCTCATATCACAGTTCAGTTTAACATTTTGACTACGTAAAATTTTCTAAATAGTAAGATTTGAAGACATGACTGTTTATATCATTTTTATATACATCAACCAAACATTTATGGAAATTTCGTTCATTGTATCGAATATGCCGTTTGAGACAAAGGCCTAAAGTGTTTCATTTCCTAAAACTTACCATGATTTTAACAAAAGTTATTCGATTCGAACAAATAATAAAGTTACTTTCCAATTATTAGTGTAATTTCAATTCAGAAAGTATTTAAACTATATCTGTATAACTTTTACCTTGTATACTCAATCTATCGAAGTTTTTGATCTAATGATGTCTCTTTTCCATATGATTCATCGCTGATAGATATTTAACTCTATTGAAGATTATATTTCTGTCTGAAAGCTACTTTTATTAGAGGTTCATGATATGGAATAGATTTCTCTTCACAAAAAAGCTCCGAAACATCTTCTTTTCTATTTCTTTTTCAATCCACAATAATGATTGAAACATAATCGAATAATAACAATCAGACCTGTTTTTCGGCGTCGATTCATTGATAATACTAAATCGTCCTCTCGTTGTTTATCACGTTCGAAATCATTTCTGGTCAATTGATCTTTGAGTTGTAATAGCTAAATCATTAAATGCATCTCAATTTAAAAATTGTTATTATCTAATTAAAATCAGTATTAAAAGAACAAAATCTACACTAAATCAACGAGTTTCATATTAAAATATCGAATAAACATATAATTTCAAAGTTTCAATTCGGATGTCACGCAATAGAACAAAAAGAAACTCGTTCAATGGGACAATGCATCTGGTAAAATAATTTTCCTCTTTGCACTAAATTCCATGATATAATGTCCTTACTTAATAAATTGAATTTCTGTGTGCCAGTTGTTTTCTAGGTTATTTCATATTGCCTTTGCATTCTTATATCCTCGGCATAGATACTATAATACTTATTTTTTCGAAAAAAATACAGTGAGTACGCTGCCATGTTCATAACAGTTCTGATATTTTTGATTTCCTTTTTTTTAACGCCCTGATCCTTCGGATTGTTGTGGACTTTAGAGAATTATATAGTTGTTTAGGATTGATCGAAATTGTTAAGATTTTCTATGTAACCTTTTCTATTTACCAAAGAAAACCTAACGAATGGTATTGAATAGTAGATTGAAGTAGATATGTTTAAGGCTAGCTATGATCATAAGGTTTGATGTAAATAATCGAGAGCGATAAGTAGCAGAGTATTTAAAATTCTAAAAGATCATTGACCTCGCTGAACGTCATAACATCAATGCTTTTATTTTTAATGCGCTTTAACTATTAGAAAAGAAAAGAAATTTATACATGAAAAAAATACAAAAAGAAGAAAAAAGAAAGCACAAGCTATCGATGAAAGAGTCAAAACATGAGAGCATAAGAACTGCTAATATGCATCGTACCTAAAATATGCATTTTTTTCCTACGATAAAACAAAGAAAGAAACTTCATGAGATGAAACCAGATCTACGTGTCATGTCATCTAGATTTCAGCTTAGTCTGACCGGTTTACAACCTTAGAATATCATAACAGAATTTTAGAATTTCTATTTAATTCATTATCATTGAAATTTAATCGAGAAAAAAACAAAATAATTTACCTGTTGCGCTAAAAAGCTTTTGTTAATTTCACTATCTTCCAATTGCCTTCTAGTATTTTGTAATTGAGTTTCATACTAATATAAAAGAAAATGGTGTAATAAATTACAATAAAGGAAAAAACGAAAAATAATGATACCATTTGCTTATTGGATTCAGCAAGTAAAAGTCGAGCTTGTAAAATTTTATCGTCTTCATTTTGAATTGGTGTTGTTAATTTTCGTTGAGATTGAAGTTCAGTTATCAGTACACGCATATCCCCTTGTTGTTGTTGATCTTTATCACGCTTGATTTCTCGTTCAATTTCTTGTAAACGTCGATCAATACGTGATTGAACGATCTAAGTAAAATATTTATTTTTACGATACGATCTCTTCATAGATACAACTTTTTTCCTTCGTTTAGTTACGGAATATTATTTTCAAGTCGAAACTATTTTACTTGCTACTAGAATATTTCTCGGCTTAATAGCTTACGATGTTAGAGGAACTTTTATGTTTTTGACAATTTTTAGAAATCGTTTAAAGCAATTGTCATATTTTGTATAATGAAAGACACAAAAAATACGATGAGAAATATTGTACTTGCAAAAGTAAAGATACCTTCAACATATTTGTTTTTATCATAAACGGTGTCGTGTTTGCTTTGTCGTATACAAAGAATTTCTCTTTTTCAATCAAAATCAAAACTCTGTAGCTTTTAGTTGAACTATGCCAATTTTGTTTTCAAAAAACAAATATTGTTACACTAGTTCGTAGTAAAGTATAGTAGTTACACATATATTCGCGACAATAAATTTCCTAACGTAAATATAAGCAACAATATTGTATGAACGTTAAGTATCTCTGATTGGCATTCAAGATTCAGAATTAAGATGAAATTAGCTGCGATAAAATTGTAAAAAAAACGAATAATCAAACCTCTTCGACCAGCGGATCTTGTTTAGAAAAAAATGAGTCATTGACATCCCCATCATCACTGTCATTTCTGCAAACATAATTAAAACAGATTGTCCAAAGAAAAAAGTTTTCTCTTACAAAGTCAATGATTCTTTTTGTTGCTGCTGTTTTGATGATGTAGTTTTACCGATTTCATGTTTAAGTCTTCCATGCTCAGTTGATAGTGATTGCAATTCATTGTTGAGATTATGTAATGAACGTCCAATAACATCATCATTAAAACGAACACCTTTATTACTGTTACTGCGTTGATGATTCGATGATAACGTTGTAGAACGTCGTGAACCTATTGTTGTTTGTTCTTGATCATAATCTATTCATTTTTTAAATAGATTTATTAATAATTTTATGAAAATAGAAGTTTTTTACGTGAATCCACCGTCGAAAGGAGTCCATCATTAGTAGTAGTAGTAGTATTACGAAACTTAACAATAGAAACAACAGGATAGAATATTTAACGAGACATAGATACTATTTTATTTACTGTATCTAGTAGTGATGTTGATGTTGGCTGTTGAATTTGTTTTAATAATTCAAAATTTTGTTGAGCATGTCGTAAATTATTTTCCGTAGTCTAAATTAGTAAAAGAAAAAATTTAAGGTTAATGGTATTTTTCTTGTTCTTATTGATTTTTTTCGTTTACAATTAATGCTGTATTCAAATGGCGGATCTTTTCGTTTGATTCAATGTTCACATTAGGTAATTGTCGTTTTAATAATGAACTCATTTTTTATTAATTCCTCTTTTTCTTTTCACTCTCTAGGCCTGTACCTTTCTCGATTGTTCATGCACTTATTTCATTTTCTAGTTACTAAGTGATATTCTTCATTAGCTTTATAAAATAGAATCTTTTTATTTTTACACTTCGATTGAAAAAAAATTAGTTAAAATGGAATTTTATAGACAAAAATGTAATTGTTTGCATTGATTTTTTAATTAAAAAAGAAATTTCTAAATAAACAATTCAAAAAATAAAGCCTAAAAAGATGTCACTGTTTTGCAATCTTATTGGTTTTACATAATCGAAAAATAAAAAATAAATGAAGTAGGCAAACATAGAACAGCAATGAATGTGCAACATATTACTAAGGATGTCTTCTGAGAAAATTTGTCTGAAACGTTACCTGTTTATGTTTTTTTTTCTTATATTGGGAAATAAACAAGCGTATATTTAACTATTAGTTGTCATAAAATTTTGCATTGAAGAAAATACAAAACTTAGTCGAATGATTTCGTAATTTTTATTTTTTTAATGCAATTAATAAATGAATAAATAAAAAAACAATGCATAATTTGAGTCATGAACATTTAATTAAAAGAAGATGCTGAAAATTGACGATTACTCTTTTCATACATTTTCTGTTTTGAAATGTTGAAACCTTCTTTTTTGTTTTATACTTTAGATTTCTTGTTTTTGACTCATAATAAATACATAAACTTTAATCATGAATGATACGTCTAAAAAAACTCCACGGGTACCCAATTGTAAACAAGTACATGATTTAGTTCGATCAAACTTAGAAAAAAATGATAAAAATCATCGTCCACAATCGCAGCAATCATTCAGTAATACAATCGAAAATAAAACAAATGCCCTTTCACAACAAAAACAAAGCCATGTTCAAAACGTTAAATCACCAGCAAAACCGTTACTAGATTGCTTGAAACCTGAACCGTTATTAACATCGAAACCGTATGAAAAATCGATTTCGCAACGACGACGAAGAATTAAACGACTCGATTATGAAAATCATAGTATAGAGATTTTTATTTAGATTGGTTTAATTAAATTTATTCTTTGTATTTATATTAGATCGTAGTGATAATGATTTAGTTAATAACTCTAATCTTTCACCAGAAAAAGTACGACGAAAAAATTACATAGTTACAAATTTCTTTTTCTGGTTCAATTCTTAGGCTGAAATTGACCGGTCAACGATTGATATTCGTGAGCCAACACCCGAGCATTTATTAGCATTGAAAAAAGCATTTCATAAAGTTCTTACGGAAAGCTCTCTATCCGATAACAGTCTTAGACAACGAGAAGTTATCTTTACAAAATTACATAAACTTATTACTAATGCTCGATCAGGTAAATATTGCATGTTGATTATAGAGTAATTCTGTTTTTTAAATTGATCGATTAAAATCTTTCATTTTCATTTTATACGTCTGTGGTGTATTAAATTGAGTTTATATTTTATTAAATCTTCTTCAGACCTCTGTTCTTCATCGGTTTATTTTACGATAAGAAACAAAACAATTGTTATAGTACGATTTGTTCTTTTTTATATTTTTCTTTGGAGTAGCGAACTAGAACAGTATGTTAACTATATGAAACGAAAAAATGTTGATTTCAAACTTGAACCGTTGACTTTGGTTTTAAATAAAATGAGTTGTCAAGAATCAACAAATTTGAATGGAAAAATAAAAAAATAGTACTTTTTTCTTTTGATAATTTCGAGTAACAGGTGTGTTAAATATTAAATACGAATATTTAAAATTTAAATGTTTACTGAAGACATCGTTATTTTATTTATTTATGTATTTATTTATTATAAACATTATATGATAACTCTCGTTTTATTGACTCTTATTTTTTTTAATCTGTTATTATAGGCAGTCAAATAAATTTATATGGATCTGTATACTTTGAATGTTGTTTGGAAAAACGAAGTGTAATGAATATTGATATACGATTCAAAACAACATCACAATACGATGCACTCAAAGAAATACTTGATATAATTAAAACAAGTGGTATGGTTATTGCATTGAGAAAAGAATTGCATAAACTAAAATTTTAATTTAGATCTATGTAAAGACGCTGCAATCGATACTGATAATAAACCATCATGTATTAACTTAATAACAAATGAACCAAATATGCGAGTAAAAATAACTTCAGGTTATAATCGTGGTTTGAATCTATCAAAATTAATTCGAATTTATATTAAATTTGATGAACGTGTTATCAAATTACTTCGATTGTTTCGAATACTATCCAAAGTTAGTTTAAATGGATTCGGTTTTCTTTTTCTTTAAGTTTAGCTCTAACATTTCGAAATTTGATTTCACTGTCTTAACTGACTAGAATACGTTTAATAGCCTATGAAGTTATTATGTTGTTATGTACTCAGACGATGTCTTAGTAATTAGACTGTGAAAAAGCGAGTTTAGAAAAATAAAGTACGTATATTTTAAAACAATGAGTGAGAAGCATCTTGAGAGTGTTCAAGCTTGATTTTTGTAATACACTTGAATTTTATGCGTTTTAAACACAAATTTTTTATCCTTGACCCTAGGAAAATATTGTCTGAATGCTTTAAATACGAATATTTTTCATAGTTAGCTCGATTAACTCTCTTTTACGTTAGACGCAAAATAAACACGAAAAAGAAAAGTTTTCTTGAATTTCGCACTATCAAAATTTATAAAAAAAGAATTTATTTATCATTTTTTTAGACGTGTGACATTGATAAAGCAGAGGTGGGAACACTTCATCCAGTTGTTTACCATATTATGGTTATTCATTTTCTTCAACAAGTCGATGAACCGGTTTTACCATGTCTACATGAATATGTACGTTATCTTCTACATTGTTTTTCTTTGAATATATTGAACTGAAAAATAAAAGACGTAAATAAACATTCGATTTGATAGGCCTATGGAATTAATAATGTACCAGTAACATTAAATGAAAATCATTATCCGGAATTTTTCAAAGTTTGTGAAAAATATTCACGTGAATGGAAATCAAAGAATACAACGACTGTCGAAATGCTGTTTTTACAATTGCTGTCGTATTATGTTAAAACATTCAGTGCAAAACAATTTGTTGTTTCAATACAAACGCGCATGCCTGTGATGAAAATAGATAAAAATTGGCGTAGTAGAAAATTACTTGTTGAAGGTAAATTTATTTTTAAGCTAACGCAAAAAGTTGTGATATTTTTTACACGAGGCTCTCGCAGTTTTGTTACAAATTTTAAAATGACATTTATTTTATTTGTCTATGAATGTTAAATTTCATATTAAAGAAAAGAGAAAGTAAACAATCAATCATGTATCATATAGGTTTATCTTTGAGACAATTGATAATATCTTGTTTTTCGAATGTTCATCATAGGAAACGAGAAAAAGAATTTTTTCAAAATTATCTATGGATGGAATTAAAATATATATGTAGATACATTTGTTAAGACAATATAGATGAATTGTAAATGACCGAGTTTAACAGAAAAAAAGAGTTCTAACTTAAATCTAGTTAGTCATGCGGTAAATGTGATAATTCTTTGGAATATCATCTTTGTAAGAAAAACTATGCGAAAACAATTCTTTACACTGGTAAAAATTATACTATAGAGATAGTTTTGGGTTGCCCAATTTTGAAATAAACATTTTTCTAAATTTTACATCGGTAACGTTAGTCAAAATATGCCTTCATCTACTGCTAAGACATAAAACTATCATGGAATATGATATCAATTACATTTTTGTCTATCGATTTGTACGATGAAATCGACTAATTCAAACGATATTGGTTGAAAACTCAGACTTTTTCCTATCCTTCAAATTGATCTATTCCATCGAACAAAAACTGTATGATGTAAAATTGAATAGCCTTCAATACAAATTTTTAGACATCGTACAAAAATCAAATATTTGTTATAGACTACTGTGTATGACCTTAATCCTCTAAAAGTGTGAGATTTATCTACAGCAAAAAGCTCTTTGAAAAAGAGTAATTTTACTATACTATCATTTTCAATAGTTTTTATTTGTTTTGGATACAGTGAATATAAGAATTAGTATCATGAAAGCACTCACGACGAACTCGTCGAGAATGAGATTGTCGACTGTTGTAAACAAATAACCATTCGATCACGGTTTGAAACTCTCGACAAAAGTCATGATGCTATCTATTATATTATTTGTTTTTTTCTTTATTGAGATTTAAACTTTACCAATTATACTATTTATTATTTGTAGTAGTTTTATTATTTAGTATATGAATGATAGTACTGGAACATTTTCTAGGATATCAATAATACAAGACATAATTGCATTTGTTGTATCTTCAGTTTCTCAAAATAGATATAGAACAATTCATTTTCTTATGTATTTTTAACTATTGATGCATATTTCTGTTTAATTTCAATAGATCCGACTGATATAAAACGAAGTTTATGTCAAACAATGCAATCTGTACGTTCTATTGATTATTTTCGCAGTACATTAAATGCTGCATTGAATTATTTTGCTCGAAAACAAAAAAAACGCCCAACAACGAATTCAAATCAATGTTCAATCGAAAATACTGATGATGATTTAATTGAAATCATTCTCGATGATATAAATGAAATTCCAAAAAGTGAGCCATCAAACTCGTTGCATAACTCGTATAAATTATTTTATAAAAAATTACCACCAACCATTGTCCGTGATGTTAATATAAAACAAGGTCGTGTACGAGACTATTATAGGCAAACGTTTGATAATGAAAAGAATATATTACCAAAAGGAATTATACAATTAACTTCTTTAAATGATAAGTTTGATAATTTAGTTGATAATGATATTCAAGAAGCATTTCAACATGATCTTGAAAATAATTTTCAAGTTATGGATGAAAATGATGATGATGAAAATGAAAATCATTCACATTTATTACAAAGGATAATATCAGATGAGAATGATGAAGAACATTTTTTAAATGAAAATTCGCAACATATCAGTATTGAACAACAAGACGAAGACATGTTAGTTAAAGGAATAAATTTATTGATAGTAGGATACAATACTAGTTAGAATGACACTTCGTCTATGAATAGAAAATGTTGATTAAGTGAAACGAAGTTGTATAAGACAAGAATATAGAATTCCCACTATTTTCTATTCATAGACGAAATATCATTGAACATAGAAATGCATTAATGGAATGATTGATTTGTATACATATTTTTGTTCTTATTTTAGTCAAGATGAGTCTCCGATAGGCGAAGACGGACAACAATTGACTAACGACGAAACATCAAGAATAAAGAACGAAGCTGAACAAGGTATGTAACATATAATCTAATGGTAGAAATCTTGCATCAAGACCATAGTCGTAATAATAATGTGAGCGAAAGTGATATTAATCATTGTATCCTAAATCTTCATCGAACAAAAAACAAGAGAATCTTACAATTGAAACTGCAGAAAAAGAAAATAATCATTCGAAACTGATTTTTTTTCAATGTGAATTAATATTAATTTGATTTTAGGTAATACAATCAGCAATAAAGAAGAAGAATTAGTTGACAATTTGAAGCAATCATTATCGATAGATGAAACATCAACGAATGATACTCAGGCAACACCAGAATTACATTCACCAAAAGAAAAAACGACAACATCTTCGTGTTCGTCACCATTAAGTATTGAAACAAATATTATAACGACTGATAACAATAATGACCGCCATGAAATTCCATCACCATTCACGTCGCCAATCAAATTTGACGACATTATTAATAATGAACAATCAAATATTCAAAGCAATCCTAGCAAAGATGATTTAAATGAATTGTACTATGATTTTCAAGCTGAAAACTTTCATGCTGAACAGGTAAAATCATCATGGACTGCAGAACGAGTTCAAAAAATAGAAGACTAACTTTCATTCTGACGTCTCGAAAGTTAGCTAAGAAATTCAGTTTTTCGTTCGAATAATATTTGCATATTTTCAAGGAAAGATCATGAGAAATATTAGAACTCGCTCTTTTTTTCTGAACTTCTTTTTTTCTTCAGAAGATGTTGTTACTCCCAACAACTAGGTTTTTTTTAAGACCTGAGCAATATTGTGTTTGGTTTTTGGAAAATCTTTTCTCTATGAAGTGTTCATACTATTGTTATATTGATATTGAAAGTGCTATTCGAATTTGAATCGATTATTTTGCATCGTAGAAAGGGAAAAAGAGCTGGTTTAGTGATCTACTTAATTGTTTGTAAATGTTCTGATCATTTTAAAAATCTAACAAAACACAGGCATATACCATTACTTGAATCGTGTAAAAAAATAAAACAATTTAATAGAGATCAAAATAAATTTTTATTTTTTTCCTCAAAAAAGGGTGCTCCATATGTATGTACAACTTGTAATGGTATCGGACATTTAAAAAGTGAATGTCCTGAACTAATTATTCCAAATATGATTGATCTACCAGTTATTGATGAGCAGTGGATCCAAATTCTTTCAAAAATTTGTCGACAAATTACTGGTAATATTATATACATACCTGTGTTTCATTCATAAAAATGACTATAATTTTAACAATAAATTTAGATCGATCTAAACCAAAACCACGTGACATAGAAAATCGTCAGCAAATTTTAAATCAATTAGAAAAACAATTCCAGAAGGACTATCCTGATTGTAATTTACATGCATTCGGCTCATTTTATAATGGTTTTGGTTTTTCTCAAAGTGATTTAGATGTTTGTCTTGTATTTAAAGATGAACGAGAACAAAATGTTTGTATCTCATTGATGAAATTTCCTCTTGTTTTTCTTCATTTGATATTTTTATTTTTCAATTCTGAATAGAATGATGAAGTTATTCGAATAATGCAAAGAATTTTACGTGCAATGAGATCTTCGAATACATTTGATGAAGTTCAGCCAGTACTTCAAGCGAAGGTACCAATTATTCGAACGAGACATCGACAATGGAATATTGCTATCGATATTAGCCTTCATAATATGCTTGTTAGTTGTTTAATCAACTTTTATCTTCTATCAATTACTCTTTTGTGTATTTAGGCTATTGAGAATACTCGATTATTAAAAAAATATACTGAAATCGATACACGTGTATCCGAATTGGGCTATATGATAAAGCATTTAGCAAAAGTAAGATATTCAATTTTTATTTTATTGAAATCAATAGAATAGTTTTGACTAGATTGAACAGAAATCATTGATATCGCCAAAACTTAAATTCTATTGATTACGTTGATATTTAAAAAAATTTTAAACTAATTGATGAAGGTGACACAATTTGAAACTGCTTCTATTGTTAGTAGATAATAGTTGTCTTTTCTATGTCAAGCTATTTTCTTTTGATATCTAGGAGATATGATACAGACTATTTTCTCTTCTTAAGTTGTAACAATAAAACCGGTCAATCGATTATTAAATACTAGAGTAATAAAACATAAGTTGTTCCAAATAGAAATAGATACATGGAGAAAAAAGTACATAGAATAAAACACAAATCATATGCTTAGAAAAAAACGTTTGTTCGTAAGTCAATCAAATTTTCACAATTGAGCAATACGTAAAACAGATAAATGAGATCTAGTAAATAAGCATTTTAATTAGCTATGAACATGCAAAGAAAAGAGTAAATATTGAATATATAAAAACAAAGCCAATAAAAGAAAAAGAAATCGAGTCACATAATGTTATCCAAGAAATGATATCTCTGATATTTTCATAGACTACGAGAAGAAAGAAGATTTCAGCACTTCATTTTTGAATACTTGCCATTCAATATATCACTACAATTAGGTTTAATATAATTCTATGATTTTTCTAATATAAATAGAGTATTTCATAACTTTCAAATGTGATTTCTATTGTTGTTTGTTTATATTTGCAAAGCACAAAGGTTTAACTCTGTATTAAAGATAAGGGAATGAGCATTGGAGTTGAGTTCTATAACAAAAGCGACTCTATATAGACAACTTTCCAAATTAGAAGAGCGCTTTATCTGAATAAATAAATATTAGAACAAGAGAATATCATTGCACTGCATAACTCCAATATAAGCTTTGCTGTTGACAAATAACGACATTATTATTATCATCGAAAAATAACTTTACGCTATCGTCATATTTTAATAGCAATACATTATTCAGTCATTATATAGTATATCTAAAAAACAAATTTGGCAGCTATGTTTTTATCTTCACAGTGTAAATCAAATAGTGGTTAAATCTAGTTGAACATAACATCACTCGAATCAATAACAAAGATAAATAATATCAATGAATAGCTTTCATTCTTTTCTGTTTCTTATCAATTGAACATTTCGAAAAAAAGATATTTTACAAAAATATTCTTACTAATAGGGCATCTTATTATTATAGATTCAGAATGAGTACAAACTATTTTGACTCACAGTTTAAACATTTCAGTGGCAGTACAGTCACAGTTGTTCAAAATCTAGTAAGACGAACATGTAAAACAGCGTCTTAATCAGATTGGAATTTCAGCCAATTGCTAAAAATATATGAATTAGTTTTACTTTAACATTATTTAACTGAATAACAACTGTACATGTTTAAAATCCATGCAGTTTTTCTGGTATTTCAATAAAATACTTTTGAAAATGTTGCCATGGCATTCATTTCTGTTTTCCTTGTTCTATTTTTTTATCAATTTAACTTCATGCAAACAATACAAAAAACAGATTCTAGCAAATATCTTTCCAATGATTAATTTAGATTCTCTAACATACTTAAACTTCAAGATTGTGTATAAGATATTAAATGCAAAAGACAATTATATATAAATATTTTCATTTCAAATTTAGTTTTGTTCTATTGGTGATGCAAGTCGAGGTACACTATCCAGTTATGCATATATCATTATGCTTATCCATTTTTTACAACAAATTCAACCACCTGTTTTACCAGTACTTCAACAGGTTTTCCAATAATATTTTTTTCAATAGATTCTCTTAAATTTAGTTTTTTTGAAAAAATTTTAGTTGAATGATCCGACGAAAAAAACTTCGATGTATAAAAAATGTTCAAAATGGAATGTTTATTTTTATGAAGATCTATCTAGAATTGTTTGTAGAAATAATATTTTTATGAAATATGATAAAATATGATATTTCATTTGTTTTTTAGAATGATATTTGGAAAGGTGAAAATAAATTATTGCCAGGTGCATTATGGATAGAATTTTTACGGTTTTACACAGAACAATTCAATTATGAAGAACATATTGTTACTATTAGACAAATCGAACCGTTATTAAAACATGAAAAAGGATGGCTTAGACAAACAATAGCTATTGAAGATCCATTTGAATTAAGCCATAACTTAGCCGGTGGTTTATCTCCTCGAAGTATTCTATAATTGAAAAAGAATTTCCGTTTGACAGCAACTACAAGGATAATTTCTTTTAGATTGGATAATGATTCGTCGAGTTTTAATTCGTTCTCGTGAACAATTTGGTGTAAAACCTGAAAATATTGATGTTTCTAATCCAAATATGTCAAATATTGAGGTAAAGATATTTTTCCTCATGACAAACATAGATATTGAACAAGCACCAGTGTTTTTCTTTCATAAAATAAGAACTGTTACATTTAAAGAAGAAAAATGCAGAACCATTTGAGCATTTATATTCAAAGAAAAATAATCACTTTTATTTAAATAGAATAAAATAAAATAAAATAGTGTATTTAAATTTAAATAGGAAGAATTGTTTAATATTGATGAATTATGCCCAACAAATGCGCCTAAACGATGTGAATGGTGTAAAGGTCCATATCATATACGAAAACGTTGTCCAAAACTAGCTGCATTATCAAATGACTATGAAAAAAATAAGAGAGTGTTTAATAATAGCGAACAACAACCTTATACGAATAATTATGTGCCGTTTTCATCAAATAACTTTCGAGAGAAACCATATTATAATAATAGATACAATGGATATAATCACTCAAAATCTGCTTCATCTAATCAACGTTCACTTCGATATGTAGCTAATGAAAAATCCAGAGAATTTTATAATGCATCACATCTATCGATCGAACAAACAAACAATATTACTTATCAAAATACTTATCCAAGAAAAAGCTGTTTCGAGTGTGAAAGTTTTGATCATCTTAGAGCGCAATGCCCATTGTTACACAAGAATAATCGACCTCAAAAATCAAAATTTACTAACTAACTTATCGTAAATTTTTTCTTTTGTGTACATAAAATTTGCGATATTTGATCTCGTCTCTACTTACTTTTTGTCGTTACAGCTTTTTCCTTGTTCTTTATCATTTATGTTTTCTTTTCTCTACCTTATTTTTTCTCTTCTTTTATCGTCATGTGCTATTAAGTATATGTCATTGTCGTTGTCATCATTTACCATCGGTTCTCTCCTTTTTTCTACTCGAGAGACGATTTTAAAAATCGCTGGTTTCATTCTTGATTATATCTTTGTTTCTTTTGGAAAGACTGACACAGATTTTTTTTCACTATAATTTTTCCCCACTAGATATGATGACGGATACAGCTGCGCAACAGCAAACAGATATTAATGGTCAAATTTTGGTAACATATTCTGAACGCGAAGCTTTGATTCAAAAATTGTAAGTAGATTATGTTTGTATGAATTGTATTCATTTGTTTATTTTTGTTTCGTCTTGAATGTAGAACTACAAAATGGACGTTGGATTTATCAAAGAGAATTGAAATGCTTTCATATACCAAATCAAATGGAGTTAAAGTAAATTTTATTATTCGTTAACAAAGAAATTAGTTCTCATATTTTATCGTAGTCTATTTATTTTAAACTTGTTCAAAGTTATTATCAACAAGTTCAAAGTAAGTGTTATTATCTAAAAATACAGAATGCTCATTACGTTGATTGAACCGTTTACTTCTATTGGCTTATTCATTGAGTGTTAGAAGTAGAATTGCACATAACATTTTTATTAACAATAGAATAAAGAAAAAATATTTTCCCTATTAACTAAACGTCGTACGTTTCTATACCGTGAGCTAAAATTAGAATATTTTCTCCTTATAATGAATACAAAATTAATTATAAGCTACAATGAAATTTTTCAACTGATTCCTAGATGCATATCAAAATCGAAATCAACAACAACAACAACAGCAGCAGCAAACATCATCACAAGCATCGAATAATAATGGGGAATACTTAAACCAGCAATTAAATCTGTCACAACAACCATCAGTACCTATGCTTGTTCAAACACAACATCCGTTAAATACAACACTCAATCAGCAAATTCACTGTCCTTCAACACAACAATTATTACAATTTCGTATGACAAATCCGCAAACAAGTGTTATTAACACCCAACCAAGTGTTCTGAATCACGGCGTACGATTACGTGAACCACAAAAGTTCAATTCATGTATATTTTTTCTCTAATATTTCTCATTTCCATTCTTTTTTGTATGTTATATATTCTAGCATCTCTTAATGCAGTTCCATGTGCACTCTCATCATCATCATCATCGTCGTCGCCGTTGGCCTCGTCGTCGTCATCTTCATCATCATCATCATCAGCAGCAGCAGCAGCAGCAGCATTAAATTTAACTTCAACGCCACTCACAGTACAAACAATGGATTTGTCTCAAAATTTTACAGCTCAGCAACCGATGAATAATACAAGTCTAAATGATTATTTATCTCAACCATCAATACTTCAAAGTAGATATTTAACTCAACAAGCAATCAATTCAAGAGTACGTCCAACAATGAATTTAAGTGGTAAGTAAACAATTTTATAAGGTTTTTAAATAATTAGAATAAATGCAAATCTTATTGTTTTCATAGGGAATTTTTCACAATCATCAATCGCGAATAATGCAAATGATATTTTACATCAATTTGTTGTTGGAAATCCATCAGCTAATTCAATGGCGGCATCATCATCATCATCATCATCATTAACAACATCAACGATGATAACACCAATGACAAATACGCCTTCAACCGGTGATCGATGTTAGCTTTATCTAAAGAGCAAACTTTTCTTTTATTAAAAAAATCTTACACGATTATTTTAGTATTACAACAAATACTTTTGTCTAATAATGATGGAATATCGAACAAAATACCGATACAAAGTCGTCAACCATCTTTACAACAATCAACACCATCGATAATGGTATATTCGTGTAGAAGTCTTGATTTAAAAAATAATTAATTCAGTTTTAATCATCTCGAATAATGTTCTTGATATCTAATTTTATGAATAAGATTTTATTTTATTAATGAATTTTACTCGAGATTAAGGTATTCTATAATCAATATCAAATTTTTGTAAATAATTTTACATAGACTTTCAAGTGTAGCTATCATCAATCATACAATCATGTAAATAAACGATTAAAAAACACATTTGATTAACTAAAACCGAAAGTACTGGTATTATTGCAATCCTTTCTATCTGATAAAAATTGATGTCTTCTTTCTTGCAGACAAAAAAAAACAGTAAAACGTGAAAATAGATTAAAAAAATACTTTTATTGAAATTTATTTGTTATAATTTGAACTTCAACGTCATCAGCTAGGTTTAATGTATATCTTTTTGTATTGATAGTCGCAACCAATCCGACCCGCTAATACAACAACGAACAGTAATATTACAAGCAGTATCAATCCTGCTCGATCATCATTAATTGCTCAACAATTATCAACTGCACAATCAGCTACTCTAATGTCAACAATAGTTCAAACATCAAATATTCAAGTTCCACCGTAATGATTTTTTTGTTTTCTTTACTAAAAAATGCTCTTAAATCGTCTATCAAAGATCAAATAATGTCACTTTTCAACGAAGTCCTCTGAATAACAACAATAGTCCATTTTCTGTAAATATACAAACAATCCCATCACAATCATCATCATCATCATCATCATCATCAACAACAACAACAACAACAACGACTAATAACTCAGCATCATCAGTTAACAATTATTCATCGCCAATCAATCGTTCATTACCAATATCAGGTTAATAGTTTATATCTTTTTTAGTATAATTATTTATTTAATTAAACTTTGAAAATAATTATTTTGTAAAAGTTTAATCTTAACTAGAATACTTTTTTTATTCGGTACATTATCGAATAGTTCTCAACCTATGCATGATTTTGTTCCAGTCTTTGTAACGTGCAATCGATTCCGAAGAATGATGATAGAGACATGATAAATAGGACGAACTTTTCAAATAACCTTTTATGTCTTGCATAAACAGTACATGTTCAGGTAGAGAACATATTTTCAATCTAGAAGCGGAACCATTCTCACACGAAAATGTTTGAGTCGTTCACAACAACAAGATTACCTAATTGATTCTAGTCGAATAAAGTTCTTGTTTTCTAGTGGAATTCATTAGATTTTCTTATTATTATGAGTAGTAGCCGCAAAATTAGACGAGATATCAGTAATCAGTGGTTTTGAGAACATGCTATTTAGTTTATTTAGATTGATATTCACTAGGAAACGATCATTTTAATCACCAAATCAATTTAAGAAGATATTATTTATCTATTCATGTGATGTATTTAAGAAAAAAATAATAGAAAAAAATAAACTCATTCGTTTGCATTGCATTCCTGTTTACATCATTTTTGTCATCTTTTTTTATTCCCCTTATAAATATTGTGTATGTTAATTTCTATAATTAATCTTATTTCTGCTGAAAAACGTATGATAAGATGTAGTAACATGATAATGTTTTGAATAGTTTTCTAATCACGAGTAACCGAAACGTTCAATCGTCTTCTGTCTAAGAAGATTTAAAAATGATGTATTTTTTTCTCTGAATGACCCTTAGCAGTCAATATATTAATGAATCTTGCCCTAAGAAAGTCATGAGATGTATTGCACTTTCTAAATGTAGTATGTCAGATACCTACTCTCTAGTTCAAAAACCTAGTTTTTCTACTGATTCTAAAGGATTGTCATATGAATAGTATTTTTATCAAGTTTGTTATCGTGTTTCATACATACGCAGATTGTACATAATAGACTACTGTTTGCTGGAAAGGTTAATAAAATATTACAACAATCTGGTATGTGAGATTCTCCGAAAGGTTCAATTTTTATTTCACATCATTTTCAAATCATTCTGTTATTCATTGATCAAATTATCAACTACATCTATTCTCATTGTTACTCTCTTAGTTAAATAAGCAAATAAAAATCATTTTTGATACTTTCTAGTATCTACTAAAGTTGGACTTCTATGTATTTTATTATCTTCTCTTAGATAAACTCAATCTACTAAATATTTCGCCCTTCCAGGACGAAGAACAGACTGATGAGCATCTAGCTTTTAGCACACGTGAAAAAGAGTTATTCGAGTAGAGCTTCGTAAAATATTGGTCTATGAGCTAGCAGACACATTCACAAACGCTTTTATTGTATCAGTTGATAAGGAAGATTAAATATATATATGTATATATATACTGAAAAGAAATCAACACTCTTCAAATAAAATCTGTATAATTTTTCTACGTGTTTCTGATGCATGATAATAATAATAATAAAAACTTCAATAACTGAAATTCTGATACAATTATGCATATATATATTCAGGAAGTGGTGCCATTTCAAATCCTGATGAAGAAATCATCAATTTAATAAAATATCTAAAAGAAAATCTTAGTAAATTACAAGCAATATGTCTAAAATATACAAATGAAGGTATTTGAAAAAGACTTATTGTAAAAAGAAAATATTCTTCTTCTGTCTTTTTCTTTGAAACAAAACAAGGTCAACCAGATAAAGCTCGTAATGCACAAGCTATTCATCAACAAATGGTTCAATTTATCAATAATCCAACATATGAAAGCTTATCAAATGCAAAACATATTCGTGATAATCTTGAACGAGCTTCGGTACATACATATATATGCATATATAGACTTTTTTTATGTCATAGAAAAAATTATTTTATTAGAGTCGGCCACAACAATCGAATGTATCATTAACAACGGCACCGATGCCAAATAATCCAACAGGTCCTCAAGTAAATAATTTTCATCAATTCGAAAAAGCAATTAATGAATATATTTCACGTGATCCAAAAGAACGAATTTTTTTAAATAAATTATTTGTTGAACCATTAAACAATGTTATCGATGGTTTTCCACATAAGTGAGTTCTATTTTTATATTTTAACAGAGCATTGAATTATTTTTGATTTATCATTATATTTTAAAATAGGAAAATGCGTCTTGATAATGAGACTAATTTAAATAAAGTTAGAACAACAGAAAATTTCTCTCCATTAAATCAATCGTCATTATTATTTCGTCTGAATGATGAACTTGTTTTATTACCAACTAATATTTTTCTAATTGAATATTTACCACTATCACATACTATAGTAAATAATGAAGTCAATGATGAATATTTAAGTAAAAATGGTATTGTTCTTCGATGTAAACTATCAGAATTACCATATCCTCTTGTACCACCATTACGGTTACGTATTTCAACACGTTATCCTCAAGAACAACCAGAAATTTTATCATTATCACAAGCAATGCCACCAAAACTTGAATTTACAGGTAAAAAAAGATTTCGCAATGAGCTTTATCAATCATATTTTGTTTATTTTTTTACAAATTATTTCTTTTAATAATCATTTGTAAAATCAAATAAATATTATCGTTCAAAAAAGTATCAATGTTTTCTACGCAAAAACAAACAAAAAGAATATTCTCGAATATTACACGAATCGGACTAAAGTATTTTATCTAGATCAAAAATTCAGAATACATTAGTTATTTGAAAAGAAAACTGTCATATTCAATCTTACATGTGTCATTCACATAGTCTTTGTGATCTTTGTCCCTTGGGAAAAAGCACTACTTAATTAAAATTCTTTTTTTGTCTTTAAATTTTTACTGACCGCTATAGATTGGTAAAATGTACAAACTTATTTAAAATAGTGAATGCTAATGAAATATTTTGAAACTTTTATATCAGCAATTAACTAAGTCAACAAAGAGAAATGCATCTTACGTTACATCTTGAGACACATAAACGCAATAGTGAGCGGTATTGAAATAAAATGATATTCTTAAAAGTTCTTGACAAGAATTATTTGCATTTATTAGTATTCTTTCACATAAGTATCTTAGACTGATTTATTCTACCTGAAGCCTAATAATGAATACCGCCAAGTATTTTTCAAGTAAATTTCTTTTTCTTTTTCAATATGTTAAAAACAACCGACAACAATAAGTCAATAAATATTAAATCGAACAAGGACATTATTTTATTTTCTCTATTTAGATGATCATCCATTTTTTCAACGAATTTCGGCATTATTTGTTTCTTATCTTTTTAAATTACCTTCTCGGCATACTGTGACTGATATTCTTAATATTTGGGTAATTTTTTCTTAGTTGATAAATATTTACATTTATTGTACTCGACTGATACGTTTTAGCGTCAATCCGTCAAAGCTGCTATGTAAAAATTGATGACAATGCATTGCTTATTGATATTGACATGTATACTAACTAAAAGATTCAATACAAAAAGACAAAAAGGACTTTCGAAAGCATACCCGTGAAATTAATTAGCTGTTTTTTATCGATTTTTTTGTTCCGTTGATTTTTTCTCGTGGTAGAATATTTTTCTTTTTCTCCTGGTTAAGACTGATCGTTTATATTTAAAAAAATTATTGACAATGATCCTTGCTTTACCCAGGATAGAAAACCAATTGTGATTGATTTTTGTTTGCTGTTTTCTCTGCGTCTTTCAAAATATATGTTAGGAATTCAGTATTTATATATATATGTTGTGGTCAAAATTCAAATCCAGCCAAATTTTTAATTTTTCCGAGCAAACTTCTAATTTGAATTCTGTCTGGGCAAATTTTAAATTTGACTGGATTTGAATTTTGGCCACAACATATATATATATATATACGTTGATTTCCTTCAACTATGTTTAGTCTTGATTGTATCTCCTCGTATTTTCTTTTTTTTCAGTTGTTTTCAAAAGAATCTCTGAGGTTATTCATTGAGTATATAAAAATATAGATACTATTATTGGTTTTGCTTTCAACATGTGCGCATTTTATTTCTTTCTTCTTTTGTTATTTTGGTGTCTTTTTTATTATATACACAAAATAAGCGTGAAAAAGATGAGAAACTTTGAAATAAAACAAAAAAAAAGAATTTAATAAGAAGCGTTGTTTTTTTTGTCTAACTAATACATGGAATGTTGTTAAATAAAACACACACACACACAAGTAATCATTGGCCTAAATTTATATGTTGGTTATTTGTTGTTTTTCTTTTGTTCTAGAAATCTAAGATATATGAAGTGAGTTTAATTCTTCGGTAAGTGGATTAGCTATTTCTTCCGTTTTTGTTGGCTCTTCATCTTTCATTTGTTCGTCATTTTCTGTTGTTTCTGCATTTGTTGTTGCTTTATCAGTAGTTGCTGTTCCATCATTAGTTGTTGTTTCGTCATTTGTTAATGTTTCTGTGGATGGTAGTGGTGGAATCGGCTCAAGCATCGTTTTGAGTAAATCGATACGATCCATAATGGCTGTACATTTTTCGCGTAAATACACACGCGATTGTTCAGTACCTTCAGTAAACATTAATTCTTCTAGAAGGAGATCAACACAAATACGATAGAGATGTAATGCAGCGGGATATTTTTTTTGTTCATCATATGTTTGAGCTAAATGCAATATTGAAATAGTAGAGGAAAGTTTTTTTCGTTTTCGTTTTTCAACTTTACCTTCAGTTAACATTTGATGAGCAGCGGTAATTCGAATAAATTCATCGTCGTCAACTTCTTGTTGTTGTCCTTCTTGCTCGATTTGAGCAACTACCAATTGATTATCATCAGATTTGTTTTCAAGAAAACCATCGCTTTGATCATTGATAATATCTTGGATAGATTGTTGTTCACTAGTGGAGTCACTTAATATAGCGACAGATAACATTGTTGAATCATTTTCATGAGACGGTATTGTTTTTGATTCAGTCGTCACCGCATCTGTCAAACATTCGTTGTTCTTATTAACCATTGTCAAAGATATTTTGAGGTAAAATTCATGAATAAATAACCAAAACGATGAAAAAAAGTAAAAAATCTAAAATAAAGTTCATTATCTACTATATATAAACCATATCGAGACGTTTGCTCAACTTTCTTTTTTTCTTTCTTTCGTATTGTACTCGTACAGAAGTGCACCTTGACAAAAATTGTCCTGTTATGTTTTTTTTTCTTTTTCGCTCGCGGTCGTAGTAATCGGTTTATTTCGAGAATGACTATACCGTTAATATCAGACAACCACTTAACAGACAGAACGAAACAAATGCAAATAGAAAACTTTGTTCTTTTCTTTTTTTTTCTCCCGTTTTCTTTTTTTGAGTTTCTTCAGATATTAATTAGCTATCGTAAAGCAATATTAAATCAAATGGTTGATGATGATGAAGCACCATTGATCTATGGTGTGGAATTTCAAGTATGACAATAAATATATGTAATTTGGAAGATTTTCTTTTAAATTATAGGCTCGAGCATTATGTGCAGTTAGTGGTGTGCCGGATGATGATACAGTTCGTTTTCTAGTTGGTACTCAATCAATTAAATTTGAAAATCAAGTACGAAACGACGAAAAAAAACTATGAGTTTATTTTTATGTTTCATTCTTTTCTGTTTCAGGTTCATTTTCTCGAATATGATGAAGAATCAGGTTCATTAGGAAAATCAATTTATGCTCATCGAGCCGGAGAAATTTGGCGCATGACTTCATCGCCAAATGATCATCGTCATTTTGCAACTGTCTACCAAACTAGTAAAAATTATTCCCATATAAAATATAATTTTAATGAAGTTTTCTCTAGTTGAAGATACAAATGTTGTTAGTAAATGTACTGTATGGCAAATACCAATAGATGCTACAAATGATCAATCAAATTCTCTAACTATTGATGATTCATCAAACCAGCTTCATCAACCATTACGAAAAAAATTTGATTTAAATGTTCCAAACTCAAATATAATAGAGTAAGAAATGGATAAAATTAATTATTTGATGAATACGGTTTTTCTCACCTAGTGTTGAATGGGAAATAAATGGTGAACGAATAGGAACAATAAGTGAAACAAATGTTTACATATGGAATGTCGAACAACATGATTCACCACAAATATTATCAACTGGTTCAATTGATTCAAAAAGTGGTGCAAGTCATAAATTATCTTGTTGCCGATGGAATCCACATATAAGCACCAATCAATTAGCTACTAGTCTTGGCCCTCATATACGTGCTTGGGATTTAAGAACTATGAAGTAAGTGTCTGTTGTTTAGAGTTATTCGAAAATAATACATTTATTTTTTCTTAGATGTTCCTTTTCGATCGATAATGCTCATCTACCATATGTTCGCGACATTGATTATAATCCTAATCGTCAATATCATTTAATGACATGTGGAGATGATTTTCGAGTTAAATTTTGGGATGTGCGCAAACCTAATGAATGTTTGAAAATATTAACTGATCATTCTCACTGGTTCGTCTGATCTATTTTATTTTTAAATATTTATTTAGTTATCGAGATCAAAATTGTAAACATTCTATGATACCTGATCGAGTCTTAACAAAGAAACCTATGATGATTTTTATAAATAGACAGAAAAAAAACAGGATGAGTTCTATTTAAATATCCTATATTATCTAGTTGAATCATCTTTTATTTTCTCAACGTTTCGACTATGTTCATAAGTAAAATAATTAGGAGCTCTAATCAATATCTGAAGGGTAGAGACTTGAATGAAATCTATTTTGAACCGTACTAAACACATTACAGAAAAATTCATATTAAAAATAAGAGTCATTTCTTTTTCGTAGAGTATCCTGAATAAATATATGCATGTTGAAGATTCTAGCAACACTGTATGAACGTATTAGGATAAAAACAAAATACTGCTCAAGTTATATTGAAGCTTGATTTTCTTTCATATGGCGATATACAGTGATTAGAAGTTGCTAGAGCCTTCAAAATAGCATCATTTTTTTCGATGAATAATAGCAAGAAAAATCTATGACTAAAAAAAGTTCCTATCATAACAGTCGAGTTTTTACAAGAGATTTCGTTAATTTCAAAAAAAGATCGATTGTAAATCTTCTTTTAAGACATGATATAAGTTTTTGGGGCTATAGTTTGAAAATATTATTCATTTTTGATATTTCTTTAGGGTATGGTCAGCAAGATACAATCATTTTCACGATCAACTTATAGTAACTTCAAGTAGTGATACTCGTGTTATTCTATTTAATATAGCTAGTCTATCATCAGAGCCATATGGCAGTTTAAATGTATCTGATGATGCAAAGTAATATTTTATCAGAAATAAAAGCTGAAGCAAATATTTGTTTTTGAAAATTTACTTTAAGGGAAGAAGTAGAAGAAATAGTTAATGAAGATCGTCTCGTACGTATATTTGATGAACATGAAGAATCAGTTTATTCTGCTCAATGGGCATCGAATGATCCTTGGCTACTGGCATCGCTCAGTTATGATGGGCGTCTTATACTTAATCGTGTTCCAAAAAATGAAAAATTTCAAATTCTTCTTCGTTGTCCAACTTAAATAAAACGAAATAAAACGAAAACAAAAGAAAATTTTTCATACAGACAATCGATTTTTATTTTGAAAATGTTCGTAATTATGTAAAAGACGAATTAGCTCGTTTATGGAGACATCAATGATTGTAGAAATGATGATAAACTAGATTGTAAAGATGATGATGATGCTAATGGCAAAAATGAATAAGCTGCACGAGTTGCTGGTTGTAATGACTCATTGGAGAATAGATCATATGCATACTTTGTATATTCATGTAATTCTGGTCGACATGCAAGACTCTATAAAATAGAAGAATTTTTCTTTAGATTTTGCTCATTCATTCATTTATTTATTTATTTATTTATTTAATGGTTTTTCTTTCAAATATAAAATCAATCAATAGCAAATAAGCAAAGGATAGAGAGTTTTATTTTATTTTATTTTATTTTCATTTCATTCTATAATATGACGAATTGAAAAATAATTTTATGCAGAACTCAATCAATTAGTTTATAATATCAATATATATTTTACTTGGGCTAGATTAATAACAGTTAATTAGGCAGTTAAATATGTTTCCACAGACTAATTCACATTATATTGTTTAAAGTTGAAAAATCGATACACTGATGGTTATCTAGTTAGGATAATGATTCGAACCATTGAAACTTTAAGAACAATGTACTCTATTCTGTCGTCTCATCTAGTTTAAAGTCACTAGTAACCGAATATTGACGTATGGTAGATAAATCATTACTATTCTATACTATTATGTCTGACACAATAGATTACATTCTGAAAATAGGCTATCTGATATGAAAAATATAGTAAAATACAATTTTATTCTTGCACATGTTAGTTGATGAGAACGTTATGGAAAATGAATACTTACCAATGTGCCTATTGCTTTGACTAGTGAGTATCAGATAACTGTTCCGAATGCTATAGACGATATCAAAGACACGACCAGCTATCAACATATTATTACTTAAATAACGATAAAATCAAAGGATACATGCATATACACATCAAGGCACTATTAAGACTTGTAAAAATATTCTCGAAGCTTCTATCAAGATGAGATTATCATATTGATTTGTTTTACTAGTTATTTATAACATATTCTCTATTTTATATAAGATCATTTTTATAGCGTTATATATATTAACTCAAAATTCATGAGACTTATATAAGATTTTTTCAATCTTATCTAACTCGTATAAATATGCTAATTAGTTGATTTTTTTTAAAATTATCTATGATTAGATTGACTAAATAGACCACTAAGTCTTGGTTGATTTCTATTTGAAATCAATAAACTAACAATCCTAATAGTGATATCCTTTCTATTTCGTAAGAGCCATCAAATTTTTGTAGAATATCTTTCCTTAAAAAGAATAAATAAAATTCTTTATCTTTTGAAATGTTTTTTTGAACTTTGAAATAGAATTTCATGAAAACTTCTGACCTGAAAATGAAGCATAAGTTGTTCATGATGGCTTGATAATTCTGAATAAATGTTGTTACTTATTGGAATTATTTTAGCAAACGGTATTTGAACTTCTATAATTGCTGTTGGATCATGTCTAAGAATAAAACAAATAAAGCGCAAAAAAATCAAAAAAGAGATAAAATGTTTAAATTCTATTACAATTGATTTTTGGACGAATTAACTGTCACTGTTGAGGATTTAGCCATTTCTCGAGCAAACGCATCGTAAATATTTGAAAAACTTTGATCAATTATTTGGATCAATACGCGTTGAAATGTATCACTAGAAAAAAACAAAAGGTAAAATTTTCAATAAAAACTAATGAGTAGAAAATTGAACCTTTCAATCATTTCAATACATTCAATTTCAAATTGTTGTTGAACATTAAAAACTGATGATGGTGAATGTGTTCGTTTCGTAAGTATGGAGCTAGGCTAGAATTTTAGCATTCTTGTGTTAAATGATTATAGCATAAAAAAGGACTAACACAAAAACTTACTGTTGTTACAGCATTGGAAAATGAATAACCTGATGTTGTTGTTGGTTGCGATGGTCGTGCTGGTAATGCAGTTGAACGAACATATTTAAGTAATGGATGATGATTATTTATTGATTGATAACGTTTCTTTTCAATTTGATGACGAATTTCACTGCAATACCATATAATATCATTTATATCAAGCATTTGTTGAAGCGAAACTCTAATTAATCAAAGAATAGATTTCATGATTAATTTAAAAAAATATTTTACCGTGAAAGAATTGATTGAGTAGCTTTGCGAACATCCTCAATTAAATTGTTCATTCCTTAAAAACAAACGGAATCAATAAAATAGTTACGGCATTCGAATAGATAATTAAATTCTAACCTGCATCTGTTGTATAACGAATAACATCGAGACAAGCTAATTGAATATCCCGTGAAAGTAATGAACTTTGATCATGAGTCGACTATGTAAAGAAAAAAACAATAAAAAAGTTTTCATTTAATTTTTTTTTAATTTAAATTTTACTTCAGCGTGTGATGATTTACTTGTTGCTGATATTCCACCAGCGGTTGTTGTTATATTGTGTTCCCTGATTGATACATGCTGTAATTGAGATTGAGAATAAAGTCGACCGCTTAAAGCACTAACAACTAATTCAGTTAAAGCCAATACAAAACTTGAACTGTAAGCCAAAGTAAATAAACGAGCGAAACCTGTTAAATAAAAACGATTTGAACATTTAGCTGCATTTTTTAAATCGAATAACGATCATAAAAAAAAGATTTTCTAGTCTGTTTTTTGTTTCATTTACATTCAACTCGTAATTGTTCCCACATTTCACGTTTTTCCGTTGAACTAGAAAATAAAAATAAATAAAACTTCTACATACATTGTTTTATTAAAAACATACTCGGATATTGTTGATAATCTATCAAGAATATTCTCACATTGAAATCTAAGATTAATGTTAAGTACAACTTGTGCAAATATATCGGTACCTATGAAATGAAGATTAATGAGAATGAGAATGAGAAAGAAACCTTTACATATGAACTAACTCGTTCTTAAACTTGTATCACGATTATGTTCATAATAGAGTTGCTTTTTCCACTCCGTCATCATTTTATCTTGGTCATCTAACATTGTTGTTAATTTCCCATTTATAAAACGAAATACCGCGTAACCACCTGAACATAACAATAATAGTATATATGTAAAAAATATATGAAAGACTTCAAAGTCTATCCCATAAGCAGCTATCTATTAGCTGTTCCCAAAAGTCATGTTTCATTTAAAAAAAACTCATTTGGCAAATCACTATTGAATTTAAATTTTGACAAAACTATTCGAGTGTTCATATTAGCCTTGACGATTTAATAAAATCTTACCCAAATACTATTAGCAGATTAGTGACGCATGATTTCACAAATACAAATACTTCTCCAATAAATACACCGATAGAATGATCATCAATAAATTAAATCATTTAATATCAAGCTGAACTTTCTATAGCTAATATATCGCTCAATTCTATATTTAAAAGAAAAGACTGGAAAATTCTTTTTCTTATTTTGACCTAGAAGAATTTCACTGATTTTTTTTCTTTCTTTCATCATAGCAGTATTCTGTACATTCTTTTATTCAGTTTCAACTTCGAGTTTCATCGAGACAAAAATTGCCTTACACTAAAACGATCCCCAGGAGAATGAAACCTAGCCTAGGATCCGATTGGTTCCTATTGGAATCCGACGGAGCTCTTCGGAAGGCGCAGGGAAACTATTGGATTATCGTCGGATTCCTGGTTCCGGAATCGATATCGGATCCTAATATCGGAAACTAATAAAATCCGATAGTAACCGTAAATCGGAACCGGAATGCTTCGGATTTCATTGATTCCGACAATCGGATATCATTGGAAATACGACTGTCGGATCCGACATTGATTCCTCAACCAGGAATCCAACGGGATTTCGTCGGATGGTAGGACCCCATAGAATCCGATGGGATTCGGTATCGGATTGATTCGCCTGGGTCGTTTAGTTTTCTTAAATGTAGAATCAAGATTTGCATTAGATATGCAAAAAATTTCAACCTGATATTAGATGATTTTGATATATGACTTTAAGTATGTTGTTGAAAACGAAACATTATCAATTAATAAATTCAGAAGTTATCCTTTGTAAAACGATAAATCAGATGTATAATATATGATTTTTGACGTTAAACAGTTTGATGTTTGCATTTATTGATGATCATTCTATCGATATATTTAATGAAAAAATACTCTTATTTATGAAATCATGTGGCATCAGTCTGTTAATAGTATTGGGATAAGATTTGAAAAAAAATCGCCAATGTAAACATGCATTCAATAGTTTCGCAAAAAAACCTTTTGTATGTACATGAAAGATGCGAATTTCAATAGTACTTTGTAGATACAGTTCAAGTGCAATACTTATATGATAGTATCTATCTTAAGTATTAGAAATATATCAGAAGAAGTTACTTGATAAAGCTCAATTTTCACGTTTATCCTTAGTTAAAAAAATTGTAAAGACGTTGTTGTTTTTTTCTCATTATGTTCTCACGTTAAAATAAAACGTTTGAAACAAAGAACCAATCTACTTATAATTTAGAAAAACTGGCAAAGAAAACACGTCTAATTGAGGTTAATCGTAAAAATCGATTGGTATTTTTGGTAACTGATCTTTTTTCTCGTAGCAAAAGTATTGTTTTTCTTCTGTAATATTTAAGTAAACTATACTATTGGTGCATTAGAAACGAATCAAACTATTGGCAAGATAGTTGATGATTCTAGCAAAAACTTCAAGGTAACATCTGTTTCAATCTGAGTAAACGAAGGTCAATTCAAAATGATAGTAACAATATTTACCTCCTGAGAGTAATGATATAAGAAAAAGTTTTCGCCGATGTCGTTTTATGAACTGCCAAATCATGATAAATGAAATCTGAAAAACACAACAAACAATAGCTTTTTATTCTCGATACAAAATGATTATGATCTCCCCAAAGAATATAAATAACAAAAGCAAAATTCATGTCAAAATTTCTCCATAAAGAGAAAAACGCTGTTCAAAAGTTAAAGCCGAGCATGTCAATAGACTATAATTTTTCTTTATGACTGCATGTAATTCTTCTTTATCTTGATTTAATAATATATTTCCTAACCATCTTATTTGTTCTTTTGACTAAAACAGATATTAAAAACAAATTAGTAATTTTGTTACAATTATTTTACCAATGAGTTTTTTTCAAATACATCCGATGATGTTTCATCGAATGGCGATGAGGTACAACAATCAAGTGAACCAATATCAATCGGATGTGCTTCAGTATTGTAAACATAGCCCGTGTCAAGAAAACATGATCCTATTTATATAAAAATCAATATTGAATAGCGCAAGGACAAACGAATATGTTCAATTTACCAGATGCAGTTCGATGTTCAGTAGCATATTCCCCATTCGCATGTAAAAAATTATTTTCATCAAATATTAAATAAAGATATTTTATTGTTTCAGCAAGAAAAAATGATTCCATACGATTATCAAGTTGATGATCTTTTACGTTTTTCAACTAAAAACATGTTTGTTTGTTTTTCGAAATTATAAATTAACAATGAACAAAATTCAACAAGAAAGGTGAATTTACCGATGTATATCCACATGATGTTTTACAACAGGATTCAATTGAATCAAATATATCAGCAGCCATAAACAACAATGTATCATCATCAGTTGCTTTTGACAAGTACATTATTGATTCAATGTGTTCTATATGATATTTCAATAGGACAAAAAAAGAAGCAAGAACTAAATAGTTATAAGAGAAAAAGATTTTACCTGGTCTTAGTGGATAACCTTCTCTTCCTTGCATACACTCTTGTTGTGCAAGATTATAAAACTCTGGCATTGAACCATATTTTCTCCACATTGTATGATATGCGTATAAAGTTTCACGTGCTCGATCAAGTTTACCAAGTAGAGTCTAAAGATATAAAACTTCAACACTTCTTTTTATTAAAAAATTGAATTTGTCTCTCAGAATTTTGACAATATTGACCTCTAATGAAGCATAGAAATTCGAGATGTGCAATGTTACAATATCATGCTGAATGTACGGTAACCTGTAAGCTAGAACATTTTTGTCAGTCGCACAGTACAGATTACGAGAAAAAAAAAGTTCTCCTACACACATCTAATACAAATTAATCATACTGTTGGTATATATAGGTAGTAAATGAAAAAACATAAACTAACAATAAAATGCGGACTTATTAAAAATATTAATATGTATATATTTGAATGTATCTCACCAACAAACCTGGATAAAAAGCATCCAGTGATGCAAATAATGGCATTGTTTTTCGACCTTGTTGATAATTTGCGAAAACAAACCATCCACTTCCATCGCTCATATGTGTATCAATTGCTTTTATATATTCTAAAATTTTCATGTTAAAAATAAAACCAATAATCAATTTATTTACCATTCATCATATCCATTAATTCTGGATGTCGAAATAAAAGAGCACCTTTTACCAAATATTCAAAGTAAGAATCAACACCAGTACCAATTGTGCAATCATTTGCTGTCCATTCACCTGTTTGAATATTTATATGATTTCCTATCTAAATTGATTAGTGTACATATTTTGTAATTCTATGATTTTCTTTTTTTTACAAGATTGATTGATGATCGCTTTGACCAAAGAGCTCGCAATGCTTTTAATGCAGCACGTTCATACTTTGGATCACCGGTAAGACGAGATAGTGTTCCAAATTCAATTAAAAATGTCCCACCGCCAGCGGTACATGTTATATTTGTTTCTCCGATTGGTACACCCCAAACTAAATTTATTGTACCATAAGGAATTCCTACAAATAAAAATATTTCAAATAGAAACTAGAATACTCATTTGAATTCACCTGTTTCAGTATCAAAAGCTAGAAAGGAAAAACACAAAATTGAAATAAAAGTGATAAATTCATTTTTTGTACCTGGTAAAAGTTTATTGGCAAGAGCAACAGCAAGATCAAGTAACGGTCCTGTACATGGCCATGTAGAATTAACAGAAACATTCATACGTTTGGCAAGAAGATGAGCAGAAAGGAGACCACCAATAACTAAATCAATCGAACAAATCAAAAAATATATCGAATGCTCTTCTTCATAAAAATAATCAACCATCTGTAAACGCATCGATGTTGATCAATTCTATCTGTTTGTTAAATAAATTTTAAAAGGGATGTTGAAGATTATAGATACAAATCAGTATTTTTTTATCAGAGACAGTGATCAAGAGCATGCCAACGTCTCTTACTGGATATTATGAACTAGAACAAACATCTTATACATGCCTCTATCTCTTTGCGATTAATTGCAGACACTTAAGTAACGTTTTTTCTTTTTTCTTATTGTCTGCAATAAGCTGAATTATGAAATTAAATACTTATGAGAGATTATTATGAGCAAATATTGAATTCATGATAGATGCCTTCGGGTCGTTTTCTAAAATTGCTCTAGCACATTCTTAACAATATCTTTCATCACGAATATATCGGTATGTTCAAAGACATGAATAAGTTTTGTTCTATATTTTAATCTCTTAACGATTATAATTACAGATTATTTTAAGCTTTAGGTTATTCAGTTTAATGAAGTTGTTTAAACCTAACCAAATTCAATAACTTTATTGAAAACTTTGATATAAAAAGAATATAGTAAACGAATTGTTGAAATCAACTTTAATGAAAAGAAATCACGTGACACAAACGACCGAGGAATTGATTTATATGTATATTACACTCAATTAGCAGTATAGGCAATAAATATTATGACCTTGCTAGATCATATAAGACACATTTTAACGATATGTTCAGTGAACAAACTCTATAATAGATATTTTTCTGTAAAATCGATTATATTTTGTGGCTTGTTGTCTAATAGACTAGCCGATAAAAATTTTCTCAGACCTCGTTTCTAATTCAATAAACTTTCAGAAAAGAAAAAACTGATATCATGATGAAGGCCTACAATACAGATGAACTATTTTCGTAGACAATACCTCGAATATTTGTTTCAAATACACTAACATTAATATCACGTTCAATATCTAAACTTTGAATAATTGTGTAAACACGAGAAAATTCTGTACTATTGCCAAGTGTAGCTAATGTATCAATTGCATCAACAAGTGACAATGAATAACTAGAGTAGCAAACAAAATTTTTATTAGAAACTTATTAGATGTGCCATTCTTTTTTACCTCCCCCATGTATCATAACTAAAAATTAATAAGAAATGCGAAAACTCTTTAAAAAGAAACAATCATTTGTGTCTTACCCATCGCATGTTAGTGGACGTAATTCATCGTATGGATAAGCATATTTTAAATAGGAATCATATGCATGATAGAACATTTGCTTCACACGGTTTCTAAAGGAAAACTTATAGATACATATATTTACAAAACGAAAATTGTCTACTTGTATTGTAAACGTTTTGAAGTTGAAAATTGCCCCTCATTGCAATACACATGAGAAACAAATAAAAAACTGATTATTAAAATAAATTCTTTATCACAGAACATATTCTAAACATGATTTGTTAAAAAAGTTAATTCAAATCTCATTTTGTATCAATTGTGTTGTTTTGTTTTGTTTTTCTTGTTTACCCATCGGTTAACGTACAACACATCAGATCAATATAAGAACTAGCATAGCATTTTTCATTGGTATTTTATATGCCAATGAAAATTTATCATTGAAAACATTTGATAGGCTTAAAATGAAATTCAACTATAGGATTGTTCTGTTTTGTTTTCTATTTGGATTTAAATAGTGAATATAGAAAATAAACTATCGACTATCAATTTATTATGGGCAATGACTTGTCATCGACAACAGCAGGGGCAGCACGAACACATATTCCACTTGATGATTCAGTTTGTTGGCAACTTTACAATGGAATCAATGAACAATCAGAACCTATTTCAATTTTTATAGCTAAACAAACATATTCTGTTGAATGCCGACGATCAATACAAGTAAATATTTTTACTTTCTCTAATAGACAGTTGAAATGAAATATATTATTCTATATTGTTTGCAAAATATTTCAAAGCTCATCCTACATCGAATTTTATTTTACGATCAATGATAAATAATCAGTCATCCGATCAAGATTTATATCATTAGGTAGAAATTTCCTCTCTGATTCGAGGACATACTTGAAACTTGATATTCCAGAGGATTCATTTTATTTTAAGAATGAAAATAAATAGATTAAGTGAGAAAAATTCTACGTTAAATTAACTTCAAGTTCTAATATTGATCAAAACATTATTGAGAAATGTAAGAATTTTTCTTTTATTTATTTAGTTTTTAAAAACTATTCGTCATCCAAATATAATCAAATTTTATACTGGTTTTAAAACATTTATTGATCATGATAGTTTTATTGCTGATTGTGCACATCCATTAGCAAATAAACTACATACCAATGATATTGATTTGTCAGCGAAAATTTGTTTAGGCCTCTATCAATTATGTCAAGCTTTAGAATTTCTTCATGAAAAAGTAAACATAAAAGCAAATAATAATTTCAAATTCGATGCAATTATTTTCATTTTATTTTTTATCTAGGCATCAATTAGTCACAATAATATTTGTTTATTATCGATTTATATATCTTTAAATGGTATGTGGAAATTAGGAAATTTCGAATGTGCATGTCGTTATGATAGCATTAATAAAAAGTTTTTATCATCTTTAAAAATGATTCGATCTGACGAATGTATTGCGCCTGAAGAAGATGACAAGGTTTCAATTCTATTGATTATATATCTCTTGTAGTATTTGTTACTGACTTTTTTAGAATTCAACCGAATTCGATAAAGAAAACATTTATGCTATTGATATATATGCATTTGGCACATTGATTCACAATCTCATGACAATCGTTAATGTTGACGGTAAAAAAATGTTTTGTTTTTGTTTATAAAATTAATCTGAAGGACTTTGAAAAATTCATCTTTGACATGTAGATCTGTAACATTTTTGCCTTTATTGGGCATAATTTAGTGTACCATTCATAATCATAAATTTGCATACGATGTGTCTCTTCCATTCAGAGTAACGTGGAGTGATCTTGAACGTGAGTATCTAATACCGATCAACTTGACATGTGTTTGTACAAGTAATTAGACTAATCATACCAGTATACGCTTTTCTTCTCCATTGATATGTATTCAAAGGGTAATATCGATTTCAGCCTTACATGAATAACTATATACTCCTATTTCGAATATTTGATAGATATATTAGTTTAGTTTATGCAATTTAAAACTGTGGAACTGAATGTATATTTGTTGACTGTATAACTCAACGTCAATTGACATCTAATTAGGAGTTATCCATGGTGATGCGTATAATCAATTAATTATACATTCCCTAATGAAGTTTTCAATAATAAAAACTAAACGAGTATGACAATTACTATTTTCAAAGTAATAGCTCACAGTAAATTGATCGATATAATTACTACCAACAAGACATTCACTGGTCAAAGCATGTCTTATAGCAGTCGGATCAATATATATGTTTATAAACTAGTCAAGCAGAGGGAATTACATTTGAAAAATTTTTCTTATTAGAAAAACGAAACGATTTTTTTACTTTTAAGTTCAGAATTTGTGCTATCTACCATTTACTGGTAGAGAAACCTTTTTTTTCTCACAAGGACTTATTATTTTATTGATTAGATTCATTAAAAAGTGTTTTAAACGATTTACAAATATCTCTCACTGAAGAAGATCCGCAATCGCGACCAACTTGGCCAATGCTCCTGAAAACACAGCTATTTCAGTAAGTTTCTACTTTTTGTTTTTGAAAAAAAAACTCGTGATGGAAACAAAATTTTCTTTTAGAATAGATTATATTAAAGCAATAGAACTTCTTGATCGTCTACCTGCGATTGATGAGTCAGATCTCTCCAATGTAGTCGAGTTCGCATTTTATTTCATTGTTATGTTTTTTTTTCTAACTATTTTATATTATTTTTTAAAGTTCTCTATCGACATACCTCAATAATCTTGATGCAGAATATTTTAATGACTTATTAATCCGTCGTTTATGTCTTCCATTTATGTTTTTATGTTCATCAACAAGATTAAAAATCATTCCACGAATAATCATACCTAAAGATGATAATAATAATTCATGGATTTCAATTGATAAGTATCGTACATATGTTATACCAGTTATAGTTGATCTATATTCTTATCATGTAACATGTATACGAGAAACATTACTTGAAAATTTTAATTCATATTGGCAGTTGATAGACAAAACAATTTTAACTAATCTTATTCTTCCACAGGTAAAATCTATTTTTGTATTCAAAAAAAAATGTTACTTTATGAATGTTATTTCTTCCATAGCTTATCTATGGACTTAAAGATTCAAATAATACAATATGTATGTTAACATTAGTTGCATTAGCTACGATGGTGCCCATTTTAGGTGCTGATGTAATTATTGGTGGAAAACGAAAACAAATATTTACTGATAAAATAAAGAAAGAGGTTGGTATTTCCTTTATATTAATAACAATTTGAATATTACTTATTTAAATAATAGCATGTTGGTCTCCCTAAAACACCGAAAGTACTATCTAGAACAAATTCTCCATTACCTATGCCACCAATTCCACAAGAACCAAAAAAAATCAGTCCAATTTCAATAAATAAAACCAAGTGAATTTTGAATTGTTTTATTGTGATTATAATGTAATATTTGACATTTTCTAGAGCTACTCAATTAAAATCGAATTCTGCGACTAAAACAAAATCAATCAGTAAAGATCAATCTCAACCATTGGATTCTGTTTCTTCACAATATACGAATGGAGATATTTCACCATTAAATGATTCTCTTAAAGAATCACGAACTATTGTTGTTCCAAACGGGCTTTCTAATGAACACATTGAAGACGATATTGATAATGATGATGGTCAATGGTCAGACTGGGAACATAATTCAGATCCAGCTGAATTATCTACCAATTACTCGCATGAATTACCTGAAACATCGACACTATCTTCCCCAGTGTTTGAACAATTAGTTCAACCAAAAGCTACTACCTCACCATTGAAAACTCTAAAACTCATTAGTCCTTCACAATCGAAATGGAATCCGAATGCACCATTAGGTAGTGAATATGAAATACCACCTGTTGTATTAACAAAATCGAAGTCAACAAAAGTAGATACATTAGCAATTCAAGATTCAGACGATTTCTTTAAAGATATGACACCAAAAGTAGAAACAGTTGAACTAATGCAACAACTAGAAACAATGTTTAATGTTAATTTAAATCATCCAAAAGAAGAAATGAAAATGAAAACAACATCAACATCATTTTCTGGTAAATTCGGCATTATGTCTCAAGATCAAAGTGGAAATCACGAAGCAGAAAGTGGAAATAACAATTGGGACGAATAAATATACTTCTTTTCTTCATAACTGAAGCCTTCTTCTTTTTTTTTATTTAAACAGTGATATAATTTAAATCATGTTATTTGACCTGGTGGTTACATTTTTCAATATTTTCTTTGGATTTTTATGTAAATTTAAAAATAAATAGAAAAAATCATCATATCAAAAGTTATCTCATTACGATTAAATGTCTTTATTTAAAATAATTATCACTAATTAAGACCTATTGAATATTTTTTACAGTCAGAGATGGGCAAGCCGAGCTTGACTGCCTTTGATTTGACTTGGATCGAAAATGTTTTAACTTGACTTGACTTGCGAATTGCCAAAAAACATAAGTCTAGTCAAGTACATTTCTGTACCTATGATGAATGTTAAGTTCATACACCCTGGCGTTATTCTTTTTGTTCTACTAGAAAGTAATACTGTTCAGTCAAACAAACCTTGAAAATAACGACGTTTTAATGCGCTAAAAGTGTACATTTCAGTGAGTTAAAATGCGTTTTCTACCATAAAAATCGTTAAGACGCACCAAAACATGCGCTTTTAATGGATAGAAACGTCGCTATTTTCAACGCTTGTCTGACTGGGTAGCTATTACATCATTAAAATACAGAAATACTGTTCGTTGCGATCAAACAACGATAAAAGTCATGAAATAATTGACTGGTGATTTTCATTAGAAATGCTATTATCTAAATACTGGTATAAGAGTAATAAAGCAGCAAGAATTTGCCAAAGTAAAAACACACGAATATAGTACTTTCTTTGAATGGTTATTATCAACCATATTAAGTTTTCCTAGGAGAAATAAATAGAATAATGCATCATCGTAATAGGTGAGTATAGAATTATGATGATAACTATTTCAGTCATAAATATAAATGAAGTCTTTGTTTCACCAAGAGTCTGATCCTACGTTAAGTTTAAAGTTGAAGAATTCTTGATGAATCTTGGTTATCAGTAGTTTTTTATTAATCAAATTTATTACTTATGAACATTTTTAGATTTAATGAATTAATTTAGTTCTTCTTTATAAAGTTGATTCGACTCAATATATATGGGTATATTCTATTTTTGCAAAAAATATTCATTACAACACATGAAATTACAATTTCCAAAACATTAATACCATATTACTATCTTTTTCTAATTTTTTTCAATGTTTAACGCTTCACTTGTTGATCAGATATGAATGATAGTTATACTTGTTGAATTAATTGGCAAGTATTTTGTGCAAAGACAACTTCAGAAGCATTTTCACATGTATGTGAAGAATGACAACATTCTATTAAACAATTGCATATATCAAAATAATATAGACTTCTATCATGTAATGATGAAGACTGAGGATCAATCTTTGTCAATATCTCATGTTCTAAAGGACGTGGAGTTATTTTCAATGATGTTGTATTTGAATTTGAACTTGTTACTGATATAAAAGTTGAACCACAAGATGAATGAGAACGGATATCACCTGTTAATGATACAATGGGCAGATTGTTAGGAAGATCTATTGTTGGAAAAGAAAATGTAGTATGATGCTTGCATAGTTTTACCATAATGATCAGCATTTTCTTGCTTGATAAAAGATTGAGATGAAGAATTTACTGATTTGATTACTGAAAAGACTTTTGAAGATAAAGGTGATAATCACCTAATGCGAAATATTTGTTCATATTTTACAGAAAAAAAAGTAGAATGGATAAACAGTTGAACATTGTTCATTATCGGGTTTTTTGAGTTTGAATGGATTTCGATGAATGACGAATGATCGGTTGCAAAGTGTTCCAATGAAAACTACTGGTTGTAGTATGTACCATTTTGATAGCATTATTTATAGACTATACAGCTATATAAATTTTGTTAGATTTCAATATTGATGGATTACTAAAGAGAACAGGTGAAGATAAGTAAAGTGGTAAATCAATCAATCAATTATATTAAATAAAATTTCTAAGTATGACTCATTACTTTTCAGACGGCATATAGAGCATGTCACTATCAATACAGTTTTTTATCATCAATTATATGATTATCATATTTTGTTTGCCTCTCATCATAAACTAAAAAGATTCTTTTGAGACAATCGTAGCGTCAATCAACAGATGAACATGTATTTGAATAATACTTTTGATCATTGAGCCGTTCTATTTTGGGGATTTCAGTTAAATAGGACTTCTGTTCTATGTTACATATGGTTCTAGAACGAGGAATAAAAATTGTTGTTGATGAGCCATCACCTGATTCTAACAACTATTTTTTAATGGTTACTAGAGAGTTTTTACTTTGATATCGATGAGTTTTCATGAGTCAAATTTCAAATACCAAAAGAAAATTGTAAATTTACCATGAAAACATTGAAAAAATTCAAGTGGGATTTGCATAAAAATAACATCTCAGATCAACATAGAATGAGAATGGAATACGCGTACATCAAATAGCTAATATGAATATAAACATGTAATTCAATTGTTGCATATCTGACAAATCGCAGTTGATTTCAAAGAACAGTACATACATACATAAACAAAAACAGAAAAAAATAAAACAACTGAGATGGATATAATTATTAATGATAAAACAATATTATTATATTTTGCTTGAAGAACAAGCAGTAGATTATATTAAATAGCAAAGATATGAAAATTCACGAATAATTAGAATTCTTTATACAGTCAATTGTAGTCAAAAATTTGTTTGTATACTTGTGACATACTTGAGTATCTTAAGAAAAGAAGTCTAGTGATATGAACGCATACTCAGACACTACTTTAAATTCTCTTAGAAACTTAAAAATTCAGAATCTTTCATGGCTTTTATATGAAAAACATTTCATCATGTATGAGGTAGGTATCATTATTTTTCATGTACTAATTACAAGTTATTTTGATTAGAAGAAATATTTTGACGAAGTCCATGTTATGCATTTTGTTTTCATCATAATCATGATATTAGATGTATGAAAATATTCAGTTCGATATCACGAAGCTTCCTTTATTTTTACAATTCTAGCATTTTGGCAAATTTTGGTAGCTGAACTTCTTGTTATTTCGTCACTTAGCATATTTATTCACTGGCTCGAATTCTTGCTCAAGTACTTATGTTTCTTATGCAAAAGCATGTAAAAGTAGTTACCAACAAAATATCTCATGAGATACCTTGCAAACTGCACTTTTTATGCAATTCAAATCTGATGCAATCCCAAACTTGTAATAGTTATACAATTCTATTTTATTCTCAGTGAAATTTCGTTAACAAAATATTCCGTTCTATGAAATTTATCTTCTAGTGTTGAGATTTAAATTATCAACAAGACTTTCTGTTTTATTTTTTAAATGCTTAGTAGCCCAGGTTTTTAAATAAATATTGTTTTTTGTGTATTAATTGGGTTAGATATAGTAAGAAGAAACAATGTTGTAGTCTGTAATATGTTATTTTACCTAGAAAAATCCACAAAATGATCAATTTTTCTCGGTAGGCATTGAATAGATCGCCTAAAGTTTGTTCATGTCATAGAGATTTTAAAAAATTGCGGTAGAAAAGCCGACTAAAGTTAGACTTTTTAGTTAACTGAACTAGTGACATCTAATGTTTCCATTAAAGATGAAATGAAATGAACTGGTTTGTTTTTCATGACATAATATATATATATATATATATATATATCTGTGTTGTTGTGTAACGTGCCATAACGTCTTAGAAATATATTTTATTGATTGACTATAGGGTGGTCGGTTAATGCCAGTAGTATTTACTCTTTCATGTTCTGTGTGGTCGATCGTTCGTAACTCATTGGACAGGAATATAAATGAGTCACTTGCACTATTTTTTACCTCGTCAAGATTTCACTGCATTTTTACTGTTATATAAATTTTAGATTCCACGTCTGAATTAGATTCCATAGAACAATGGCTGAAGACAATAAAGCACGGTAAGTAGTATTTCCTGGATAATTTATCATGTGAAATGTTTATTTTAGAGCCGATATTGGTCTCATTGGTTTGGCTGTCATGGGCCAAAATCTCATTTTGAATATGAATGATCATGATTTTACAGTAAATCAATTTCAAGTAATGGTTCAAACTAATAGATAATAATTTCATTTCAGGTTGCTTGTTTCAATCGAACTGTATCAAAAGTTGATCATTTTCTAAACAATGAAGCAAAAGGAACAAAAATTATCGGTGCACATTCCGTTGAAGAACTCGTTCAACTACTTAAGAAACCTCGTCGAGTTATGCTCTTAGTTCAAGCTGGTACAGCTGTCGATGCTTTTATTCAAACATTGGTAATTAAATTTATTTAGACTACGTTTCCTAATTTCGTAAATTTCACAGATTCCATTACTTGAACAAGGTGATATTATTATTGATGGTGGTAATTCAATGTATAAAGATTCTATAGTACGACAAGAGGAATACTATGTGTTAGAAACTTGATTTTCATATGTTTTCTAGCGACGAGCTGAAAATTTGGAAAAAAAAGGCTTTCTTTATATCGGTACAGGTGTGTCAGGTGGTGAAGATGGAGCTCGTTATGGTCCATCATTGATGCCCGGTGGAAGTGAGAAAGCATGGTAAGACAATTATATGTATCATAATATGTAATGTAATAGTATTTCGAGTAATTTGGAAAATTATTTTTTCTTTGACAGAATATTGGATCGATTTTAAAATAGGACCGTATACTTCATGATGAAGCTATTTTCATGTTCATTTTCATCATTAGAAGAAAAAAAATATAATCTTTCAATGTTTTTTTCTCCATAGAATAATGAGTCAGTGTTGATTGAAGGCTTAAGTGATACTACTATTGACAATAATAATCTGACATTTGCATCAAACATAATAAATTGTGATGCGAAAAACAACTATGTATAATTTTATTATAGGGAACATGTAAAACCAATATTTCAAAAAATAGCTGCAAAAGCTGATGGTCAACCATGTTGTGATTGGGTATATTAATTTCAATTTGATTCATTTTCATTTTGTCAATAATTTCATTTCCTAAAAAAATAGGTTGGTCCATCAGGTTCAGGCCATTTTGTTAAAATGGTTCATAATGGCATTGAATATGGTGATATGCAACTTATTTGTGAAGTTTATCATATAATGAAAGATGTTTTAAAACTATCGAATGATGAAATCGCTGAAGTAAAATAAATATAGATTTGTTCAAAATAGTTTGTAACTTTAAAATTTTTTCTATAATTTTAGGCATTCGAAGAATGGAATAAAGGAACATTAGATTCATTTTTAATCCAAATAACAGCTGAAATTTTACGTTATAAAGAAGACGGTAGACATGTTGTTGATTTAATTCGAGATTCAGCAGGACAGGTTGTTTGATATATTCAGTTATTTTCTTATAATAAAAAAATATTATCATCTAGAAAGGTACTGGTAAATGGACAGGTATTGCCGCACTTGAATACGGTGTACCAGTAACATTGATTGGTAATAATAGCATCTATTTATTTGTTGGAGAAAACTGAAATTTGGTTTCTCTTTCTAAACAGGTGAATCCGTTTTTGCTCGATGTTTATCATCATTAATTGATGAACGTACTCGTGCATCAACTCAATTAAAAGGACCTAATGTGCAGGATTTCGATGGAGACAAAAAACAATTCATTGAATATCTTGGCCAAGCATTGTATGCATCTAAAATCATATCATATGCTCAAGGTTTTATGCTTATGCGTGAAGCAGCGAATCAGTATTCATGGAAATTAAATAATGGTTCAATCGCACTTATGTGGCGTGGTGGTTGTATCATTCGAAGGTTTGTTGTTTTTCTTTCTTTAAAATCATGTTTTGTTTTTATTATGTTACGATTTTTATTTTTTGCATTAAAGTGTATTTTTGGGAAACATAAAAACAGCATATGAAAAGAATGAATCATTGGAAAATTTACTTCTGGATAATTTTTTTACCGATGCTATTAATAAATGTCAACAAGGCTGGCGAAAAGTAGTCGCAACAGCAAGTATTTACGGTGTACCGATTCCGTGTCTTAGTACTGGTAACAGATGGTTCTTATCTTTGAAAATTTATATTTAATTAATTTTTCTTTTTTGAAGCACTGGCATTTTATGATGGTTATCGTTCAAAACGTCTACCGGCGAATCTCATACAGGTTAATTGAAATTTTATTTTAGATTTTTGTTTTTGAATAATGAGAAGATAAAAGGAAAAGACACTCAAATAAGAAAAGAACATCACATGAATCATTTTTTTAGGGGACAAAAAAACAGCATGATGCTGTACAAGCAAAATTATAAAAAGAAACCGATGTAGATTTATGATGGATTTGAATGTGATTTTATTTTTGAATTATTTCTAGGCCCAACGTGATTATTTTGGTGCACACACCTATGAATTACTTGAAAGTCCTGATACATGGATTCATACTAATTGGACTGGTCATGGTGGAAATGTTACAGCATCAACATATCAACATTAGATCTTTTTCATATTTTTATTTCCATTACACTAGCTATATTCATAAGGTTGTTGTGCATTTCCTTTTTGTTTAGTGTTCATATTTTATTCATGTTATCCTACTTTTGTATGCACTACTAAATAAACAGTGTTCGTAGTTATGATTATTTATGGATAAAATAAAGTATTCAAAAAGCTTCATAATTAGAAAAACAGACATTTTTGAATGCATTAGATGAATTTTTTCAACATGTAATTACTTTTAAAAACAAGTAAGTTTTTCATTGACTTTTTGATTCGAATTTATTGAATATTTGGTTTGTCACAATTTTGTTCATTTTCTAGTAGCTACCATACGTTCAATATCAGTCTATTTCATTCTAGAAAACTGTAAGAAAAGCATATTGTACGAGAGGATCAAAACTTATTTTATACTCTTTATGGCTTCTTAGTAATTGTCAATCGAACACTTATTATAATATACTTCATATGTAGTACCCATTCATGAAAGATTTCAGTCAAAGTTGAACGTTATTTTAAGATTATCATCGATGACATAAATCTTATCGAGATCTCGACCGAACAGGATATAGTTAGGATTAGATTCTATTTTTGAACTTAATTATCGATTAAATACAAACATAGTTCACGATGAGTGGGGGATTTTCCTCCCACTCAAATTGTTTTTGCTTTTTAGCTTTCTCCCTGGAAATTTTCTTTTCGACTTTGTACACGATTTTAATTTATTTGTAGACTGAACAAAGCCTATCAAAAGCAATCATCTAGTTTCTCTTTTATACCAATTTATTTTCTCTTCTATATGGACCTATTTTTTCTTTAGATTCAAACTAGTTTCTCTTTAGGTTCGAACTATTTTTTACGTTGATCTATTTTCATTTAGATGATATTGTTCAAAACTTTTTCATGCATCCAGGAGGAGCAAAAGCTCGCAATACCAATATATACATTCAAAACAATTATGACGATAGCGATGATGAGTGATAGGCAAAGCATGAAATAATTTTTTCAAGAACATTAACTTTGAAATTAGAAGCTATGAATGTAAAAAGTTACCACTAGAAAAACAAATTTTTTCTCGTTAATCTTTTTTTTTATATTTATTTACGAGAAAGCAGCAAAAAAATATTTTCTTAATTGAATAAGAAAGCATTACAAATTCTAGCTAATAATATATTTTTTTCTGAAAAAAATAGAATGCGAAACTGTTTCTCTCTGGTTTTGGGAGACTTTCTCTTTCAAATCTTCCCCCGCTAACCAAAAACAAACGAAAACTATGAATACAAATTGGAATAGATTCTATTATCAAGATAACAAGCTGTTATGAGAAGCACATTAATTTATATATGATTATAAATAATTAAAACCAAAATCAATAAAATAACGTTAAGTATTCTCAATATTTTCATAACAGAATCCGAATAATTCATTGTTTATAAAATTTAAATTCTCTTTATTCATATGATAGTGATGTTTCTGAGTAGCAAAATTCTTTCACTTTATTTTTATGTGATTCAAGCAGAACTTAATTACTTTTTTATCTGTCAACAAAATATGACTGTGAGCGAGTTTTAGAAGAGCTCATATGAATACTAACAAAGCAACATAGATTTTTCTATTGTTCTTCCTATCATTGATTATAGCAGTTGAGTTCCTTTTTTGTTCTATAGACAAAAGAAGAGTAATTCAAAGAAATTTCAGTGAAGAATTGCATCATTGGGGCTTCTCATTAGAATAACGTTTTTGATCTTTCATTTATTTGTCTCTAATTAAATTCAATAAAAAGATCAGTCGCATTTGTTTAAATATAATCTACGTACATAAACGATTATCTATTATCTAAACTTAGATCGTCATCATTGAGCATTTCAAATTCATGTTTCATACTTAATCAAATCAGATTCTTTTCAGAATTGATTTGTTCTTCAATGTGAGCGAATTTAAGGCGTCTTTTATGATAGTTGTTTTTTAGATCAATTAAGACAAAAGATATCTGTATCAATATACTTTTTGTTTTGCATCGAAAAATACTCATAACTTCAATCAAATTTAAAAGTGAAAAACATGTGGAAGTGTTAAAATAGAAAATTTCAATTCTAATTGTTGAACTTGAATCCGTGGATTCGACCGTGCAATTGACGAACTCGAGGTTCAGATGAACCGCTGATGCATTTCATACACCGAACGTTGATTGGGTGGTCTTTGCAGGGTTTCAGTGGTTCGTTTTCTTCTTCAGATTCTTCTTTGTCTTGTTTTGTCATGAACTTTTCACTGTTGCCATTATTATTGCTTTGAGCTCGACGATTTTTGACGTCTTCTTCACGTTCGTATTCTTCATCACTTCTCAATTTCTTTACCCATTCGTCTAACGAGCCTGGCGGAATTTCGAATCCCAATTTTCTGCATTCTTCAAGCAATAATTTATCGTCGTCACTGAGTTCTTTCGTTTTCAGTGGAACAGTTTCGTATCCATAGGGTGGCCGACCTTGAAAAACATGGCCAAGTCGTTCGCGACCTCCATCCCGTTCACAGTCGGCAGGACCTTTCGTCATGTTGACCATGTAATCGGGAACTATACGTGAAGATTCAAGTTCTCTTTCGTAAACTGTGTCCATTTGATACGATTGTCGATTGATTCCATGAGCAGACGGTTCAAACCGTATGTTTCCAGCCGCTAATGCTTCATCGCGAACAGCTGGAGAAATAACGGTTTCAGGAGGGCGTAAATCGGGGTCGGTTGCATGTTGAGGGCCACTGAAAATGTACCTTTCGTTTGAATGCTGTCGAACTTGTTTCAACGCTTCTGTTCCTTCGCGTGTGTTTAATCCTGTACTGGTGTGATACATATCAGCGGCACCTTTCGGCAAATAAACTCGATCGATCACACCTGGACGTCCTTGATCGTCTATGGCGTATCCAGCAGCAACAGCAGGTGACGGTGAAGTATACATGCCACTCCATTCGTTTTTAGAGGGGACTGTTACCGACCCCGAATCTGAGTTAATAATCGTGGATGGCGCAGCCGGCTCCGAACTTGATTGTTCATTAGTAGTATTATCTCTTTTTGGACCTCCTTTAAAGCCAACGAATTTGTTTCCTTCTTCAACGAGTTTTTCGTGTCGACCGATGACGTTTTCAACGGCAGAATTATCACCGTTGTCTCGTTCGAGTCGTTTATCGGTCAGAGTTGGATCAATCGCTTCACCCGTTGTATTCGGGTCGACTGAAAATTCAGCAGCCTTTACATAATGCCGTTGATTTGGAAACTTTTCCGATAAATATTTCTGGCATCCTTCTAATCCATGAACTTTCTCGTCGTTGCATTCATCGCCATTGTTGTTACCGCCGCCAGCGGACCCCACTCGCGAACCACTTAAGAACGGAATTCCTATGTTTAGACCCAAGCCGATATCCAGCGATGGTCGAAGACCCAAATTAACATTTCCAAAAGAAAGTGAACCATCTACATTCACTGATGCAGCAGCACTGGCTCCACCGATGCTAACATTGAAAGCCGAAACACCGGCTCCATTCACACTAGCACTTGCACCGGCGCTGGCACCGGTCACATCAACATTGCCCACAATGACTTTGGCTGCTGATGCAGAAACAGAAGCAGTAGTTTCAGCGCCGGTAACGCTTACATTTCCAGCAGCTACTTTCAAACCATCGGCGGTCGCACTGATCGAAGTATTAACACCAGTAGCGGTGGTATTCAGAGTGTTTACACGCACTACGGAAGATGACGCAGAGGCCGAAGCATTGGCACCGGTGGCAAACGCATTGCCCGTAGAAACAGTGGCTATTTCTGCTGTTGCAGTGGCACTGACGTTTGCAACTTTTGCGTGAGCAGTTAAAGCATTAAAATGACCAGCTGATGCCGAAGTAAAAGATGTTTTCGTAGCATCAGTCGCAGAGGTTTTCAAGGTGTTAGTAGAAAATGTCGATAATGACTTTTGTCTCTTTGAATCTAGTTTATCTGACGATTTTTCCAGTAATTTTTGCAAATCAAGTGCTTTTCTTCTGGCAATAGATCGTTTGCGTTCATCAATTGCTTGTTGGCCGTACAAAACTTCACCGTCTTCGCGAACGTAGATATCTGTTCTGTAGCAAATAGCTCCTACATTAAATCTAAATTGGTCTATTTTTTTCCTGTTATCGATCGTCCTACCAAGAAGATTATCGTCTTCGTCGTGTTCACGTGCAACAGAAGTAGACGACAGATTTTCTTGTTCTTGTTCATTAGCTTTATTGTTTAAAGTGATAACACTGTCGTTTGAATCAACGTTGTCGTCCATGTTTTGTGAACTATTTTCATTCGAATCCACGGAAAAGAATCGATATCCATCTTCGCATACTACACAGATTTTATCCTCAGATGAATTCGTGTAAGTACATTCACTACAAGTCCAGTCCATCTTCGATAATTTGATCAAACAATATACCTGTTATAGATACGTAGTAATTTAGTGCTTATAGCTTATTCGATTAACGTGTTATGTCAGGAGAGATATCTCCTGACATAACATAACGTCTGAGCTGACTTGAGATGTATTGAGATTCATGAAACATCGAATGATACAGACTATCAAAACACATCAGATTTTAGAAGGTTGTATTTCTTTTTTCGGAATTTTCCATGATTACTCAGTTTCTGATAAAATTGAGTCAGTATTGCTTCATGAGCAGAGCCCCTAATACGGATAGATGGCGTTGTGGTCCCGAAATATCACATCAAGGCAGAAAGAAAGGATGTATGTATTCAGCGGAAAAAGGTAAAGTAAGGATAATAAGATAACATGTTCTTCAAGAATTTGAAATCATTCATATTGATGTATGGTTTGTTTGAGTTCGATTGACCATGATAATGTTCAATTGAGATCTGACCATCAATGAGCTTTCGAACGTTTATGTTTCACATCTGTCTCATTTTCAAGGAATATCGATGAAGATTATGATAAGAGTGACGATGCAGGGTGTGTATACAATATTTGCTCACACTCATAAGATCTTCAAGAGTTATAGGAACTACTTTAAATTATTTTCTAAAAACATCTAAGAATCATCGCTAAGTAGGTGCTAAGAAGATGTAGGCCCTAACAAAATATAGAGACTATCGTAAGGTGGATTGTTGACTTTTGATAGATCAGCTCCTAGAACTGATCTATTCAAACAGTTCAGATCAGATGATGAGAACTATCTAAACTGTCATACCTCTATCGAGGTGTGCTTTAATTTTTTTATGATAAATGTTGTTTCATTCTTAGAAAATAGATTAAAAATGATATAATCTAAAATAAAGTTTCATTGTTAACTCTCCATAAATGGTTGTAACATTGCATTGATTTGAGGAGTAGATAATGTTTTTACATCAGCTTGTTGTTCATAAGTCGGTATTGAAAATTTGATATTAATAAAAGCATCTTGTCCACCGTATTGCTCGAGTATAAGCAACGTCTTGTCAATAAGACGAACAAGTTCATTGGGAATATCTTTTTCATAGTCATCAACTATTTTACATTGTGGTTTTTTTTGATGAAGTTTTCCTTGATTACGCTCTTTTATAATATTAATCATAGGTAAAATTTGATTAAAATAAGGTACTAAGGCAACACCTATTGCACCGTCATTACCACGAGCCAATTTTTGAAGAACAATCAAAACACGGCTAATAACAATTTGATCATTTGTATATAGAGCACGTTTAAGTGGTAAAATTATTTTTGAAAGACTTTCGATATCAATCTTATGTGAAGCATGTTCAATTAAATCCAAAATACCTAATTTCGTAAAACAAAAAACAACAACAACGACAAAGACTATTTCATTTTTTTAAATAAGATTTTATCTACCTTGTAAAGCAATAAAACTATATGGATATTTTATTTCACATAATCCATCAGTAAAGATGGGCAAATAATAATCAATATTTAATGTTTCTAAATTATCAATAAACCACTTTAAAGATTGTCCTTTTGTTGTATGATGAATAGTACATGGAAGATCACCACGTTCATAGAATAATCGAAAATTTTCTGAACGAAATGATCGTTTACTAAAACTATCAACAAATAATGGTGGACAAACAGTGGAGCATCGCTGATGTGATTGAATTGAAAATGCGGGTGCACAACATTGGCAACGATACTTGCAATGTGATTGATTTTTACAATTAAAAACATGTGGTTTAAGAACAGTTTTAAACCAATAAGACATTTTGAAATAGTTAATCGAAATTCATTGTTACAGAGATTTAAAAAGCGAATATAGTTTCTATGGAATTTTCAATCAAATACTGAAGACATTTTTTTTAAATTTTTATTACACAAATCAAATTTTTTAGTGTTTTAATACATTTTATTGTATATCATGTTGTTTTCCTTTGAATATGTTCACTAGTAAAGATAAAATTACTAATGATATTAAAACAAATTTAAATAAAAATACGTTTGAACTAAAATATGACAATGATCAACAATCGAGTTCAGATAATGAGGAAGTTTGTTCATGTTCTACTTGTGAATGTTCCAGTTGTATTGATGAAGATAATTATAATGAAAATATCTTAGAAAATAAAACTACCAGCTTAACTAATTCATCTATATCAATAAATAGGTCAACACTAGGATTAGTTCATAAAACTTGCTGTTCAGTATGATTTAAAATCAAAAACTTCTTTCAAACTGATTGAACTCTTTTTTTCTAAAGATACACAAAATCTCACATATGAATGATTCGCATAGTTTTCTTAACAACTATAATTGTTCATCGGTTGAATCTAATCGTCCATCAATTGCTAAGTTTACTGAATCTATTATACGAAGCATACCATGGAAAGTACAAGATACGATAAACATTCCACCTGAAGTTGTATCAACAAAACAAGCCAACGTACAAATCATGGAACAACCAGTTTCAATACATCGACAAAAATCAGAAAACTTTAAATCGATTGAAAATCGACTAACAGATAAACCAACATCTGAAATAGATTTCCAACATATGTATGAGACCATTAATCAATCGTATCTAAAAATACCAAGTATATGATCCGAATAATAATACAGGCAAAACAAGATGAGATATTTTCTAAAATTTACTATTCTATTTAGTTTTATATAATTCAATTAAACAAACTAGATTAGACACAGATTTTATTTTATCAGTGAATGATTATTTGGAACGATTAAAAGTAAATATCTATAAGGATCTTATTCGACGTGAAACATTGTTACGTAATGGAAAAAATCATGCGAAAAATTTGATTTCACTTGTTCGTTGTATATGTAAAATATCTTATAAACAAGCAGTTGAAATTACAAATGATTCCATGATATCAAAGCGTGCAATCATTTACACCATGACAGCTATTGATCATATTCTTCAATGCAATTTTCCACAAAGTAAATTTTTCGCTTTTTAATTAATAAACAAAATTCAATTGTTCTTGATCCAACAGAAAAGCCACTGTTTAATTTTATTCTTAATGAATATATATCCATGTGGTTACATGAAAGTCTTCGAATGATTCAAGAAGATTTTTGTATTATTGTAGAAAATGGAACAAGAAATAATTTCTTTTTACTTTGTATTTGTCTCTTTCATAAATTAGAATCAATATGTGCAATTAATTGGGTAAATATATAATTATGTTTTTTATATACTTATGGTTAATTTAAATTTAAAAACAAAACAGGAACGCTTACAAATGATACAAAACTATCGTTTAGCACATTTTAATGAATTAATGAAACCAACAAGTGTTAAATTAGAAAGAACTAAAGATTTTGTTCAAGTCTTTGGTAAACCTGTAATATCTAAAACGAAAAAATCGAAAATTCTAATAACATCATTATATTTGAATCGAACCGATAATGAAATTAATAATATTCATGAAATAGAACAAATATTTAAAAATTCTATTGCAAAAATTCTCTTCCATCAATGTGATACTCTAAAAAATATTCTAGGTTTAGAAGACGATGCAGTAGCATCGTGTCAATCACATTCACAACAAATAATCATACCAGCAAGTATTTATGTGAAGGTTATGAAAACATTATTGATGTTTTTACGTAGACAATAAGAATAACATCATCGTTATCAACGAAATTAATCGATACAGATCTTAGTTCAAAAAGTAAAGAGCCACCTACATTGTTTATATCAGACGACAGTCAACTAACAGTCGAAAAATCTGAACCAGATAAAACTAAATCTACATTGTCTAAACTTGATCAGCAAGCGAGTCCTACGTCGAATATTATTTCTGAAGTCTACACACAATGTGATGAACCCGTAGTAGTATTACCAAGGCATGTGTCATCCATATCTTCATCGACGAAACCATTCCTAATATCTTTAAAATCGGATAAATCTGAAGAGCAAAACCAAGCTTTGCCATCTGAATCGAAATTAGTCTCTATGGAACATAAAAAACAAATACTATCAAACGAACGAACAACTAATGAAAGTAATTCATTAAATGATTATTTCTATTGTACAAAATAAACAATGATTTATTCATTTTTTTAATAAATAGATAAATCATCTAAATTACCTTTAATTCATGTTGATCAATTGTTTTCTCCAAGTAATAGTTCATTACTTCATTTGCAATCTTCAATAAAAACAATGAGTAACGCATCCAGTCGAATTGAAACCACTGATCAGACATCCACAGTTAAGCGAATCAATCGAAATTTTGAATCAATGTCGAATGTGTCAACTCCGCTAATTTTCATTAAATCAGAATTGAAAAATAATGCATCACAACATATTCGAGATAAAAATAATTTTATACAAGAATCGAAGGTTTTGTCAAATTTTCAAAATGATGACTACTCAATACAACAATCGATGTCTTTAGCCTGTTCGTCTCCTCAAAAAACATTTACAAAAGCTCATATCTCATGTTCATTACACCAAACTCTTTCTGATAATAGTATAGAAATAAATTCAGAATCAATATTAAACGCAGAAGTTGTAAGAGTTAATTTATATTAAATACTCGTTTCTATGTTTCTGAAATGTCTTGATAGAATGAATTGATTATCTTTTTACAGCAAATCGCTTATTCTTCATTATTAATTCAACAAGAAAGAAAAACACCATCGTTGTTAAAATTAGTAACTTCGCCAAAGTAAATAATATTAATTTGAAAATTCTTTTTTTTATTAAGTTACAATGTTGTTTAAAACAAAGTTCTATTGATTCAAATTTAATTCTTGAACAAATTCAAAATACTCATCCACAATCTTCTCTCAACGTTAAAGATCCAATATTTCTTGCTGCATTTACACGTGTTTTACGTCAAGAACTTAACGATGCACAGATTTTAAGAAAAATAAATTGCGAACAATTAAATGAAGATTCACAAAACATTGGTCATTCGTCATTTGAAACAGCCAACATACTCAAATTACCGAAAACTGAACTGTCTCTGAAGAATAAAAGCACTGATGTCGGCGATAACATTGACCAAAGCCATGTTTTTATTGAAGTTACACATGATCCAAAGAGATGCAAGCCGATTTCTGAATTGTCTGATTTTCAATACCAATCATGTAGACAACTCCCACAAAAATATCAACAATTGAACAATGATAGTAAATATTTCATTAGAAACACTAACGAAACGAGTGTATCTACTATATAAATATATCATAAAATTAGGTTCACCGAAATCGACAAATACACCCTTGATTGATTATTATAATAATCAAAAAATAATAACATCATTAGATCTGAATCATTCTCCGCAACAATGGAATTGGCTATATTCAAATAAATCTTCTGTATGTAATAACTGTATTATCACACATAATTCAATTTGTTGTGAACGAAATTCACTTGATAAAAGTACTGATTCAATTACTGTTGAACATAATGAAAATTTTTAAGAAATACATTATTATCCATTTTCCACAAAATGAATCAATATTTCTTCTTGATCACACATTGCACTCAAAAAAAATAGACTTAATGAATGTTTTCAAGTGTTTTTTGTAGTAAAAATCATTACTAAACTTTTTCATGTGTAAAAATTAGCTTGTTCATATTCATTTGCACTGTTGAATCCATAATTTTCGAATTGTTTTTGCATCTTTGCATTACCTATATCAATAGTTTCTGAGTTACTATTTATGTTTTTATTATTGATCAATTTTTCTTGCCTATTAAAAATGTATTGAATCAGAGTATTGCTAAAATAATTACTCGTAACTAATAAACATTAGTGTTTTCATAATCAAAATGATCAAATCTTATGAAGATACATGCATTTGAGAAATATGTATAGGATTCGGTGAAGAATTTCATGGTGAATTCGATGAGACCAACATCGAATTAATTCAACGAGAAACCAGGTGATCTCCGACCACATCCAAACTATTCCCTATTTTTAAAGCATATTGAGAGTAAAATTTTTAATAAACTGTTGTTTATTTATCTGTCAAATTCTAGTATCAGTTGAACCAAGTTGTATGTAGGATGTGAGTATACCTTATTTTAACCAGTATTTAGAGTGGAAATCGACAACAGAATGTTTTGACACAATACTTTATTTCACAAGTAATGCGGCATGATTACCATTGTTAATCCTCTAGTGAAGAGATATTCTCAATGTTAACACATGAATTTTATATGCCTAGCTGAGAAATTCGGAATAACTAGTCTTAAAAGCATTATAATAAAATAAGGTAATGATTAGTAAGCTAAAAGAGAAAATTGGTTCGTATTTTTCACCTAAAATATGTGTTTAGGCACTATATATTGATACCATTTGATCAGAGTGAATGCGAAGGCTTAGGCTGATCAACATCGTGCACATTCGAGAAAAAAAATTGATTAAGTGACTAATAGAACGAAGAGAAAAACATCGAACGAAAGCTAATACAGGAATACTCGATTTGATTGAAGCTAGCACTCTAAATAGTCTTCAGACTAAATCATTAGACTCAAACTACTGAATTGCACACATGCATGCTAGTGTACACTCCAAATATAAATTTCAGTTCTATTGCATCTACTGAGAAATTTTTTCCCTATGTTGTGTTGGAAAAATTTTCAGTTCTGCACCCAATACAGTCATTCTGGTAATGTATTTTTTTCTGGTAGAACGTGTATTTTTCTTTGCTTTGCAATGAGCATTAATGAATTAGTCTAAACTATTCTTTATCAAGATTTTTATATTTCTGTGAAAATAGTTGACTATTGTTTTCCTTTCCGCTTTTTACAGCAGCTTATTTCACTAATTGAATCGCTTTTACTCTGTACGTATTATTGCTCTTTGTTATAATTGATTAGTTTTAGTTTATATTTAATCATGGTGTGTTTTATACTTGATATTATGTGCGTATATTCTTTTGTTAGACACTCTGCATTTTTTCTTTAGTGAAAATATTTATTTTATTGAAGTAAATAATTTTGAAAGCGCAATTAATAATTCAATAATATTCATTATCGTAATCAGCTTTCGTTCAATAATCTATTAATAAACATCAGTCAAAATTGGAAAGTTATAAATCACAGAATTTTATTGCGACTGTAGCAATTTTTCAATTTATTTAACATTATTGCATACCATTTCTTTTCTTGATTTCACGTTTCTTCTTTTACAGTATTTACACTTTTGTATTTCTTTTTTTAGCTTCATTTGTATTCATCTCCATGCTTCCGACACAGGCTGATGTTTCAATTGCTTTCGTTGTCATTCCTACTAATAAATCAAATCCGATATAATATAATAAACGGAAAATTTGGCAGAAATCATCATGAAACAGAAAAGTATCAGAGCTAGTTCAAGAGAAGAAAATATCATAGAACAAGGAAATAAAACAAAGGAAATAGAAATATGTATACATGTATATTATATGCAATCATTTTAACTGATAATAGCATTATTAGCCTGCATAAAGAACTGTTCTTCTAACTATATTAGAATGTTCTCATCAAAATAACTAAACTGACTACTGGTATAATTACGAATCGCTCAATTAGTAAACAGATTTTTAAATGAGAAAATTAATTTACTTACTAACTACTGCTTAACTTTTAATATTGAACAAATTATTAATTTATAGGGTAAACATTATCGTTACTAAATTCTTAAATCTGTATTGATAATTTCATTTACATACTGATCATTTTTGTATACAATATAGGAAGATTTCGAGTTTTTTTTCAACTTTATTTACTTCAAATGTATTTACCAGAAGTTGCACTTTTATATTTATTACAAATTGACTCGTTCTTGTTTCCATTCACTATTTATCATTTACACTCGTTGAATGAAACAATGTCGGCAGTACAATTTACAACAGAAAACCTTGTCAGAAAAAAAACAATTTCTAGAACCGTCGCATTTGATCTATTATCTTGCAGCATCTATTTTCATTTCGATTCTCGTTTACTGATCTTCACTTCTATTCATTTATTAACTAACCCATATTGATGCTATCAATAGAACGCTGATAGTATGCGTAATCCATTGTTACATCATACATACGTCTTCGATATATTTTTGATATGTAATTGCTTTCGTCTGTACAAATCGCTACCTGATGTGTATGTTACTCTCAAGATTCTATAGAAAATGTTTTTATCGACCGCAATTCGATTGCTATTGAATTGTAGCAATTATTATGTTCTCGTCTATATTAAGTGTTCATTTACTTATCTGAAAAAGTATTTAAAATGATTGATGTTATCTCGATCGATTATACGAACTTTTATATAAGTAATTATCTATAATTTTGTTTGCTTTTGAATGATTTATATATCGTCAATTGTTATTTTTGCTGGACATATTATGATTAAACTGAAAATTACAATTTTGCAGTTTTTGATTACTCAATGATTATTTTCAAATTGGAAAAGTAAATTTCAATTTTGAAAGAATCATATTAGCTGTATTAATCGTAAATATTTTATATACGTATAATGATGGATTGATTAATGGCATTTTGCCTTATTATACAGCACAATTAATAATAATATTAGAACGAACAGAAATTCTTTGATATTATAAAATTCTTTAGTTTGTAGATTATATCATGATTTTCACGTTTCATGTAGCGAAAATGAAAACTCCAAAATTATGACTCATAATTGAGAACTACAAACAATGAGCATAATGCCCAAAAAACTCGAGCAAATGACAATCTATTGCGATATGTATAATATTGCTGATTGTTTTCTTGAATGAACTTTCAATATTGTATGTATTAGATTGTGTTTAAGCTTATTTTAATATTCAATGAAACAATTTACCAGAAAATAAAGTACATCATACAAATCTGATATAGAATCAATTATATAAGAGTGATAGTTAAATTGATAATAGAGTCAATTAACGACAATTATTTTGAAAAGAAAACTAATAATGTACTTCATTTAGTTTTTGGACTACTTAGGTCTGACTAAAAGTTCTGCAATTAAAAAAAGAAATAACGAAAAAGAGAAACTTCGAGCTATATTTTCTTAAATGTTGATGATATAGATGCCATGATTATATACATATATATCAATTTGAATGCTTTCTAACAATTTGTTAAGAGGTTTTTTGAACTCTTATTCGAAAAAACTTTTAGGTGCCTTGGATACCACATGAACTAATCATATTTCATTTATTTAATTAGTTAAACTACGTTCAATAAAATTGGTTAGCCAAAAATGACATAGTATCAGGCCTGGTGAATATGAAATGACATAGTATCAGGCCTGGCGAATATGATGGATATGACATGATATTGATTCCTTCTTCTGTCATCTAATTAATAACATTGGATCAGTATGGAGTCAACGACGATCGTCAAGCGATTTTGTACATTTTGGCCCTGATATCTCTGTTTGTTTCCATATTTCATTTACAAAAGGTTATGAACAATTTTCAATATAAAACATGTGACCTACATTCTTGCCTTTATCTACATTGAGGATTATTTGATTCAAAAAAAATACATTAAACAAAGTTTTGGTTAAAATCTGTCTTCATGAACAATAGTCTGTGACGATTCATCTTCAATAAGCCAGCTAGCATCAGATGACTTATGACTAACCTATCGAAAATAAATTCATATTCCATCACTAGTAGTGCTAGAACGCAACTAGCATGATCGAACAAAATTTCACTAAATTTTTAAAACAATGAAATATGATTAGCCCATGTGGTATCCAAGGTACCTAATACTTTTTCGAAAAAGAGTTCAAAAAAACTTTTAACAAATTGTTGGAAAGAATTCAAATTGATATATATATAATCATGGCAACTATCATCAACATTTAAGAAAATATAACTCGAACTTTCTCTTTCTCTTTAATTTTTTTTTCAATTACATAACTTTTGGTCAGACCTAAGTACATTCTCTTTTATTCTTCATAGATTTTTTTCTAAACGTAACCGAAGAGCATGAAACGAGATCTCAATAGCTGACAACGATCAACTATATCGTCTTTTCTAGGTAACCGAAGAAACCACAAACATTGACAATCAATAGAAAATCGTATAGTCGTTTGCCAATTGTAGAAAATATAATTTTCCTTAACAGATATTGGCATCTTAAAATTAGAGTCAATAAATATTTTTCTAAGAAATAAAAATTTAATATTAAAATAGTACGACAAAATAAAATCTTTACTAGCTATATTTATTTACTTGAATAAAAACTGATTTTTTTCTATCGATAGCATAACTAATCATAAATATGAAGCAGCAACCGCTGAAAATACGATGAGTCAAAAAGTAAATGGAATTTATTGATTGCGATCGTTTTATGTAAATTATCGTAGTGAACATTTTTTGACATAGAACTTTAATCAAATTTTCATTTTTCTCATCGAATAAACACTTATCTATTTTTAACGCGTTTACTTAATATAAGTATACTGTCGATTTATTCGAACAAATTTTATTTTTTGATACACGGATCACATTTGATGTACGATAATATATCTTGAAAGATTTTTCAAATTTACATTAATTTAGATAGAAGTGATATTTTGTCGCCAACAAAATATATCTTTCAAGAGGAATTTAAATGCTAATGGATGCTCATCATTCATGATAAAACTAGCATAATAATCAACTTGAAAAGAATAACATATATAGAATATTTCTAAGAAACTTGTTATCCATTATTTATTACTCGTTGTTATTTCCGAAAACATTAATCAGATTGTTATGACTTATTTTCAGTGTATAAACAAAATAAATACTATTACTATAGAATGCTTTGAATAGCGTTTTTAATGTCTTGACTGTTTCCATCTCAAATCGATGAGTGGAAATTTTTAAAAAAACAAGGTTTTAAAAATCTAGTGCATATTGAAACACTCAAATGACATGTAATAAGCATCAAAAACAAGGAAAGAAAAGAATCTTTGATGAAAAAGGAAAAGAGGTAGCTCTGTGTTATATAAAAAAAAAAGAGAACAGTAATAGCCGATAGAAAAAAAAGCTAAATTAAAAAAAGTAGTATCATAATTGTCAGTATTCTTCAATATGAAGGCATGACATTTGACTCTATATTTTCGGATTTAAATATCTTCTAATCTTGATGTTTTAGCAAGCCAAAATGACAATGCAGTAATAATGAGAATCAATGCCGTTGCAAATATTTCATAAATAGTAGCCCATCCAATTTTTGTATGATAATGTGTTTTTGATTCCTGTATTAATTCTTTTACAGCTTCAACATAATGTTCATGCTTAATTGTTGATTCTAAGGCGAATAAAAAAGAAAATGATAAATGTTAGATTATTTTTGATTTGTTCATTTATTTTACCATGATGCTTTGCATAATTACGCAGACTATGCAAATCAAACGTTTTTCCTTCTTTCTCGGCGATTGGCATACTTTTTAATGGAAATGAATAATCCTCATATGCATCGCGTCGAAAATCTTAATTTAATTATAAATATTACAAAAATTGACCTATTTTTAATAACTCACATGCACATATCAGAATCAATCCTGTTGCCATTAAAATTAATGCTAATAGAAAACAAATGAATGGTCCATAACCAAGTACAAGAAGTGCACTATCTAGAAAACTATAAAAATCATTTTTTGCATAAAACTAAAAGCATACAAACCATTTTGTGGCGATGCTATTACTTTTAAATAAAGTAAAATTAAACCAAGAACAAGAAAAATGGCTGCTATAATTGTTAACCATTGTACAACTTTAGTTGATGGTAGATAACGGCATGAACATCCTTCAGGTAGGTTTTTTTTCTCTACAACTGGACAAGTCCGACGAATACTGTAGCATGGAACGAAGTTTTCCGGTGAATATCTCATATACAGATTTGGCCAACATGTTAGAACGTTTAGCCGAGTGCCAAGTGCCATACCTTGTTTATTTATTGTAGTATTTTGATATTCACATCGTTCCCAAAGACCATAACTAACAGGCACCATTCTTGGTTCAGCATCTCGTACTGTTATTTTCCAATTGGGTGAACAACTGAAATTTTTGTTAACATTTGAATTCAAATGATTAAGAAAAATTTTCATATTACAATAAAACTTACAGAGCTATTAAATGAAGACATAATGCAGCAATACCCAAAACTAGAGCTACTGTAACAAGTATAACACCTCGAACTTGCATTATCTATTTACTGAAAGAAAAAAAGAAAAAAAAATATTGTTGAAGTCTTTATTTTGTTTTTCTGTTTAATTAGAATAGAATCTATGTGCCCTTCTATTTGATTTGAAATGTAAGGATTGAATTACTCATTTGATCTATCAGATAACTTACAGAATGTGACATGGTAGAACGTGCCATTTTCACACAACAACAACAACAATACTAACTAACAGTGTACGGTTTAACTAAATCAAAATTTGTATGAATATAACGTTAGAAAATACCTTTTAAAGTCTAATTATTATTATTTTCTCATCAATCATCGACTCTGCCATTGAAAAAGAAATAGTGAACCATTGATATCTTTTCTTTTACAAAGGAAAATTGACTGTGTTCAATAGATTGAATGCATGCACACAGAAAATAATCAATTATTACAATTCTTTTTCATATGTAAATATAATTGTTCGATAAGTAAAAATAAATCAGCCGATTGCATAGTGTGGTTATGAAGAGAAGTATTTGATCAATAGAAAATACTCATCTAACTAACTAACTAAATTTACATATTTGAGATAGAAGTAGAAACGAAAATGTTTGAATGAAAAGAAATTTTTAAAAATCGATCTAAAATAGAATAAAGAAACTAATTAGACAAGCCTACTTATATTCTAAATGGATTCCGTGCTTATATGTTCACTAAATGAATATAATCATGTACTTGTTGGTCAAGCTGTTGTTAACAGTATCTTTTATTTACTGATGATGTAAAATGAATATATTCTTCTAGTACACTATTCTCATATTTCTCTCTTTGAGCTATTCGTGCACATATATGCACATATACATAAATACATACGCATAAACACACACACGCAGGTCGTTGTCGTCTAAAAAAGGATACCAACTATAGCAATCAAAGCGACGGATCAGTATGGCTTATCGTTGTCATCATTGTCTCCCATAACGTCCATTGTTCCATTTCTGTTTCTCCGTCTCTCTCTCTCTCTCTCTCTCCCTCCTTCATCTGCTCCCTTTTATTATCGAATTTAGGTAGTCTCTCAACACCATCACGTCTACTAACAAACGATTGATATGAGAAAACGATAAACAAGAAAATAAAAAACACTTATTATTACATAGTTGTCATTAGGTTTTCTCATCTACTTATTCCCTTCGTCATAACAAAAAAAGAAAGAAAGACGACAAAAGAAGATCGAGAAAAGTGAATGTGGAATATAACTAATACTAATCTATTGTGCTTTTCTTGTTTCAAATTTATATAACAGCAGACGAACATAGTAGATAAAGGCAAATAATACAGAAGGAAATAAGAACAAGTGAATAAAGTGCAAACATTGGGAGAGTCGATTAGATTGCTGTACATGCCTACATGCAAATATGCAAAGGCCAATTAATAGAGTGAGTGAAAGAGAAAAATAACAAGGAAAGGAAAAGGAAAATACGATGGTGGATTGATGCCAAATAAGAATGAATCAATGGAACATGGACACTGAAAGAAAAAGACTGTAGAGAGGAAGAGAGTTCTCGTTTTGTAGCATCGCATAGCAATAATTACAATTGTCAGTCATTTGTTATCTTTCTCTTTTGAGAGACAAGGCAACTATACAACGAATACTATTCATCTGTTCAAAAATCATCTCAACAATTTATTTTAATCAATACTTTATTCAATAGAAGAATATATATTTATATATATATTTAGATTTTTTATAGAAAAAAAAATATTTATCTCTTGTAATAGAAATCAAAATCATCATTTCGCTCCAATAATTAATATTACTGTTGATGATCTGTAAGTGTATTAAAAAATACACGTCCTTTCATATACAAAGAAGAAGAAAAAATAGTTTTAATCAGATGAACATGGCATTTAGATCAAAGAAAGATCAGCATGCCAGATACTAGTTGATGTAGCACAACAAAAATAGACAGTTTTTCTAAATAAACATTCGTTTATAATTATCTATTTATTTTTTCATCGGCAATTCATTTGAAAATTTGATCATAGTTTAAGGAAAACAAATGACTTAATTCATTTTATTTATTGTTTCATGCTCCTGATTTACCACCAATCAAGAATTTTAATATAATGAAATATATGCTCGATTTTTATTAATTAAAAGAAATGTTTTTCTCTGATATCTTTTTTAGATAGGATTATAATACTGATTTTTATGAAAAATTTCCTATCTCCAGGAGTAGACAAAGAATTCAAAGTCTTTACAAGATATTGATTGCCTATTAGATTCAATATAATGAACATAGTTTCGGCAAAAAATCAAGTTATCAATTGTCAAATTTCTCTTGTGACCCATAAACTTCGTAAGAATTAAAACAGGCATGTTATCGACATCGACTTCATCGTAATATATACTAGTGAATGGTACATTGGAAATAACAGTTCTATCAAATCAAATCTAATTGGAGATAATATTTTCTTCTTTTCTGTTGTCTTTTTCATCAATTCAAAATTGCTCGCTTAGTAATGCTGACGTAAAAAAGGAAAGATTCCTAAATAGCAGGCAAAGAGAATCAGAGAACAACAACAAGAATGAGAGCAAGCATTAAAAATATTGCTTGTATATATGATAAATAACCAAAAAATGGATGATGAAACGTGTACAGGCAGTAAGCGCTTATTATCATTAGCAGCATAATATAAAAATAAAATAAAAGAATAGAAGGCCTTTTGTGAATAAGTCATCGTTGAGATTAAGATAAACGATCTACAACATTGATCGATTAAAGATTATACACGATGAAAGATAATCTACAGTATATCTATGAAACGTCACTTCTTTCAAACTATGGCAAGAACAATAATCTACATGTGTGTGTGTGTGTGTGTAACTTATATAAATACAGTTGAGAATATTTCCATGCCTGCAGCCCAATCCAAAACAAAAAAAGGAAGACAAATTTCAAGAATCTATTTAAAAATCAGAAGTGAATGTAAATCATAACAAAATAAATAAAGAATTTTGAGCGTTTAAATAGTTTTTCTGAAAGAATAAATTAATTTGACATCTGCAAAACGTAAGCATTGAATCTATATGGATTAACTAGTTCTAATATTACGCTTATTGTGAAAAGAATCTATTATAATATCTTATATTAGAGTTCTATAATGAACAAGACTCACTAATATTAAATAAAACAATTATCAACGACTCTAAAACTTGATTAAAATTTCGTAATGGCTGAAAAAAAACAACGAAAACCAAGTACAGATGATTTTAACATACATTTTACGAATAATCAGAGATAAAATCAGACGTGATTGAATTCAGACATTGAATATAAAATCATATTTTCTGTTTCGATAACTATTTGTTAGTAATACATATTTAAAATAACGATATTTTATTTACTGACTTTCTAACATACATGCAGACGTACATATACGTTGTAAGTGTTTTTGCGTCTCGGCAGATTCAACAGTTCGATATAATATGGGACGTGTATAACGATACGCAAAATGCACGTCGTCATTAAATAACTGTCAGTTACTATACTGTTGTGTATTCGTATTGAAACACCTACTGTAAGTATGTCAGGACAATTCTTAGAGGATAGATCTCCTCGGGTGCTTAGTAATTTCACATTTTATTTACATGAAATTATTTTTCGTTATCAAGGTACTCTCATATTGCTTTTCATAAGGTCATCAAAATGACATCCATAATTTGCGTGAATTTATTTTTGATACAGATAGTCAAGAGTATCAAAAAATGTCAGTATATTTCTTATTTTTTTTAGATATCAAGATTATTTCTATAAACTATAATAATACATGTTGTTTGTCATTAAACATTTGATGCGTATGTCATGTAGCTATTGCCAACGGTTTGTCAAATGTTAATTATAAAACAATAACAGCAACAACAACAGCAACTGCAATGTTCTCCTATAGAAAACAAATCAAGAAGCAAGAGAACACCTGTAATATTCATTTGTCTTTTGCAAGAGAATGATCAATTATATGTTTGGTTTTTTCCGTGTTAATAGATATACATGTAATCTTCTGTGTGGTATCTCTTCTTATTTTGAAATGTTTCTCGATGAAAATTTTGATAAATAAGATCAAGAACAAATCTAGACAAAAATCAATTTCTCCGGAGAGTTTTCTTTTCATGTACTTCGTAGTATTAATATAAATAACAAATTGAGTGAAATAAATACTGTTTTATGTTTGTCTATCATAACAATCAGAAACAAGTGACAAACGACATCTATTACTATTTTCGGATTTAATCAATTGAGTATGTTTGTATATATGACGTGAGCCAACTATGTATATTTGCTGTATTGTATGTTTTGCCTTGTACAAAAATAATAACAACGACAACATCATCAACATGTTGCCTTGTACCGATTCCTCATAACCTTGACTATCCAATTGATGAATTGTTTCTGATGTTCTGCTGACTGCTATTCGATGATGAATAGATAGTCAGATATAACTGATTAGAATGATTAGAATGATTAGAATTCCATAAGCAACATAGCGAATTGATCCTTTATGCTTACTCTATCGTAAATGCAATCATTATATAGAACTATTTATTTTCCTATGAAAATCGCTTGACTTTGATAGTATATGACACGTGCAACGAAAGAAAATTATCGTCAGTAGAACTTACGATGTTTAACAAAACAAAGATGTTGATTAATGACATACCGAAATAGAATAAATGTGTTCATTAGCAACGGTTAACGCATGCACGTATCATGATACATATTAATAAGAAAAAAAAGACTTCTCTCATACATAAAACATATTCATTATTATACATGGATTCATATATATGCATAATGCAGAACAAAAACATAACAGAAAACAAGTAGAACAACAGCTAATACATTAGAGTTTTCAGATAGAATAGATATAACTATAAATATATATCATATTGGAATGTAATGAGCTTTTTATACAGCTCATTTAGAAGAATTATTTAACATAAAATAGTAAGTGCAAACAGCAAAGCTGATACATTTTTAAAAAATTCGTTATGTGTTCTACGCAGTTACTGTGGTGTGCAAAGTTTTTTTTTTGATAATCAATGCTTATCATAATATCGTTTATTCCAAATAAATAAGAACATCGATACGAAAAATTGTCTACAGTCGAATTTCTACGAGTGAACATCTAGGAATTATGAGTATTCTTGGGTTCAATGGAATGATTTTTGCTAATTCAGACAGTCGCTTTTACTTTCATTGTTTTCCTAATCTGAACATGTTTTCTTTTACCGCGTTTTTCACTTTTTTGTTTTTGCCAACCATTTATACGTGCTAAGAATAGTTTATAGTTTTTTATTTTATTATGCCATCAGGTCGTGTTGATTCTATATCTATGATATTACCACCACAACTAATGGACGCATTGGAAATGATACGCAAATTTCTTTTATAAACAATAATATATCAGTCAAAACTGAACAACATCAAGTTCACGAATCAAAGAAATTGAATCTAGATTAATCGAAGTCTATATTAGTCAGGGTTACCAAATACAAATTTTAGAAATCAGGGAATTTTTGTGAAAAATCAGGAGTTTTTCAGGAGAATTTTTTTCCTAAATCAGGAGAAAAATTAGGAGTGTCATTTTTGACATTCAACAGTCATTTGATGATTTTTACCTGAAAACTTCCGATTTTTCACTAATAGATGCATTAACCTCTTTTCCTATAATGGGATTGATGCTGAAAATTTTCCTTGTAGACGAATTAAAATTGAAAATAGAATGCTGA